CATATCATGATCCTAACGATATCAATAAATAGACTAGTAGACGGCATCTGTGTTTATTTAGATAAACCACGGCGACTAATTCGGCAAGCAAATACAGATGAATCTGATGGTGAAGATGATATGAATATTCGTGAGAAGTTACGTCGGGCATCATCCCAATCACCAGCTAACATTCCGATGTTAGTTGTCGTGACGTTCAATCCCGATGCAAAAGGTTTACAAAAAAAACAAATTGAAATTCAACGAGGTGAATAGACCGTGTTTGATATAAAACTTCTCAGAAGTTTTTTTGCACGTGATCTTCCTTTGCAGGATTTCCTGTTAATGCGCAATTCATTATAAATGAATGGTTATTTGTAAAAACAGCTGATAATGATGAAGGATTCGTTCCATATGTATGTTGCCGACCAATTCTTCGTCGTCAGTCAGTGAAACACTCGAATGAATTAGAAAACTTCTATAAACCGTATGATTTCGAATCCAACAAAACTCGTCAAACCAAATCACCTTCGACGAGTGTACCAACTTGCACACCGCCGACAACAAAAAAGTCCTCCTTTGTTTCCAATCTGGGTTCGCAGTCGTTCTTGTGTCAAAGTTCATTCTCATGTAAGAAACGGCAAGATGTGACATCGTCATCGTGTGGCGGCGACTCAGGCTTTTCTGATTGTGAATCATCGTCGCATAATCAACATCAAAGTTTTGATTTATCCACTCAACGTTACACACGTTTGTCGAATATACGTCCCTTACGTTCATCATCGAATGCATTCAAAAAGCAAGGTCAATTTATTCCAGATTTTTCAATAAAAAAATCCATTAAGACGAACATCATCACATCAAAAACCGACGGTTCTCATCGCTTGAAATCACAATTGTCCGTATCGAGCAACAGTGCATTCACTCAAGTCGTGAAAAAACACCCTATTTCTCAAGACAGGTAAATATCAGATACTAATTCATGAATAAACATGAACTTCACTGCGAGAAGACGAACTTCCATCTAACTTTCGCTCTCATTTATCATCCCTATATAATTTCCACAGCGATCTTCCTCTTAATTACTACTTGAAAGTTTCTCCACACTACTCATTACCGGGCCGAAAGAAAGAGTTAAATATAACTTAAACTAAATGACAAACTTCTGAGATGCAGTTCTTACATTTGATTAGATATTACGAAATCATTTTGAAGAACTTTGCTTTCTATCGATCTATTTCAATTTTAGTACTCAACGGCGAACATTCTATTCACACGCCCGATCGTCTCAACAACAACAGCAACAACAACAACAACAAGAAGCGTTTTCCATATCGTCTTCGATCAGTAATCTTCGTCGTCCGTATGACAGTTACGATGAAGCTGGCCATTCGTCATCTCCATCATCGAAATGTCCCAGCTCGATCTCTTCTCCATATATTCGTCGTACGCCATTTGCTCGACGTTCTCTTCCGCATCACATTCAGCCTGTTTTGAAAAAACCTCTCAAACCCATGTCGTCCTCATCACCAGATCCATTTAAACTACCAGGAAAAAAAGAACAACAATTACGGCATGTTGTTCTCGCTGAACCATCATTACCACCAGCAATTATTCCAGTGAAATCGTCTCTCGAAAGACATTTTTCAGACTTAAGTCTGAATCAAATCGAAAACGATTCCTTAACTCCCTCCACTTCTTCAGTATTCATTCACAATCGACCATCGCTATCCTGTTCATCAGCAAGTACAAGCAGTTCAGCATCGTCATCTTCAACTGATGATAGTACCACACCTTTTCTACACATCCAAATGAATAATTCAAGATGTAATGTTATACATGGTGACGAGTCGATTCCTCTTGTTTTTTCTACAACCAACAATATGACTAATTCCCCAACAGCAAACACAACGAAATCGTCGAGTTTTATCCACAATGTTTCGATAACTGTCTGAATTCTTAATTCACTATTGTAATTAATCTTTCGTTTCTTTTTCTTAATTACAGAAAAAAGAATCAAACTATTGAATGATCTCTAAGACTAAGTCGTTCATTATTTGTCTAATACATTCATCTGAACAAAAGCTTCTTCATCTGAGTTGTGATGGTAAAGCAAGCCTCCTTACGTCGACTATTAATTGAATCTCGCGCTTTGTCGTTTTGACATCCATTTACAAACAAAGTCAGATCGGTTTCCAATCTCTTAAACAATATCAAAAGTTATTAGGATAGATTCACCCTGTGACATTTTTGACAGCAGCTTCTTTAAATTTCAATGAAACCTCGACTGAACAGGATGCATGTATATTTACTTTGAAATAAATCGTACATCTCATCGTTGAAGGTGAATTGGAGAGAAGAAAGTCGAATGTTTCATTCGCTGTTTCGCTTTTTTTTTCTTCTCTTCAAAGAACTCAATATGTTCGCATATTTCCTCCGAACGAACATCTTGATATTCAATGATAAAAATGTGAGTTTATCTGTCGATATATTTATTTTCCAATCACCGATTTTTATCGTCCGTTTGATAATAAATAATGATAGTTTATATGACTATTGAAATTGATTAGAACATTGACCCTCTTCAATGTTCACAAATATTTGTTCTTTGTGATATTTCATCGAAAGTATGTTATTCAATCATAATCGATAGAACTTGTCTTTCTTTTGCTTCTTTGCTCAATCACTATTCTTTCGATATTTACATTGCTTGATTTAATTGCGTAGACTTTCGAAGTCGAACCACCGCGCTTTTATTTTTGTTTTTAATAAAAAAAAAAGCCCGTACGGCTTGTCAGATGCAAATTAGGTAATAGAAAGAAAACAAACTGTACTCGTTGAGATGTAAATAGAAGCAGAAAGTAAACGAAAGAATCAGAATAATGATCAATCAGACAAAGCAGATGTGTGATTTAAATATGAGTGTGATTTGCTTGATGATATGACGAAGAACAGACGTCCGACGAGGAAGATGTCGATAGACATTACAGAAGAAGAAAAACTAGGAGAAAATGCATATTGTCTATCGAACTCTTCCTTTTCATGTATCAGTATTCAAAGGTCGTCAACAAAACAACAAATTGGCGAGAAAGGTAATGCTCATATCCTGCGAAGTTCCACCTGTTGTTTCTTTCTGCTAGATCGCAATTTATGTTCGTGCATGATTGAATAGTAGTCGTTTCGTTGTATTTTATTGCGCGCCGTTTCTAAAGCTTCTCATCAAATCGTTTGAAATGCAATTGAATGGAATAAAGATGAGATGGGATTGAGAGGAGTGAAGAAAAGGTAAGGTGACAATGAGACGGTTCGAGTTCTTACTCATATTTCATCGACCGAGCTGTCGAGAACAAACGAAAGAGAATGAAATCATTACACATTACACGTTCAATTAGTAAACAAATATACACATTCACACAAGGTTATTTCGTTTACACATCATCGTTCTCGAGAGTTAAGCTTTCAGTTTTTTTTTATTCACTTTGAAATAAAAGCAAAATTCATTCGTCTGTCGCTTTCTCTCTCTCTCTCTCTCTCTCTCTTCCCTCTTTCAATGTAGAACTGAGTTTGACTATCGATTGGTATCGCACTATCAAAAACAAATTCATTCCTCCGCCTATTTGCTCACGTCTAATTGACCGACTCGATCACCACTATTACCACCCACACTCATCATCATCAATCGTCAATATAATAACACATATGTATAAAAAAAAAACAACAATATAAGTAACAAGTGAGCACGCAAGTTCATCCTTAAACATATCAACTATATATCGCACAGTTTAATTTGAAATTGATAACGGAGAAAAGCAGACAGCATGAAGCATCGAATCAACTTTATATTTCTCTTCTTCTTCTTTTCTTCTCTCTTTTTCTCCTTCCTTTCAATAGTATTTTATATTGTATACGTATACACACACACACACACATAAATACTAATAAATCCAAATCTTTCGTGCAGTCAGTTTATAGAGATGTGCACACATACGATCAATTGAGCTAGTCGATTATTGTCATATCACACTGTAAAAAAGACAGGTCGTGTCACATCTTCCTCTCATCATTCGTGAACTTTGAGCGATGTTGAATACCAAACAGAAAGCATCAAACTGCTAAGTAAGAGACATTTTAATCGCATGCAATTCAAGCAACTTATTGTTTGTGTTATATACGCTCTTGATTTTAACATGCGAATATATATATGTATAAATATATACATATATATATGCATCAATGTCATCAACGAATATTATAGACAGAAATTAGCATAAATCGTATAAGTAGTCTCATTTTCTTTTCTTTTCTTTGCTTTTAGTGAATATATCAACGACAAGATATCCGCGATGAATGAAAAGGATTAATCTGCAAGTGTGATTTTCAATCTTTCGTACATTTATTCATTTGAACTCGAAGACAATTCTCGCATGGATGTATTACATTATTCGTTTAGTTTGAGTGCCTGTCCGAAATGTCATTTATTAGTTTGTAAACACACAAGTCTTGCTAATCTGGATTTTAGTTCGATTGAACCACCATTATCATCATTTGAACACGAAGAAGATGGTTGTGAAGACGACGAGGAAGAAGAAAAACAATCGATCATTGAACCCAATCGGCGAACTTCCAATCTTAGCTCGAGAACGCCTTATCAAAGGTTATCCTCACATGGAATGAACTTCTATGTTTTGCCATCGACAGTTCCATCTGATCATCGTCATAGCTGGACAACATTTGGCAGTGATACAATTGAAAGCATTCGGACATTAGAGAATAGTTCTCTTGATCAGGAAACCCTGTGTGATAATACTCCATTTGCTAATGAAAATATCATACATTCAATGACACCAATAAAACCAACATTGAATCAACTCGCGCGCACACAATCTGAACGTTGTCACAAAATTTACAAGCCACATATTTATTTAACAAAAAGTTATTCATTCTCGACTATTTATACAACACCAAAATCACTAACCCTCTCGCCGCATACGCAACCAACGACGACTCAATCTGAACTTTTTCATCGAAATTTGTCAATATTGATCTTTGTGATATTAATCATCTCGTATCTTTTAACAAATACGTTTGATATTGTTCTTTTGTATATCTATTATCATACAAATTCGATCTATTTTCTCGTCTTCACATTAACTATTTCCATGTGTGATATCATTTTATGGCTAAACAACTTGATCGATCGAAAGAATTTATCCACCCGTCTGTTGTTAATCCCGTTTGTCTATCGGTTTCATCTACTGTATGAATTAGTCGAATTCGTCTTGATTGTCTGCAGTAAAACTATGGTTGATACTACACGAATATTTGATTCCTCATCCTCCCCATCATCATCGACGACCACAACCTTAGAGACTAACGTATCTCAAACAACTAATTCATCTCTTCTCTCTTCTAATCATCGACAACGACAGCAATCGATGAAACGACACATTTTTCAATATTTAACATTGTTCTATGTACTTCATTCAAGCTTTTTACTATTGATCAATCTGTTTTTTTGGTCAAATCATTTTCAATTATCCACCCAGTCGACATTGAATATGGATTACTTTATACCAAAATGGTCGACAATGCCAGACATCGACTTAGTATCATCGACGTCAATGAATATGATCCCAGTGCATTCGTCAATGTCATCGTACGTAGAAAAATTAAGATTTTCATGGTCATGGAGATTAAACATGAGACTTCGATCAGATACAGTTCTATTTTGATCAACAATAGACGAACGATCCGATGAACTTTTATAGATCAGTTGATCTGATGATAATAAGGAGTTTTCGTGCGCTGAGATTTGATAAGAAATCACGAGTTCGACTTGCTATCTTTTCTCATTTAGGATTTGGTCAAAACTTGAAGAACACGATCGAAAACATCTCATCCGTCTGAATTGGACCCGATCTTTATTTTATGATGACCTTCCACTGAACATTCGTTTACCATCTGCATCAACATTTGTTCTAATTAGTATTTGTTATCATCTATTTTACAACTATTCCTGTTTATCCACCCTACTCGATTTCAAACGAAAATCTCTATTGATTCCAATCTCCATTCTTTCTCGATGTACTTTGATCGTTACACGTATTTACACATTTATCTTTCTTTTTCAATTGAAAGTCTGGTGGTTTCCAGTGACATTTTGTATTGTTCATCTGTCGTTAATGACGATCCTTCTCATCGATCGATCGAAACAGCAAGATTCACATCGGCAGAGAGTTTTTCTTCAAATTGTGTTCTCGTTTCTTGCGCACACTTCAATCAATGATATCTCTGTAAATGCGCTGGTCTCATTGGAGAATATCTCAATCTTTTTACATCGTCTCTACTTGGAAACCTTCTCCTTACACAATGAAACAACGTTACGATTGATCATTATTCTTTCGATAATGATTGCCATGCAAATTCTGGGTTTTTTATTTGATATTTTATCGAAACATATGTGTTACCGAACAGAATCAACCAATGAAACAATGACGAAATTATAGAAAGATGTTTTTTTGTGTTTGATTTTATTTTTTTCGAAACAAGTAATCACGTTTTTGAACATTTTCTTTTATTTCATCAGTAATCGCCTTTGTCATATCATTGATTGTCAGTTTTTTTGTTAATGAAAATGTATTTCCAACTAATTCATTGGGCTCGCGTTCTCCGCCCCACTGTAAGAAATTCTTTCGAAATTGTTCGCCGGCACTTTTCGACAGAGGATCGGACGCGAATTGATCGTGCCAAATTTTACTTGCAATCGAACGCGCAATAATATAACTGGAGAACCGAGCACCATAATCTACTAAATGGTAGAATTTCAAATAGGGATGTGTGGAAGGAATGTTTGGTAAGGACGAGTATTTCGTTAATAATGAAGAGTACAGATTTGCATAGGGTTCGGACAGAGGATATGGGCCATGGAATAGATGATCGAACATGGCTGAAATGACCTGAAAATGAATGAGAGGAATTCTAGATGTTTGTGTCTTGTTTGAAGAAGCTTTTACTTGAACTTGTGTACGATGTGCTTGAAAACAGTTTTGTGCCAATTGAAGACGTTGAAGGAGTTCGTCAGGAATAACTTCGCCGGTTTGATAATGACGCGCGAATTGTTTCACAACTCGTGGTTCGTAAACGAAATATTCCATCCACTGAGACGGAATTTCTGCAATATCAGTTTGACACCGAGTGCCAGATGCGTGTTGATAACGTGTTCGTCCCAGAGCTGAATGCATTGCATGACCAAATTCATGAAAGAGATTTTCCACTAGGCCTAATGATTAAATATGAATACCCTATTGTTCACCGAAGATTCCTACCTAATGTAAGTAACGTCGGAAGATTTGGATTAGTACTTGGTGGAATATTAACATGCAAAACAACGATGGGTAATTGAAAGGAACCGTCTGCACGACGTCTGCTGCATTGAATAGTAAAATGGCAATCATGAGGAAGTTTTTCTTTTCTACATTCATAGAACAAGAAAGACTGAATAGAATTTCATTCGCTCATCTTACCTTTCGAATAAATCGCAATAAATATAACCAACAGTTCCTTCTGTTGCATGATCCACCGAAAGTTTAACGACAGATGGATGCCAAACTTCTCCAGGCAATGTTGTTTGTTTGTTCAATGTTACACTGAAGGTATGTATAGTATCACTAATGCAACAGATTCAAATTCATGCTCAACTTACTTGAATAAGCTATTAAAGATTAGATTCAACCCGTCCATGCAAGCACCCAATGAAAAATAGGGTGTATATTCCTGAGTGTTAATATGTAAGACCTCCGAGCGAAATTTCCCTTCTAACTTTGCGACGTCCCACGGAGCAACAGGTTTATTTGTCGATTGAGCATTTTTTAATATTTGCATCAATCGAATGTCTCGATCGGCCAACGGACGAATAGCAGTCATGATCTGTTCGAGATATTCGGTGACATATTCCGGTTTGTTCAACAATGTATTATCTAGTGTTCGATGACTGTACGAGGGATAGCCACATAGTTTCGCCAATTCATACCTAAAAGATCGATTCAATTAGTGTTATTGGAACGAAAAATCTGTCCACCGTTTCCGAAGTAATTCGTCAAGGCATTGTTCTTGCTCGGGCTCATAGCGGAAATATGTTCGAAAGACAAATTCCCGAACGTCTTCGTCACAATCACTGGAATGCGCCGAATTGATTGTAATCGATCTTTCGTCGAATCTTATCGATGAAATGATAAAAGAATAATCATGATTTGCTGATGATCGTTCGATCTTACCTCGTTCTTACCTTTTCCGGTAATTGTTTTCGTGGAATTTGATATTGCCGATGCGCATTCAGTCGAAAGTGATTTTCTAACTGTAAAATATCTTCGTGTAATTGTAGATAATTCGAACGGTTTTCTTCATTCAATCGAATTCCACATCGTTCGAAATCTATTAAATATAATTTCAACACTCGTCGGTCAGTTTCGTCTCCTTCACCGTTTTCAAACGCTCGTTTGGCTTCTTCGTATAATTTCCTATTAGTATTCATTTTTTCGACGAGATGATGTAACATTCCATAGGCTTGTTCAGCAGCTTGTTTGAGTTCGTGATCGACGTCAACATTACGGATGAATTCCGCAAGATCTGCCACGCGACAAATCTCATCAGAGATCTCATCTAAGATTTCGACGATCTTCCGACGTGTTGGAGAAAAGCATTCGTCGAGTAGATCTTCGCATTTGTTCAGCACGCGTTCCGCGAGCACACGAAAGCCGGATGGTGTAGCTAGTTCTTTGATTTGAAACAGACCTTGACTTGGTTCTTTTGTCGATGGTTTCAACCAGGATAAAGGTGAAAGATGACGAAAATGATTCGAGAAGAAGCTGGAATCAAATGATGAACTCGTCGAAGCCGCATTAAAATCATGAGCAATCGAAGAACTTGTATGCGAAGAACGATATAACGCACTTAATGTTGATCTTGATTGTACCTAAAGAGTTAAAAACAAAGTCGAGTTCAGAAACGCAATTTCTTATTCATACTATAGCACGCAAGCGAACACAATTAATGATTAATCTTTGCATCATGAATATATATAAATTCCTACTAAGAATACATTTGGCAAGGGTAGGTTTTGTCCTCTGGAATTTGTTTGGTATTCTATGGAGCATGACAGATGGCAGGCAATATCTTTCAATGTTGGTTTGAATGGCAAAGGAAAGAGTTTCTTTCCTCTCATTAGAATCTAATTGATTTTGATCGTCAGTGTGAGTATGATAAAGACACGACATGACAAGCTTCTTATCGGGCCGTTTTCCCTTTTCATTTCATTCTCGTGCATACTGTGTGCTTGTGATATTGGCATATTAGAGAAGAAGTTTCATGACATGTTTCATCTTCTCCTTTCTTCGTCTTTTTTTTGTTTCCGAACTCTCAGACTCATTTTCTCTGTGCTTCTTTCCATAATTATCGTTCAGTCAACATCCTTGACTTTACAGTATTTTCTCGATAAATATGCATAGAGGAAATGTAATCTAGCTGCTTTTCTATTATATGTGGCATGCACATAATTATTAAAACACTAGCCCTCAGGATATATCGTTGATGTTCATTCTGGCGAACTCGAGAAAATAAATATAGTAACACGATCTATATTGACATAGTACTCATTACGTTGTGTGCTCCATGAATATAGTCAATGATTTCTATTATGTTCTCCGTCTTTCTTGCCATATTTGTTGTTCATTGATTTGCGTTAAAGAGTACTGGAGAATTGAGTAAGTAGCGACTTCGATGAATATGCAAGCGTTAACGAAGCATGTAAGTGGAGATATGAGAACGGGATCTTGAAGCGGATTTCGATAAACATCAATCGACCGATATAATTATTTAAAAAGTTCCTCGTCACATCTAAATATATCTGTCGAGATATACATTTAAGTCGTTCCTTCTGGAAAACATCTTTTTCTCTGTTTCGGGAAGGAAATGATGATATTTTTGGACTGAAAAGCAGTCATTTGTTACATTAAAGCACAGCTATAATCAGATTGCTCGTCTCAGTTTTGTCGGAGCGGATTTCGTGCTTGTGTGCCATTGTACGTGTGATGTGTATGCTTAACGTTGTCAATGATGAGTCTAATGGGAAAAAATGAAGATGAACGGTAGTATTTGAGCATCTCGAAAACAAATTAGTTTTTCAATTACTTCACAATTAGATCTGCGTTTACTGTTTTGACATAATTACTATCTAATCAAAATCTTTTAGCTAAAAAACACTAATAGACTTCGAACTGAGAACGGACAATCAAGTCGTTTTTCTTCTACTTGACACCATTCAGGTACAGTCAAATTTATTTGTATATATAAGATCACTTAGTCGGTTTCCGCCTTGAGAAATCCAATCAGATCAGATCGATTAGGCCCTTGACGTTTTGTGTCGGATGGAATCAATCAAAAAAAAATGTATTTTGGGCTTTTTCTCCGATAATTTTATCGAATCAAATCATGAAATATAAATGAGCTGCTAAATTCTTAAACGGATTTGCTTTCCTAGTTTAGAAACCGAGTGCACAATGAAAAAGTCAATGTCAACAAGAACACGTGTAATGATAACAGACGAAGACAGGCATGTTTGTCTAACTAAACTCTTACGACAATGAATCATGTAAACATACATCTACCGTATTGAATAGAAAACTAGTCGTTTTTAAGAAAGAAAATCTGTCAGATAAAAACGAATATGGAACCAAAGGAGTACGTGTATGCACATCTGTCATAAGACAAGGTATATAGACACATAAACACATTCTTCGATTAACTTTTTTTGTCTGTCACTCGTCTTTCTTACTAGTCTTTTTCTTTTTTTCTCTTTCTTTTCTTTTTCCACTTTCTTTTTTCATCTCCATCATCATAAGGTAAGTATATGTAACTCAGCAGCACATTAAAAAAAGAACAAGTCGTGAAAGACAGAGAACATCGTCATAATGACGATAAATGCTTCTGTATTAGTGGATGGAGTCGAAACCGAAAGACTTGATCAAGTAAATTAGCACGGAAATTCTTAGGGGTCGACTTGTCAGGTAGGTATTGAAAACAAGACAGAAAAAAACGTTCGGTTAAGAATGCTTGTCTGAAGTAAATCTTTCGCCTTTTTTTTCACACTTTCCTTGCTTGTCACATAAATATAAAAGAACACACATAACAATTACAAGCAGTTGTAGCTTTTCTTTCTTCCTTCGTCGACATATCATATAAAACTCTCCACATGAAAGACTTTCCATAGCTAAGACGCTTTTTTCCTATCGATTTATTCCAAATAGTAAATATATGTACTTGACAAACAAGTGTAAACAATATGTGTATCAACGTATGACGAAGACGGCATGCGTCAGAAATAAACCAAACAAATGATAATATTTGTTGATTCCGCACTTGACTTCGATTTCTTTCGGTAAATAATTTTCAGTTCATAAATATTAACTCGATCGAATTCGAGCTTGAACTGAAGGGGAAAATCAACGATTGTCTCCTTCGTTGATCTGAGCTTCGAGGACTGATGATAAGCAGGTTGGTTTTCTGCTTTTTATCTCCATGTTATTAAACAGAAAAGTAAATAGTAGAAGTAGAAGAAAAAGGCGAGAACCTGTTGAGAAATGTTGCCTCATTTGTTTATTTATAGAACTAGAAAAGATGATTTCCTTTCCAAGTAAAACTTGCTATTCAGTCAAATAAGATTCGCATCAATTTACACTTGTATGAAACAGTTTTCTAAATATAGATTTTGTAACTGAAGAATTTCAATGATTCAAACGAAAATGTCATGATCGTGCTTACTATCGTTGCTTTAACATTTATCAGTAAAGAGGAAGAAGAAAAGGCAGAAGAGAAAAAAAAGGTAAAAAAAAATATATAAGATGAAGAGAGAGAGAAAAAAAACAAAGAAAGAATTGATTACTTTTTTTTCTTCATCACATCAAATAATCATCTACAGAACGAAGGATTCCTTCTCATGTACGTTTCATTTTTCCGTTTAATGTATTGCCTGGAAGATTTGAAAGCTATTTCCCGTTAATCTAGTTCAATCAAATGAGTCGCCTTAGAAAGTATTGAGCGAATGGTATTTTAAAAAGATTCGTTCATGCATTGTTAAACGTAGACGTAGACACGGAGAGAGACGGAGAAAAAAGACGAAGATGACAAAGATCAGGGATTCTTTCATTTGCCTTATTAAGTGTTGACAGCTCCAATAATGACGTCAAATTTTCTTAGGAAGAAACGCGCATGAGACTGGAGAAAGAAGAAAGAAACATCTCAGCGTTCCGTTTTCTCTCACTAACAATTTCATTTGAAAAAAGGAATGAGGGAGAACAACCAGTCCCTCATAATATGAATATCTTCGACGTGTTTTCAACCATAACAAGACTTATTAAGGCCTCAACTATTTTCAAAAAGAACAGCTCAATGACATGGATAATGTTCGATTTGAATTTTTGTTATTCTAGATATGATAAATTAAAAACCGGCAATGACACAACGGCAAGCATCGCAAGAACTGATCTTTATTTGTTTGAAATTCGGTGTGAAATATCAATCGATTCAAATTGATCGAGCGAATCCTGACGTTCTGGATGTGATTCGAAAACATGCCGAAGACATCGTCTCGAAAACTATCGGCAGTCTCGAAGTCAACGATCATGTTCATCATATTCAATTATTCTTGATTTCACCCGATCATCAAACTCCGAGTTTGAAATTAATTAAACGTGCGAACGATCTAACACCAACATGTTTCATCGAGATCGTCATCTGGCGTTCAGATCAAGAGAATTTAACACCACCACGCGATCATATTTTAGTTGAGCATAATTATAAAAAGCCCACGTACTGTTCGCATTGCGATTATTTCATGTGGGGCTTGATTAAACAGGTTTGAAGGACGTTAGCATTCTTGGAAAAGAAAACCTACATGGCTCGTTCTTTTTCAGGGCAAACGGTGCAAAGTTTGTCGGCAAGACTTTCATCATCAGTGCGCTGAGCATTTGCCAGCCGACTGTCCGGGTGACGATTCACGAAGTAGTTCACTCATGCGTCGCGCATCATCGAACGTTACCATCAATTCAACGGCATCACAAGGTCTAGTCATAGTCGATGCTGATATTAAGAATGTTTCCAATGATCCACCAATGAAAGGCAAAACACCGAAACGACCGAAAATATTCGGCGGCAGTAACAGAGGCATTTTGGTGACGAAAACGACAACACCGAATACACGATCAGCAACTATTGCAGCAGCACCAAGCACATCGTCGTCAGCGGCTAGTAAAGCACCTCCGATCATACCGCCTCCTCAACGAAATGATTCGGTGTCATCTATGAATGCGAACGAAACACCATCGCCATCACCACTCCCACCCCCACCATCAGTACCAGCAACGAACGGTCGAAAAAATGCACGATTCACATCGGATCAAACTCTACAAGTCAATAGTCGTACAGGTGGACCGTCTCATGTCAAACCCGATCGACGAAAGGACATTAAATTAACCAACTGTCAAGAGAAAGATGGCATTTGGACAGCAACAGCTCAGTTCGGACGAGAAAGTCGACATAGCAAACGTGCAGAGATCACATACGATAAGAAGAAGTTTCGTTTCACCCAAAAAGACGATCAAGGCAATAAACATGTTTTCGAAATTCCTGCAGCGGATATTGAAGGTAAAGATCGTTTGCAAGATGAACAAATTTATCTAAAACATGACTATATTTGTCATCTTATATTGAAAACAACAACGACTACATCCTAGTTAATCTTCGTTTTCTTCCTAGAAATCTATGCGTCAACATCACGATTGAAAAATAAGAATCTCATATTGAATACATGTACGAATGTGTCTCCCATATTGTTTCCCTACTCACTTTTATTTTGTTCTCGCACCGTCATTGTTGAAAAGATGCCTGTTGAATCACTCTTATTCTTTTATCTTTTCAGCCAATCGATCTCAATCATCGCCAAACATGGTCGCTAACGGTGGTTCCAATGATACAAAATCTGTTGCTCCACCATCATTAGTTGTTATCTATCAGAAACTAGCATGCCTTCTTTTGGACACAATCAATGAAGCTGTTCAGTCGACAACCGATCGAAAACTACGCTCATCGTTTAAAATGGTTCGTCGCACTGGTACGGAGAATGACTCGAATGATTTCGCTGACTTGTATGACATGAATGAAAAGGAAATTCTCGGTATGGGACGATTCGGTATGGTCTTTGGCGGTACAATGCGCCGTAATGGTGTGCGAGTTGCAATAAAAAAGATTCAAACAGCACAATGCTCCGCCAAGGACCGAGAAAATATCGAACAAGAAGCAGCATATCTGTTTCAACTCAATCATCCCGGTACGTCGAATAGAGTTGTACATCAATGTGAATATAGAGAGTTGTATTCATTAGGTATACTCAAATTCGAAGGTATATTTGACTTCGAACAACATATTTTTCTGGTCACCGAACGATTGGATACTGATATGTTGAATTTCATTCTTTCCAATACCAATCCGAAAGCACGTTTGAATGAAGATGTAACACGTTTCCTAGCGTTTCAATTAGTTGCTGCGATAAGATATTTACACTTTAAAAACATCGCGTATGATTACTTCATTTCTTTTTTTCCAAATAATCATTCGATTTTCTTTCTAGACATTGCGACTTGAAGCCTGATAATGTATTAATCAACATATTTCCCGATGATGTAGTGCATTTGAAAGTTGGTAAGTCGAGGCGTCCGTCTATTCTGATCTAATCTGCCTGGGAAAAGTTCGTCAATATCTTTCAAACAGATCTAGTTTCCGGAGATCTGAATGTCTTAATCTTTGTTCTGCATTATGAAAATGAGACCTGTTTCTTCCCTTTCGGAAATGGAAATTCATTGTCTTTCGAAATCGTCTTCCTCTTCTAGGTGACTTTGGTTATGCACGAACAATTCATGAGCATTCACTACGTTACACCAAAGTCGGCACGACAGCGTATTTACCGCCTGAAGTCTCGCACGATCAATGGCGTCATGCTCGCGGTTACAACAAGACAGTCGAGTACGTACTTGATGACTAAACACTTCCATGTGCACTTGGTGTTTTTCTTTTCTAGTATGTGGGCAATAGGCGTGATTATATTTGTAAGTTTAACCGGTTACTTTCCGTTTCACGAAGAAACGGATATCTTACCTCAACTCGACAACATTCCAAAACTATTTCAAGATGATATATTTACTCGTATAACAAGTGAAGTGAAAGATTTACTACGCTATCGATTATTAGTGCCGGATGCCGGTCATCGAATGCATTCGGCTGGTGTGATTTATCACGATTGGTTTCAGAAATCGCAGAATTTGCTTGCCTCATGCAAACAACTTGAAGAATGTCTCGAGAAAAAATGGTTGACACTATTCTTTGAAGAAACAGATTCAAGTACATCTGTTCCGGTTGCCACTACTGAAGAAAGCGACAGTAGTTAAACAATGGAAAAAAATCGATTACATTTATTTACACACAATCTAGTCAAAACACATGTTGTGAATCTCGGGAATGATTAGAACAACAAGTTGATTGGTAGCAAAAAAGACACACTCGAGTTTTCATGTTTGATTGAACAGTGATTTTCGTTCGATTGATGTAATTTTTTTTTTGTTTGTTTTTCTTTTCTTTTCATGCCATATTTGTCGCAAATGAACATTTCTCCTCGCCAGCACCCTCGATAAAACAATTGAAATTTGTTTTTGTATACAACGCTTTTTTTTTCTTTTCTATTTAGTGAAAGAAATAAATAAAACATAAGAAGTATATCGTATGAAACCGAACACTCTTACATTTGTTCTGACGAGACACGGAAATGTGCGAGTGCAGCGAGTTTTCCTTTCCTGCCATAGGGAAACTATCGTGGAGAAAAGATGGCTCTAGGAATCAGTAAACTTTTTCTAACATTTGTAGATTAACTGGTCTCGTGTCTCAACCTATCAGATAAATTAGGTGATATTTAGAGAAACAAAATCGTTTTTCTTTCGTTTCTTCATTGAAGACTACCTTTGAAATCAAGGCTAGTTCTTCTCCCTGAGATCTTTTTACTCCAAAATGACGACAAATGCCAATGATCTTCATTGTGAAACTCCGAAGAACATGTATGTCAAATTGATCTCATCGGATGGACACGAGTTTTATATCAAACGTGATCTCGCTCTGACTTCTCAAACAATTCGAGCTATGTTAAGCGGACCCGGTTAGACTTTTTTTTTCTTTATATATTTAGGACATGTAAACAGTATTTTTATTCTTCTAGGGCAATACGCGGAAAATGAAACAAATGCGATTCACTTCCGATGTATCAGTTCTCAAGTAGGATGCGTTTAACATTCATCTGTGCGCTGTTTATACATTCGAATTCTGATAGGTTTTGGCACGTATATGTTCGTATTTCGCATACAAAGCTCGATATTCCAATTCAACTATCGAAATTCCTGAATTTCCTATAGCACCAGAACATGCCCTGGAAATCCTTATGGCGGCGAACTTTCTCGATTGCTAAGCTCAAATTTAACCTGTCGCAGATGTTTTAACGATACTCAATAATCACATTTGTGTTTTCGTTTTTTCAGTCAATCAAATAAAATAATTTTCATTTTCAAACAAAAAATATTGTGATTGTGATGAAAAACGAGATTTCTCCTATTGGAAATATCAATAATTACATGAACATAGCGTAATTCAGCTCATTTGACTAAATGTCTTTTAGTAACTATGGTTTCGTCGTTTCTTCTTTCTCGATACGGTAGCTGCCAGTCATGACAAGCACTCCATGTTTTCATCAAGGAGGAAACGTTTCGCTAAGTACGACGTTAACATAACTTCACTAGAAAACTATTAATAAATCATCGATCTTTTCGTTGACAACTTCCGAACAAATCAGTACTTTTACTTTTATTCGAGAGCATCTCGAACGATGCAATTTGCTCGATAATGATATCTTTAAGTATATACAAACAAGCATCGTTTCCCATAAGACACATAATCTCTCTAACCTCATCCGTTTTCCAATTGCCAGCACATCACTCGAGAGTTGCACAATCACTCAAGTTTTCCTGTCTGTCTCACTCGCTCTCACCAGCGAATTTCATTTTTGAAAACAACAATGTCGTATCATTTGTCAATGACTTTTGATCATTGACACGCTAACACGCACATATACACAAAACGGGACAGTCTATGCTAATCATAACAATAGCAATAGCATTTCGATGTATGTCTTTATGCGTCTCTCCGCCTACGCTCTGCTCTTTTCGACTCATTAACTTTCTCTATATGAAAAGAACGACGACAAAGTCGAAAATGCCATTTTTCAGATTTATGATGTTGTTAATAGATCAGCGTGGATAAGCAGAAATCAATCGCAGACTGCATTACTTAATAAACAACAATTCGAAATTCTTCGTTCGAAGTCATTACAAAGACAGTCTTCCTTTTTATATATGTACATAAACAAATGAAAGTCTGAAGAGTATGATTATATGCATAAACATGTCCATAGTTGATTTTATCGAACAATCAGCACGTAGACATAATCAATGATCGATCAAATCGAATGTTACAAAGAAGAAATATCTTGTTCAACTGATTGTTCACGTGCGAATAACTTATTCTGTTTAATCATCGTCGTTCCTCCCCCCTCTCTCTCTCCATAGTGATTACATAATCACATGGATAAACTGACTTCCAGCATAAACAAGACACGCATGGTGACCATTTATTAGTTACTGAACACATTTCAATTTTACAATATCGACGACTTACTGACACGATGGCATCCATTAATCATACGCTCGTTGAGAACAATGAATCTGGTTAACAATACAACATTCGATGAGATTTAAGACTCAATAAATCAGCCTTGAGATCGACTAGTTAATTGATGAGACAGCTGGTTTTCAAAGAAAAGAATTCTCTATTGATATAATCATCATTTTCCATTTCTACCGAGATGAAAGATCGAACTGGTAAAAGACTACTAATCAATCATGTCCAGATTTCTTTGATCGATGATCAGCTCGTCTAATCGTTGGAAATTGCAAGGCGTATGTCATTAAATCGACAAATTCATTTGAAATGGTTCATTGAAACAATATCAAGGACAAGTCAATCATCATTGAACACAGCAGATAATTGCCGAAACAGTTCTCTTTCACACTTGTCAATGTATCATTAAAACAGAACCGGAAAATTCAATTCTACTTTTAATCATCACAACCAAAGCACAGAACAAAACAATGATTTTCATACTAATTTGCACGGAGTAGAACAAATCCAACTTTCTTCTGTAAGTGACCAATGGACGGAAGACTTGCATATGCAGTTGACCTTTCTAATCGAGACAATACTATTGATCTATTGATTTTTGCTCTTCGCCATCGATACATCGAAGAAGCAAATGACGTGCGTTTCTTTAAGATGTTTGCCTATCGTCGCTAAATATACATACATAATACAATACAACACCCTTGCTCAACTCGAATTTCGCATTGATGAGAGAGAACGAAATCATTATCGACTATACGATTCGTGTTTTTTTGTTGTTGTTTTTCGAATGAAGAGAGAAAAAGTTTATTAAAAAGAAAAGTGAGATTTCTCTATACAAAAGCATCGTTTGAATGTCGTTTGCCATGATAGAAATGATATGACTGATCGTTTGGATTGAGTTCAATACTATGAGAAGACATTGTCGGATACATATTCATTGGTTGATCGGCAGCAATGAGAAAGTCTTTCCAGTCGTGAAAATATATATCTGATGGTGCACGTCCTGAGGTTGACGATGAACTTGATGGCGCGATGGTGGTCGTCGTTAATGTATCTCGCGTTTGCTGAAGTGACAATGGAGATTTGTTATTCAAACGCGAATTGTGATCTTGGAGGAAGAATTGATGATGCGGAGGCGAGAATGGAAAATGATCGACAAGTAAGGTGGTCTTTGTCGAATGAGTTTCTTGATGTTTTTCTCGCTTCTGTTGATTTCGAGAACGAGACCAAAAGCAGAGACTTAGGAAGATTAGCAAGAAGACAATAATCGATATTAGAATACAGATTAAAAGCATAGGTAACGTTAATATTGATGGAGATTTCGAATCGCTTAAAAATAGAGACGTTTCAATCGTTGAATAAGAATTGACGAGATTAGACGATGACGAAGTTTTGTGAAAATTTTCCAATGTACAACAGTACCGTTGAGAATCAGATTCACAACAAATACGAATTTGGCCAGCTAGCGGTGGACACTCGAAACCATTGTTCCATACTCCGGAAGAGTCTAGAAATCCTGGACAACTTGTTCGTTGATCATCTGGATTCATAGTTCTTCAGCAACAAAACAAAACAAAACATCAAATAATTAGATCAGCGAAAGTGTCAACTTACCCGTCGACTTGTATTACATACAAAACTTATTGTTTCTGTTCTATTGAAACGATTAGATGAAAAGAATCTGAAAGGAGAGAATGATACATGGAGAGAGGAGAAGCAAAGAAGAAAAAAATATGTTCGACAAGCATCTCTCTCCCCCTCTCCCTGCTCTCTTCCTCTGTTTTTTCTTCTCCTACCGTTCTCATCTTAAGCAGATCATCATTACCGATCATACATAAAGCAAAAAACAAATCGAAGATGACGAGTTATCGAATAAGGAAGACCGTATAAATTCACAGCAGAGTCCAGTAAAAAGAGAGATCATGCACATATCATTTGTCTAATAAATACAAACAAACAAAACCATGCCCGATGCAAAAATGCAAAAAAATGAACATGTCGTAACGATTAACTTTCAATCTCGCCCATATGTCCATGTAGCCTTCCTTTTGCAATGGATTTCTAATGCTATCGCTTATCTCAAAGTTGATTGACACCAAAAGTCTAACTAGGATTACATCGTTCTTGAGCTCATTGTAGGAAGAAAAGAAAAGGACAAAACGTGAACTACTATTTCTCAGCGTTTTAATCGCACTGGACCTTGATAAATGGCATTAAAGTGCGAGAATAGGAGGAAAAAAGGAGAAAGAATGATTTCCATTGTGAATCATTCTTTCATAACTATTACATAGTCATCCTATTCAAGAACTAACATATTCTCTTGTCATTACTTTCAAGCATGTGTATGTATACATACATTTGATTACGAAAAAAAAAGTGGGCAATGACTTACATATGTTGTTGCTGCTGTCATCATCATCATCATCAACTGGCAAGAGAACTGTATGCATGTGATCTACTCTCAGGAATAGAAGCATACGTCGTTAATGAGCTTCTCTTCATCAACATCGTGTAACATGTTGAACATAGTCTCATCATTATTACAGTTTGAATGCGGAAAGGGCATTGAGAGTAATAATAGAAAAAACAACAAAAACAACAACAGTAGTACCTATTCGACGTGTTATATAACAAATCACTCATTAAGCTTTGGAATCATTCGTTCATTCACTCAACTTACCAATACGGATGAATTCTACTTACTCAACTATAATCGGACAATGACAAGCAATGTCTACTTATGACAAGCACGTTAATGAGTCTCGTTGTGATCTCGATTTTCCTTCCCTTATAACGAATAGGACGAATGTATAGAGAAGAAAAAAGAGGAAAAGCAATGCCTGTACATGATTAGTGTTGGGCACATGGACATGGAACTTTTACATAATGACACAGACGAATACACAGCGGGATTCTGCTCTCTACATTTGTCTACGAACACATTATGAAATCTAGCAGATCAGTGTGAACAACGAGACAATTAGAAATATGCACCATAGAATGTCTTACCATGTACATACTAACTACCTGCACACAATGACATTACCCCCTATATATGGCAGTAAATATCACCTTCGATTCTATTAAAATCGAATCAGAAGGAGAAGAAATGTTTGTCAAGTATTTCATAAAAAAAAAAGTAATTCGTCACTTTTGTCCTTTCGTCTTCGTTTAATCGTCTACTTTGATGATGCCATATTCAACAACATAAAACTCGCGTTATCGCTCGCTCATTACGATTTCTGTTAATTGATTATCACAATATTTTATCGCTCGATATGATGTGAGAGAAGTTCGATTTATCTCGTCATCTATCCTGGTGACAAAACCTGTCACTTAACAGATGTTAGAGTTTATCTATAAATACGATTGTCCTTTTATTATGAAAAGGTTATTTTTTATGTTTTCATATATATACAGTCTATTTATTTTCTCATTTAATGAGCCAAATACGGTCTTTGTTCGATCTGTCTAAAGCATTCATCGAAGAACTTTATTGTTTCGTCTCGAATGATTCCTCTAATGAATTCGAAGGCATTATAAAACTTGAATGAGCATTTCAATGAATCTATTTGATAAACAACAAAAGAATAATTCACTTCTCACGTTATCTTATCGATTAATTTCCTCGTTCTTTTTCAAATCAAGGAAATACTTGTTAGGAAAAAATGAATCGTTTCCAGATGATAAACTTTCTTTCTTCTTACCTTTCGCTTTTCCTCCGATCAAACAATCAATGGAGTGCAAAAACATCGCCGTTTCAATCTTTACTCTTTTATACACATATTTAAAAAGAAAATAGCGGCACCGACAACGTCGGCTAACATCCAGACACACTTCAGAAGTTCAATCGATAATTGGTGTACTCCTCAAACATTCAATCTCTCGTTGCCTCGCTCGCTTTCACTTTCATTCCACTTCCTGTTGATTTATGTTCAACTGATAACTGATCTATCTCGTTGTATCATCAAGCGCACGATCAAATAATTCAAACTTGCCGCAGCTGAAACAATAACTAGGATATATTCATAAAACTCAACATGTAACAACGAAAAAAAAAACAAAAAAAAAGTGAAAACAGAAAGAAAACAAAACGAGAGGTAATATTAGTAATGAGTATGCAAGAATACATGAAAAAGAGACAAGTAAAAAAACAAAAAAACGAACACTGTTGGTTATGTGTTAAATGGGTATGTTGTACAATATAACTCTTCAACACAAGCAGGTACAAAAGAGAAGTCCACCATTGATAGCGCAAAGACTGGATAGAGTATGTATACAGATTTGAAAGAGGTAAATTAAAAATAAGTCACGTCACAAAGCACAATCACAGTACGAAGACAAAACGAGAAGAAAAAGACGAAGTTACTTTTTTTTTGTTGCTAATTATACGAAACAATATATAAATACTCTGACTTGACTTTTTTTTGTTTGCTATAAGAGAATTCTATAGACGAACAGAAGAAACAAACAACAACAAGAAATGGAAGAGAATATGAAAAGACACTGATATAGATTAATACATAGAGGAGTACAATGTTTAGATTTTTTTTTGTTTTGATCATACGCACACGCACAGGTTATAAATACAAGAATGCCTTTTTTTTGTTTTGATCGAATAAAAGAGTAAGAAATGCCGATGAGTTGTATTAATACTGAGAAAAACCACAATAAAAATATATAAATTAATAGAGACGACATTGAAAAATAGAATCGAATATAAACAGGCTCTTTACTGGGTGACGTACAAATATGCATAACATAAGTGGTTCAAGGAATGAATGTTAGTAAGTACTATGTACAAGCACAAAGACCAGACGCAGTTAGGTTGAAGAAATCTATATACAGATGAAACAAGAACGAGAAACAAATGTGAATTTTCCCAGGTTTTCAGAGAGAGAGCGACAGAGATCTGATTGTCGCAGCAGGAGTCGAATAGCATTAGAGACATGTATAAAAAGAAAACAAATCATAACAAATCTACTAACCACAAGAAATAACAAAAGTAAAGGGAAAAATAAAAAAAGAAACAAAAAAGTTGACAACAAATAACAAAACAAGAAGATAATAATGATCATTAAAAAAAAATCTTAACAAACATCAAACAATAGTGTATGTGGATGTGCTTATTTCTATACGTATACATGTTTGTTCTCGTGAAGAATTTTGTCTTCGGCTTCTCTTTTTTTTTTCGTATATGGGTGATATACGCATCTGTAGGCATCGATTCAACAACAAAAAAAAACAAAAGACAGTCTTTTCTTAGAAGGATAGCACGTTGGTATACGCGTGCGCGCGTTAAGATTCAGTAGAAAAGAAAAAGAAATGAACAATGAGCTACACAACAAGCGTTAGTGGTGATGGCGGGTGGAGACTAGAAAATGAGGAACTAGAAAGGTGAAGAAATAAAGATAAACGAAAGAAAAACTTCGCACCGCGATCCTCTTTTTTTTCCTCAATATCCATTACTTGTGATTGGTGTTGACATCGCCAAGCCATTTTCGTCATGACCATTGAGAAACGAGGGAGATGCGCATTCAGCAGCCAGCATTTGACTACTATTAGGTGTTGTTGACGAGGAGGATATTGGCGATGATGGATCGGTATTATTTCCAGTAACTCCGTTATTTGTCAATGATGGTGTCATTAGATATCGATAAACATAAATCCGATAGTCTTTACTTGCCAAAACAACACTTCCATCATCAGTTAATGCTACGTCAAAACATTGAGCATGTTTGACTTTCGATTCTAATGCGTTTATTAGCTGTCCGTCTACAAACGAGAAAAGTCCATGATCGCTACAATGATGTCTCATCAATTTACCTTGAGTAAAGATTGTTAAATTGAAATTATTGTGATTGTCAGCAATGAGTACATCACCGTGACTATTTTGTACGACTCCAATAGGATAGTTGGTAATACCTTCGGAACCAATGGTACGGAGAAATTGTCCATCATAGGAAAACACTTTGATACAATGAGCACGATTGTCCGAGATAAAGATTTCCTGTTTATCGTTACAGCAAACACCATTGGGAAATTCCAGATATTTTGAACATGTAAATTTGTTTAATACATTACCATTGATATCAAAAATAAAGACACGCATTACTTTACATTCAACAACAATTATGTGACCCATATTATCAACACAGACACCTAAAAAGCAAGATGAAGAAGTTTGTTTCTCAGTTGACAATCAAGAAATGTTTTATCATACCACGTGGATGTTGGAGAACATTGGCACCAAATTTACGTATGAATTGTCCATATTGATTATAAATCTGTATTTGATGTGTTGGACTACGTTCGGTAACGACAATATCACCTGATTGACGAAATACAGCGACACGATTTGGATATAATAGCTGTCCATCACGTTTTCCACATTCACCAAATTGAAAACGAAAACGTCCTAAAGAAAAACTTGCACACAATTATAATTTCGAATACGTTCGTCTTACCATTTGAATCGAAGATTTGTATACGATGATTATTTGTATCAGCAACGATAATATCACCTTGAGCGTTAACAGCTACACCTGATGGTTCAGTGAATTGTCCTTCCAACACACCGAATTCACCAAATTTCTGGTGATAGATCATTTTATGTCGTTTTATTGTTGAACCATTTGAACGTGATGGTAGAAGAAGATGATGAGGAACCGACGAGTAACTATCGAGGGAATCGACAAGATCAACAACTGACTCATGTCCATTGAGATTTCCTCCAGCAGCACCGCCAGCACCATTACTTGATGCTAATGAACTTGAAAGCTGTTGCTGAGATGTCGACGGAGTTGGTAATTGTGATCCATTCGACCATAATTCATATGGATTGATATCCATTGCATTCGACGGTAATGTAAAACTCAACGGTGTCGATGATGATAATGCCGGAAATTTAGACATGCTTGATGGTGGTAAACTACATGATAACATATCGATTCCATTCAACAGATGATTTGCATGTGTTTGTTGTTGAATCGATTTGGTTGGACTAAGCGCCATGATGCTGGTTTGATTTTGATGATGATTATGATTATGACAAGCGCTTGTTGTTGATGAACCATTTGTTGAGGGTGGACCGATAATTTTACTGAAATTATCGTTGGTTAACTAGAACAAAAAGCAAGTGTGTTAAAATAAATAATGATATTCTCTCTCGAGAACAAGATCAGTCGAGTTTTCTTTTTCTTTGAAAAGAAAATAACACTCTCTCTCTCTCTCTCGAGGTCTCTGACTTGCAAGTCAAAAACTAATTCTCAATAGACTAGCCCCACTAATCAAATATTTTTCAAAACTTCTGATTATTATATTTTCTTTTTTTGCTAAGAATATGATCTAACAGATTTGATGAATGGGAACAACTTCAGCAAACTGAAAGAAACATTCCAGGTGATACATTTGGTTTTCCTCATCCTAGTCGAATTTCATTTTTTTTTCTCCTTGTCATAGGCCACTACACAGAGTATCATCATTAATTAATGACAGTCACGTTAGGAAAATGATTGAAGTCAGGATTTCCGTCTTTGCTTGTTAGGAGAAGTTATGACCTTCATCTCGTGAAGCTTTTCTTATCAGAGATTCAAAAGAAACTTGATAAGAACGGAATCTAATGATGCAACTGCCATCTTAACTATGATATAAAACAACTGTTTTCCTCTCGTGATGCTTTCCGAGTATAAAATTACGTTATTTGTTCGTCGAATGTAAGATGAAAAAACGGGGACGAGAAGAGTTTCTTACTTTTTGTGGACGTGGCTTGAAATGATTATTCTAAACAGATGAAGAAGGTAAAGATCATTCCATTTGTTTCTCTCGAATGAACTTACCGGTGATGAAACCGTTTCGGGTGATGATCGAACGTAACCAAAGGTATTTCGTACACCATTTTGAATAGCCTGCAAGATCACAAACGAAAGAGTCTTCTTCGAAACATCAATCATTGCTTCACTCACCTGAAAATTCGAGACGAATTCTAATTCAAACGACGGTATTTGTCCGTATGTATCCGGCATAGTTTGAACAAGTGTATTGAACTTATTTTCGAGTTGTTTTTTAAACATTAAGATTTCCGTTGTCGACGAATTTTTGAACAATCGATCAGAGAACTCCAATGGCTGAATCAACGCAAATCAATATGAACAGCAAAGCAAATGCAATGGATTCTATTTACCAGATTAGCACGTTCAACAGCTTCATCAATTTTCTGCATTTGATTTGTCAATAGACTTTGTTTTTCATTAAATGTGCTGTCTAATTCCTAAATTTCAATTCATAGACAATCACTCAACAAGAGAAATCGTTTTGCGTTTTTACTTTGAGCAGTTCATGTTTTCGATCATCAATTAATTGTCGATAAAACGTGTAAGTTTCATTGATATCATGTTGGGCTTTATTGTATTGTGTCTAAACAATGAACAGATACAAATGAATGTTCTAATTGATTCATTTGTCTTACTTGTAATGAATTGTACGATCGATCGACAGTCTTTTGCGAATGTCTCAAATCATTTAAACGCTGACGAGTATTTTCTACCATATTCTGCAGTTTTGCTACTTGATGTGATCCTAGAGTATAGAGAGAAAAGATCATTAGCTAGTCGTATTGACCTTTCCATCGCAATGCGTGCTTTACCTGCATCATTTAATGGAGTGAATTCATGTCCAGCAGGTCCATGATCTGTTGTTGTACATGTCGAACAAACTATGGAGCGAAGAAAGATAATTAAAATATCTATAAAGTCATAAAAGATGGTATTTACTTGGTATATTGCAAGTCGTACAAAAATATTTCAGTGCGTCATTTTTATGAGTCGAACAGAAGACTAAGCGAAGATCGTTCCCATTGGAGTCGAGTTCTTTAATATGAACAACCTAAGATAGGGAAAGGAAATGACGATGACGTTCTTTTCTTCGAAATAATCAACGAGAATCTCACATTAATTCGATTCGAATTTAGAGGAGAATCATTATTGATAAGAGTACACATATTAATATGCGTCGTTTCTCAGACGACTAGTCTTCTGATTTGATGATCATCTAGCTTATCCAGAGATGAAGAAGAAGAATGAAGTAACTGCTGTTCTAGTTGCTTCCTTCTTTCTTTCTTTTTACTTCTGCAAAAAAGTCTTAGAGACGAATGTAAAACATAGAGGAAAGAGAAAGAAAAGAAGAAGAAGAAAAAAACGCACACACTAGAAACATCATCAATTTTTGGTGTGTATGTGTGTGTAGAGATGTTGCTCGAGTGGGAAGAGAAGAAGAAGAAAATAGAAATCAGAGAGTCTCGTTGTCGAGAAGTTCATTTCGGTCGACGAATGTATTGTATTCTAGTTGCTTGGGGGCTCTCGTCTGCCTGCGTTCTCCTCCCTCTTCATTAGAATTCAATTTCTTCTTCTCCTTTTCTCGCTTTTTGTTCTTTATCTCATACTAGATCCCTGGAAATAAGTTTCTTTCTTTGTGTCTTCTCCTTTCCCCAAACAATTCTTCTTCATCAATCGATGATGATGGTTTTAGTGGTTAGATAAAAGATGAATAAGAAGCTTATTCCGTATCTTAATAGTCCGCACGAGCACTTTACCACTGATAATCATTTAGCCTACAACACTAAATTTTCTTTTTACGCCTTTCTTCCAGCACAAAGATACCCTTGCACTTCCTTCTCACATTCGCCGATGTTTATTCTAATAACTACAGTTGTTAAAACAACCTAGCAAGCAATCATTGACTAGGAGAGAAGCAGAGAGATGATGAAACGGAATTTGAGCAGTCGAATGACACTAGAGAGAAAGAAGGGAATACGATCTAACCGGAATGGAAATACAACATCGAGTTGCTTGAATGCATCTCCACAAAATTGATAGGAAATCGGAAAGATAAGAAGAAAAAAGAGAAAATAGGACAAAATCTAACTAAGTTATGGAAATGCATGCTCAGTAATTATTATTGAATTATGTATGTGCGTGTGTATGTTTGGTAAACGATGGCAATGGAGATGAGAGAGAAAAGAAAAAGAAATCAATTAAATAGAATGAATGTTGACGGACAAGAAAGAAAAGAGAAGCATGAAGAAATCGATGAAAGAAAACAGGTTATGTCAAAACTGAATCGAAGAACTGTTCGATGATTTCCTTTTTTTGCAACTTCTTTACAATTGATCCGAAGAGAGGGAAAAAAGAAGAGAATCTAATCAAAATCTCACTCTTTCAAATGATTGTTACTTACGCGATGACCTTCGAAACAATTCATTATTTGATGTGCACAAACACACTGATGACAGAGGAAGCTCGAACATTGGAAGCATTTGGCAATTGCTATTGATTCAGCATTCTTACATGCTGTACAGCTTTTGGTAGCATTTTCTCCGAATGGTAACATATAATCATTAGATAGATTTTCAGGATGATTCTGGGCAGTGTAATCAGGTAAAATCTCGTTAAGCATTGTCGTTACGCCACACGATGGACAACAGATGCTTGCATCGTTATTATCAGATAATTTGTCGACACATGTTTCGCATAATGTATGAAAACATTGAAGAACTTTCGGTCGAGTTTGCTTGTAAGGTTCTTGACAATGTGGACAATCCCAGTGATTGTAATGATAGTCTTGATGTTGTATTTGTTTATGAAAGAATGGTGATGATGAACTACAAGGATTGTCAACATTTGTTATTGAATGAACGCTCGATAGACTCGAACTGGGTGATGAAGTTGTCAGGCCAGTTAATAGTGATGCATGTGTCGTCGACGGTTGACCTAACATCTGCTGCATTTTCTGCTGTTGCTGCTGAGCTGAATGCTGTTGAGATTGAAGGCTACGCATGATAGAAATTGATTGACTGGTCGAATTATTCGTTTGTTGATGTTGTAGTGGTGGCGGTGGTGAGGATGATGATGCATATGCTGAATCCGTGAATGAGAAAGTAGTCGACGAACCGTTGGAACTTGAACCTGAACTATCATGACTTAGACATGTTGCAAGAAGTGTATTTGATGATACATCTGATGTTGGTGGGAATAGGCCAAAGAATGGCGAGTTCTAAATAGATATTAATAAAGATAAGAAACTATCGATATATTCTCTTTTTTTTATCGCAATTAAATGTGACAATGAACGAATGAACACTCAAAAGTGTCTCGCCTGGGCCAAAAGGTCATCATTTACATTTACATGCAGATAGTTGACAATCATCGTCACATCTCCTGCAATTCTGTTGCTTTTTGAATCTCTCCTTCTTTTTTTCGATTTCTTCAAATGACATGTAAGTGCCAATTGATATGAAAGAATAGTTCTCGTCTCTGCTGACTTCAAGTCGTATTCACTTGAAAAAGAATGATAAGAACAAAGACTATCGAGAAAAATAATGATGAAAAATGCTTCTTCATGCCGTTTCTAATGTCAATAAATGGCATATTAAATTTGCGTTTTTCAATTTGATTTTCCCTATCAATGCCGACACGTCGATGTATCCATATAATAAGCGGACATGTGTATATTCTTTAGTTCTCTTTTGTTTTCATCTGTCAATTTGACTTACCCATAAATCATTATCGATATCGAACATTGTTATTAATACTGCTGTTGCTTGACTCTCGCTAATAACAATCGGACTTCTTTTCTGCCAGCATGTCGTGTGAGTAGGGGCGTCTGACTGACTAATGATTTGTCAAAGTTGCCCCGTCTTTGTGTATTTCTTTTTTTTTCCTTTCTTTCTTTCTTTTTTTTCTTCTTTCTTCGCTCTCCGTTCTCGTCGCCTGTGTTCCGTATGTACCCTTAGTAGAATAGATCGTCAAGGTGTCTCGCTTTTTTCTTCTCTCTCTCTCTCTACATAAATATATTTATAGAGAGGGAGAGAGAGACAATTGATGTGAGCGTGTCAACATCAGCAATTGTCGCAAGACATTCGACATGATTAAATGTATCATGTTGTCAAATTCTTTTTCCTTCTGATAGAATGGACAAATGAATTTTTATTCGAACATTTTTAATGGCCGCAGGAATAGAGGAAGAGAGAGCACTAATACACATCTGCGAGGAAAATTTGCGACGTTCACGCAGCTGTCCATAAAATAATTTATGCACAGATTCAATGATTCCTAATAGAGCCGAATGCAAATTTTCTCATCGTTTCTCTTTTCTTCTCAGAGAGGAAAACAAAAAAGAGCACAAATCATGCTGATAATTGTTTACGGGAAACTTTCTATTCTGTATTGCCCTCGATGTAAAAATCGGTGAAAACATCGACTTAGCCTAACTAATGACACATGATTGATGGCAAATTCGCTTCGTATAGAAATATAAACAAAAGACTTCTTTGATATGCTCTTGTTTGCTGTAGACCAAACAGGGGTTTTCTTTTCGAGCATATACACATCTAATACTTTTCTCCTTTATGTCCATGTAGCATGTCAAATAGGTGTTATAAAGTAAAAGAAGAAGAAAAAGTAGTTCTCGTCTATACGTGTTGGATATGTATATCTGCAATCGTTGTTCACGGTTGTCTACTAATAAATACAGTAAAATTGCAAGGTGCTAAAGTAATAAATCATTGAAAGCTGTTTTTTCAGTTGTTTGTGATGTAAATCAAAGACATTCGCCTGTCAAAAACTGAATATACATGTTTATATAACAAACATTAGAATCTGAATGGAAGGTGTTAATCTATTGGTCAAACATAATCTAATCTTTTCGAGATAAAAGCTTGGTATGTATGAATGAGGAAGAGAGCGAGCGAGAAAGTGCTTGGAATAGAATGAAGAACATCATCTATTAATGATAATGTTCTCGAGGAAATAGAAAAGAAGTCGTAATGATGTTATGCTTTTTCACAGCTTGAGGACAATAGTAATGGACAAAACAACTCGTCTAATTTGATTAATGCTTGAATAGCTTTGTTTTTTTATTTTCAGAAGAAATTTAAATCAAACCATTGATCCGTTGTTGTTTAACCAAGCGCGATCTAACAACTACATTTCCGCTAAGATCACAATCTCGACTATATTCATATGAAACCTTTTATCTAATTGTCGAAGTGAAAAAAAATGCGAGCGAAGATAGCATCCAATTAGACTTTCGTTTTACTCCGAGTTTTTCTTTGTTCGTTTAACCTTGATTGAAATACATGTTAACGAGTGAGAACTCCTTTTGCTTCTGCTTTTTCTTTATCAGATGACCCTGACAGAATCTCAACTTTCATCGCTCATGCGCGTGTGCATGCACATACGCACACACTGTTGATACATTCTTTGGAGAAAACTATGTAAACCGCAAATAATATGTTCGTCCATATGTTTTTCTGTCAGATGATCGTAATGGTTAAATGCTTCGCTCATCAATGTAACTAAGTGAGATATGATAACATACATTAACTGCTCGATTCGAAAGCGAAGAAAAAACGAAATGAGTAGGTTGTTTTCATGAATAACATTTGGTGAAAGCTGTTTATAAACACACGCGAATCAAAAGGTGTCCGCTGACGAAAACAACAACAAGAAAGGAAAGAAAAAGGGCAAAAGACAAGAAAAGAGATGATTTATGATCTTACCTGATCATGAACAACATCTTCAATATCATCGAATTGATTTGTTAGAAGAAGATCTTTGTCACGATAAGGATGTTGAACATCAAACAGAAGTGACGAATCGTCCAGATCACCGTCGACAAAGATCGTTTTTAAAGTTGATGGGATCATAGTAATGGTGTTTGAACTGCAAGTTGTCAAATAATAGTGACTAAAGTTGAAAGTTAAGAAGACTGTCGTTGATTGTTTGTGATTGTAGATGCTGTTGTTGTTGATATTCCATTATATGTTCTTAACTTTGTGCGTCACGCCATCATTCCGTTGGATGTGCATGTGTTGTTGTCGATTCAAGCCGTAAACGAACAGTTAGAAGAAAACGCGGGCGCGCGAGAGAGAGAGAGACAGAGAGCAAGGGGGAGAAAGAGAGAAAGAGCTTTTTTTTATATGCCAGTACTGCTACGAAGATTGGTTTGGTCTGTATTTTCTGAAAGAAAAAGAAGAAAAAAAAGCGAGAGCGAGCGAAATAACAAATAAAAATGTGGGCGAGTAAAGCAAAAAAAATAGAAACGACCGGGCATGAATGTGCGCCGTGTGGCTTCTTTCTTCCTCCTCTTCTGTGTATGTTTTTTTTACAAAAATATCTTTCTATCTAAAAGAAGGAAAGAAAAAAAGAAGGAGCAGAATTATCAAATCCGTCGCTTTGATGATAGTGAACGAGCACGAGCGCTCGTTTCTCTTTCTTTTGCCTTTTTTTTTCAATCTAAAGAGCATCGAAACATGATGATGACGACGACAATGTGACTGTATTAAAGATCGGTCAATAGTAAAGAATACAGATACACTAACAATGCCCCATACTAGACATTCTTTGTTATGATTCATCTGGTATGCACATGTTTGCTAGATTGGGAATACCACTCGTCGATCGATATATGAAAATTCTCTAGATAGAAAAAGAAAAAATATATATATACATACATGCTATTGAAGTTCTTTCGCATGATTATTATCATCATCATCATCTGATAACTTTCTAGACGACTCGGTATGTTTTTCTTCGATCAGCATGACATTCTGTTGATACTAGACTTGGAAAATAACATAGCAGAGAAATAAATAAGCAAGAACGGGTGCGTGTCGAAATACATATGTATATGAAAAGCACACGAGTATAATATCAGTCAAGGCTATATGCGTTGTTATGATCAATAGGAATGCCACCAGTAATATGACAGATGTAGGCGAAAACAACAACAACACAGAGAAAACATCGAATCGAAAGGAACGAATTTTATGATTACCATATGACATTTCTTCTTTCTCTATTAACCTCAATGTACGAAAAAAGCAGCGATCCCAGATAATTTGATTTTACAACCAAGAACATATATAAATATTCACCATATTAATTTAGTTTATTCGATCGTGTATTGACAAAAACATCATTGGCAGAGTTCTATATTTATTTTGTTTTTCGCATTGATCGAAAGAGAAAATAAGGAAAACGACGTCCATGTCTATTAAAAGAAGTCATTCATCAAAACATTTTGAATTTCTGGATCATGGCAAATATCAATCAGAAGCGTTCGTGTCGGCTCATACGTTGTATTCGAAAAGACATAAGAAAATCGTCCGAAGATATTTGTATGCCAAGCGAGTGCGTTTTTCAAACCCTACATAACGAACCAATTTCAATCATTCCGATGAGAGTGTTTCAAGTCCTACTTTAATAAACGCTTGATCGTTTTTATGCAGAAGTTTTAATATAATATATGCGCCATATGATGCTTGATTTAATATTTCCACGACTCTGTCCATCTTCATGGATATGAGACTGTCGTATGAACTAGACAAGAACGAATCTATATAGATTTACTTGTTTGGAAATCATCGATTCGGTCCTACCTGGAGAGATCAGATCGTTTGAAGATTATTTCGATGATGAATAAACAGATTTGTTCGAACTTGTTCAGATCATTGAGTAGATCAAACAAAAAATCCTAAAAGATCGATTCCAGACTATGAAATTGTTTCTTTTTGTTTAGAAATCTTACGAAATGTTTTGGTAAATGAACGGTGATCGTTACTAAAGCTTCTAATAAACATCGATTGGCATGTGACAGTGCTCGATTGGGATTGATATATGTTCGTATTTGATTCAATAAATTATTGTAACATGTTTGATTTGCTGTCTAATAAATAGAAATTCATTTTGTCTTCTGTAACGGTCGTTTTGATACAAACTGTTGATGACGACGATGATGATGATGAAAATATTCTCAAAGCTAATTCGCGATGACGTGTTTGATTATCAGTTCGACAAAAAATAGCCTAAAACAAATTCGAGTTTCTCCTTTCGACGCTAAATACGGTAACGAACAAACAAACATGCAATAAATAACCATACGCATTTGGAAGATAATCAATAGGAATGTCTGCTGATGATATACATTCACGTATTAATTGAACATTTCTCATAAATTCATCATAATATATCGTTTGACGTACGTAATTATATCCCTAGATGATACGCTTGGTATAGACGAGGCGAATTTCGTCGAAAAGATGCGTATTTACTTCACTGCAGTACAACGCCCATTTTAAAGCGTCGAGGATTTCAGGGCTACTTGTCCAAGGGATCGATTTGGTTTGAATAATGGTTGTGTAAATTCGCATGGAAATGTAAATACTTTTGAATAAGTCAGTTGTCATGATAGATTGAGATTTGATGAAAACGAAATGAATGATAACTAACTGACGATAGTCGTATTGGAGAATTCAAATCGACAAATCACGAGAGATATCAAAATAGAAAAAGAAAGAAATACTTTTATTTCTTCACCGGTATAAATACAAAGAGATAGATTAGAAATCAAGATGTTTTCTGTGTCAGATTGGGGTTAACAAACGAAAAACCTCGGAATGTATTTGGAGGAGTCGATAGTAATAAAACTCGATCTTTTTGTTCTAAATCGGATAGACGTGGAACAGGACCACTTGATTCAAGTGATGTGATAGACTAAAAAGAAAAGTTTGTATAGATACATTTCATTTGATTTACATACGGTAGGTTTCCATGGCGGAGCTACACGTCGGTTTTCAATATTATCTAATGTATACGGCGCTCTGAAAGATCTCAAATATGAAAATTAACTGTTTGATTGTTCACTCACGTGAAAAATGGTTGTTCTTTTAATAATCCTAATGGAGAAGATGGATTTCCTAGTCTTCGTTTGGGATCACGATCCAATAAACCAGAAATAATCTGTTTCGCCTCCTTGGACATTGTTTCCGGGTAATAAACATCTTTCAATAGAACATTTTCTTCAATTTGCAGTTCATCTTCATCATAGAACGGTGTTATGAATGTAAACATTTCATAGATCATGATTCCCAATGACCACCAATCAACGTTCTCGTCGTATTCAAATTGTTTGTAAATTTCGTAGGCAATGTATTCCTGGGTACCACAAAATGTGGTAGCGCGAGGTGCTTGATCGATATTGTCTTTACATAAACCAAAATCACCTAGTTTTAGATGGCCATCTTCGAAAACGAGAACGTTTTCTGGTTTGAGATCGCGATAAGCCTAAGACAAACAAAACAAAAATGAAAAATTGAAATGAACAATTTTCGTTTTTGGGCAACGCACGATACGTTTCGAATGAAGAAATTCCAGTGCGCAGGCAATTTCACCTGAGTGGAAAACGATACGTTCATAAGCGAATGGCCGTGGAGTTTGTTTTAATAGAATTCGATAGAAATTTCCGCCTCGTGCTACTTCCATAAAGAAAAACAATCGTTCCGCATTTTGAAAGGCGTACATTAATTGAATAATAAACGGATTGGACTGGCTTTGAATCATGATTTGTCGTTCGAGCATAACATAACCGAGATCTTGTCCTTCCAAAACCACGTTTTTCCGTAAGACTTTCATCGCATAATAATTTCGATGATATTGAACGAGATAAACCTGAAAATTCAAAACAAAGCTTTTCCTTTGATTTCTTTATCAAACACTTACAGCTCCATTCATTCCGTGTCCTAAACTACGTATCAAACGGACTTGATCAATACTGAATCCTGACGTTACGTTATGTCGGTAAGATTTCGACATCCGTTCGATTTCCTGTTGTGTATCGTTGGCACGTTCGACGTTATTCAAACTCGAATAAATGTTATATAAATCTCCATTGTATTGATACGTATCATCTGAATCATTTTCATGCTAGAACCAAGAAGATGTTCGAACTTTCTCGTTTATGCGATTGTAAAACCCTACCGTTTCTTTCCATTTGTCATATAAAGCTAAAACATTGTCTTCGCATCCACAGTAATTGCCAACTTTATTGATGCACCGACGGTGAATAATCATTGTGCAATCTAAGTTCGGAAATCATAAGATTCGAACGAGATAGTAGGGAGATCCTACGTGAACATTTATGAACGTGCCCAGGCCGAATAAAACTTCCGCAATGATCACAGAATGTTGGTTTCAGAGAAAAGGCTTGCAAATCAAAATGATGTGCAACATCAATCTTTAACTAAAATCAAAAAGATCATCGATATGTGCTTTATAAAGAAAAAAAGCCTTCTCACATCTGGGTACTTTTTTCCTCGGCACGGACACGCATATCGACTATAACATCCCCTATGTACCACACAATCGCAACGTTGGCATTGAAATCCTTGGTAAGCAAATCCCCTTGAAATTCAAAGACTATGAGAATGATTTGTTTTCCAATCAGTACAGATTATTTACCAAAGAAATTCCGAACAGACAGAACAGAACGTTGGCAGTTTGAAAATTTTTGGTACGAATTCATGGCCGAAATGTGTGTAAACTTGTTGACGCCGTTCTGCATAACGACTTTTTCCTTCCGGAATATCCGTTTCACGAACAGTTTGACCCGAAGCATCTGAAAGTGTTGTCTCCCAAGGCAATCATCTCGGGTAAAACAATTCCGGATATTTACCTTTGTATTTAACAATCATTTCTGCTTGAGCCGGTGGAGTAAAAGTAAACTATAACAAAACTGTCATTTTCACAGAAGCGACACCTTTACACTTTACCCGATGTCTATGACCATCAGCTATCTTCTTCAGCGCATCTAGATCTGATTCGAATTTATACATGATATTTTCATATTGTATCCGAACAACGATTTGTCGTTTAATTTTATGCAGTAGACCAGCATCGAACGGAATGCATTTCTCTTTTTCGATATACATGGGGAACTTCACTTTCGTCGGCTCTTAAAACAAACAAAGAAAGATCAATTCTAACTAGTTCGTCCTATTCTTACTTTCGCCATTATCGCGCGCTGTTCGATTTTTCTCTTTAAGTTCAACTTGAGTTTGCACATCGGCGAGCTTGACGAATTGGTTACTATTATTGACTTGAAAATTCAATATTTGCATACGTAAGAATGGATGTGGGTCTTGCGACATATCTAACAAACATTGAAAATATATTGATCATTTTCTAAGGAAAGTCAAGCTTTGACATACTCGAAGTACATGATTGTGCATGTGAAAATTTTGCTCGTAGAGTAGTCGTCATTTGGATATGGAGTTTTTGTACTTAAAAAAGAAATGTGTTTTTGCTTCAGAAGATTTATATGCATACCATTTTCGTCTATTCTTTGACAGCGCACGTTAGAATAATATTCGAGAAAAAAGAAATGGCAGTAGATGAATATTCGATGGTTTCTTTTTTTTTTCTTTCTTTGCAATGAAACAAGTCGATAATCACAGAAAAACAGCAAATGAAAAAGAGAAGTAGAGAACGAAAAAAAAAAAGAACAACAACAACTTCAGTCATAAATGTTTAGTCATGTCAGATTTTGTAAACTAACGGTTTTGTCACAGGTCAATAAATGACAAATGACGAAAATCATCTTTGTTTAACGTCAATGTCGCACAGAGAGATTGTTCATCGATTTGCGACAGACGAACTGGCTGCATTGAGGCAAACTGTTCCGGTGCGGGATTGAATGGAATCTAAAAACGTTCAATAGGAAAGTAGAGATAAAAGTGAAGAATATACTGGTCGTTTCCATGGACATCTGATAACTCCTTGTTCGATATCTTCTAATGAATAAGGTGATGAATAGCAATCGCTCGATCGAAGGTCACTTATTCCAAAACGTAGTTGTGGATTTTTTGTTAATAAACCAGCGATGACTGTTTGCAAATCATCAGAGATTTTAGTTGGATATTCAAAATCTCCATTAATCACATGAGTTCTGATCTCCACTTCGTGCGGATGATAAAATGGAGTTTTTAACATCAACATTTCATATATCATAATGCCTATGGACCAATAATCAACAGGAAAACTATAAGCAGAATGCTGATAAATCTCCGGCGCTATATATTCACATGTTCCACAAAATGTTTGAGTTGTTCCTTTCGGTGAAGTAAATTGTTTACAAAAGCCGAAGTCAGCTAACTTCAAACGCCCATCGCGCATCAGAAGAACATTCTCTGGTTTCAAATCTCGGTGCATCTGAAAGAAAATCTCGTTGATGTACAGATCGGAAAACCGTATTTCATTGAGACTTACTACTAGTTTGGAATGAAGATAACCTATCGCGCATATGACATGTGCAGAAAACCATTTAACACAGTTATTATCGAATTCACTGCCGAATCTGACTAAGAAATCATAAAAATTTCCACACGGTGCATATTCTAACAAGAAATAGACACGTTGAAAGTCATGAAACACTGCATATAGTCGAATAATGAATGGGTTTCCTCGTACGTCATGTAAAACATCGCGTTCGCTCTTCATACAATCATATTCGTTCGCTTCGAATATTCGATGTTTTCGAAGTGCTTTTAAAGCAAAATGCCGTTTCGAATGCTCTACACAATAGACCTAAACATCATTTTACTACTGAGCCTTTCATTTGCCTGGTTTTCCTACTGACCGATCCACTCATTCCATGTCCGAGCAAAGCGTGAAATGTTAACTCGTTGAGCAGAGCAGTGCTTTTGTTATAATAAAGCGATATTCTACGAAATAGAAATGAAAATCTCAGAAATTATCGAACGGATATTTACGTTTGATTCGAATTCCCAGATCCTTCAAAGATTTTTGTAATTCGATTCAAATCTTGCTTGGCGCCTGTGCGTTCCTGATCATGTAGTAATCTATCATTAATGTTAATCAATTGCTTATTGTTCGCTTCGATGTCTTCCGTTGTATAGTCATCGGCAATTAGATATGTCTCAGCATTATTCGGTTGATTCTTCAACGGACAAAGACAAGCAAAGTGAAATTTCCCATAACTCTCTCGTTTACTTGTTCTTTCCATTGTTCGTACATCTTCACAACCATTTGTCTTGTTCCACAGAACTTCGCGACGTTCGTTCTGCATTTAGAATGAACAATCATCCCACATTCTACAAATACGTACGTGTGTGTTTGTGGCAAGCAAGCTTCTATCTACCTGAACATTTCCACGCTCGTAATGGATGAATTATTTTACCATCGTGATCACAGAACAATGGACGAAAATTTGGTTCAAGAACGAAATTATGTGGAATTGTTGGAAGGGATGGAGAATCTACAAGCTAATATACATTCTTTTCAAGATATTTGCTATCTATCTCGTACGAAACATACTGCTAATTGTTTGCAAGCTGTTACTTGACTAATACATTCATTATGAACGACAAGATCACATAATTGACATCGGTAGCCTGGCTTGTTAAAACCCCTGGAAATAGACATTATTATTCAGTAGATTATTCAAAGTAAAAGGGTACGTTTACCATAAAACTTTCTTACACTCACTGCAAAAAACAGGTAAGATAGTGAAGTATCTAAAAAAAAGATGATATTTCACGATGGAAGCAGGAATCTCTCGACAATTTACTTTGGCAAAAACTCATGACCATAATGTTTATGTATTTTATTATCCACAGCTCGCTGTGCGTCACGTACGTTTTCATTTGGTACTAAAAACAATCGCATTCGCATCGAATTTTACGATGACTATCATCCTACTGATCAATTCGACAGACATTGATGCTCGACCTTTGTCTGAAAACCGGTACTAAAATCATTCAGATGAGAACGAATGTGTGAACTACTAAAACGAAATTGCAGAAAAGTTTACTTCTCGAATAATGTTGTCTGCATTTCGAATCAAATCTTCGATCGACGTTTGAAATGTATAATTCGTCTTTTTAATATCATGAAAAACCCCTAATACGATTTGCCGCCCTTGTTTTGTACGTGTTTCAAATAGAAAATGATGCTTTTCCTTATCATATTTAGGGAATTTTGGTCGACCCGATGAAACTAAGATTTTCGATAGAAACAATCTACATATCAAACGCGAAAATAGATGGTTTACTTTGCTGGGCATCGTACGTATCTACTTGTAGTTTTAGATTTTCCAATTGTTGATTTTGTGGCCCGACAGAAAACTGTACAAAGCGAACACGAACAAAGGGCTCGCTGACTGTTCGCACGGACGATGTCATTATTGAAAAATTCAGCTATGTAACAAAGCAACCTTAAGGTTTACTGATAACAACCACCTACACACAAAAGACATGACACAGATAACAAAATGTTTTGTTTTCTCTCGTTTCTAAACACAGAATATAATATTTCGCTAGTAAATGGTCAGAAGATTAGCCTAGATCCATTTATGGTATTTTCGATGTCGATGGACTTTCCAAATGTTAATTTTCACCAAAATAGAACGAATTTATCCATCGATAAAATAACCGGCTTTATCAAAACACTGTTCATCCATGCTTTCTAACCATTTAAACACAGTTTCAACCAAGTTCAAAATATGCTGCAATGTCAATGACTGAACGAGTCCTCGACTAATTGCAGATATAATTACCCTCACTCCCTGGGAAAAGACATTTATTCATATATCAACCAGTGGATATCCTTGGCGTGCGTTATAAAAAGTATTTCAAACATGCATGCACAACTGGAGGAAATTTCTTCTAAAACGTGATTTTAATATGATAGAGTTCAATGAACTTTTTCGCTTAAAAGAATGCTCGACGTCCTCGCGGAATATATTGACACAGCTGATTGATTGGAAGTTGCGGGCTATGGTAAATGAAGAAAACATCAATGCTTTTCATTGGTACAATCATATTCGTGCGTAAACTTACTTATAGGCATAAAAATGCGTAAAATCGCGTCCGGTACCTATAACCTGAAAGTTTATTGTTTCCTTTCCCTGAACGACTCTTAAGTTTAATTAAAGTAATCATTTTCTCATCTTTATATCATATAAAATGCTCAGACAATAGAGTCAAGAGGAGGTCTTGTTGTTTTTCCTTTCTCAATTTACCGGAAAAGCACAACTAAAAACGTTAAATGACGTATATTGCGTAGATCGAAGATCGCTAAATTTAAAACAACTTTTTTTGGATTTAATAAAAAATCAGTTCACTTCTTTCCACACCCTAACGTTTGTTGAAATATTCGAGAAACACCTCGGTTTCGGCTAATCTTGATCACATTTTTAGTCGCTACTGGCACCAGTGAAGCGGAAATTGTCTATTTCCAAGTTAATGTCAGCTAATGCGTTCAAGAAAAAGCGTTGTGTGCTGAACAGAAGTTATAAATATGTCATTAACTTTGATGAGTACAAAATGAACTGATCCGTTTAAACACTTGTGAAGCTTCCAAGTGAAAACTAATCAGCGCCGAGTCAGTGTCGGAAATAGCTATTCGAAGTCTGGCAAAAGCCGAGTGCACTTGATTATAGTTTAAACCTTTTCATGGCAAACAACAGCAACAACAAGATATGCGCAGTTTCAGTTTTCTCAATAATAAATTGAGTCAGTCGAATGATTCATTTCATTGCAGATACAATCAAATATTTATTATTTCTAGTCAAACAATCGAACGTTTGAAAGTTAAATCGGCACTATATCACATGTACAACAAAGAGAAATTCGAACGAAACAAAACGTATTCATCAAAAGATTATCGTTCTATAAATGATGATCTGCCTCGAGCTAGATTTCTTTTCGCGGGACAATGCAACATGGACAAAACGTACGCGCGTAAACTTGGATTCATAAAACAATATATAATTGGATTCAATGCATGTGTACATAAATATAAATAATAAATCATGATTGGACTTTTTATAATTCGTTCAGCATTCAGAATTGATGGTAGGTAGAACAATACAAACGAAACAGTGATAATTAAAAACGTCGATGCCATGCGTAGTTGTTGGATACGATGACGATGTAACTGTCTTCGTAGTGTTTCGCTATTCGATGCCGACGTGGCTGTTGTGGGATTTGTTGAAGTAATTATGGCGGCGGCAGCTTCATCTTCTGAATGGTTAGAAATCGATGACAAATGTGTGTGAGATGTTGGTTTTTTCGTAGTACAACAACAACACAACCATTTGGATGATGACAAAGATGGCCGTGCGAAGTGAAATTTAATTAAAAGTTGACGGGTAGTTAAACATGGACATGGCAATTTGTAATACACATTATGGTTGGCATCGAGTTCATTATCGAATGATACGGATGAGAGTGAGAGATGTTTCGTTCCTTCCTTTTGTAATGTACTTCGACGATTTTCAACTTGAAAGGATACTTGTTTGCCTCCGTAGAGTTTCTCCGATGATGGTGGAAGATCGTCCGATGTACCATCGGATATGCTGATTTGATGCGGAGAGTTCTTCGTTTGTGTTCCTGCTGTTGGCGATGGAAGAGTATGCTCGTCACATTCATCTGGAGGAGCGAAGCTCGACATTTCAAGTTGTTGTTCATTTCGTAAGGGAGGAATCGGTTTGACTACAGTGGTTGTCACTGCACTTGCTGAAACTATTGACGGACGATATGAAACAACGGAATCTGTAGGTCGTTGAGCTGATCTGGGCGATGGATAAGCATCGAATTTATTCAAAACATTCAGACTCTTTTTCAGTGCACGTATACGTGGATTTTGTCGGCGAAGTGCAAGAACAAATGTAATTGTATAAAAAATCGTCACAATACCAATTAAAGTATAAAAGACTTTATTGGATGAGCTCTTCAAAATTTCACGTATCGATTCCGAGAGAATTGTTGTATCAGCAAAGCAACGTTCGACTGTTGATTTATGTTGAAAGTCCACTATTGTGATATTACTAATACCATCGGGATCAAGAGTGGTTATAATAGAATCTGTTACGTTCGCGGTCAATGATGAATTTTGTTCTGGTTCGAAATCTATATCTTCGTACTTGACGGGTGAGTAACTTTCGTTTGGTAATAGAGAATAATAGGTTACCCGAAACACGCTTTTGTAAGGATGGGTAGAAAATGCTAGAGCAGTTAATGTACCGAGGCCAATGCCTATAGCAATAAATGTAATCAGCAAAACCTAGAAAAGAAAACCAGCTTGTTTCAATAACCAATCTTCCCAAACACTAATGACATTTATTTGCAACAACAATAACAATAACTGGCAAAATTCTCGTAAGCGGTATCAATATGAAGTACATGTTCTATTTACTTAAATTTAGATTATTTACATACATGAAACCCTTTTCTTTTGATATCATAGAAATAGAACGAGAACGCATACTATGAAACTCGACAATTTCTTAGTCTTAGGGGCTAATCGTCCTTTCATCTGTTAATAAAAATCGGTCTACATGATATATTCAACGTTCATGTTTATAATCGGTTTGGTCTTAATAGAAAAGAGTGATGACGTTTTGCGGATTATATTCATCAGTTATAAGAATAATTCCATATTTGTCGATAATGAGAATAATATGTGAAGATAAAGTATGGAAATCAATCTCATAATGAGTTTTAGTTGTACGTGAGGCCAGAAACATGATTTGAATTCGATGTTTACCCGTTCTAAATCTTTTATTGAAAGATTACTTATCAGAGAAAGAGGAAAAGTCTTGCTGACACTCCGAACATTCACTTGATGATAATCAACTAAAAAGCCAAATACCGATCTCTTTTATATTATATTTATAGATCTAAAGAATGCTTTTGACAAGCAGAATTCATTCAAGGATAAATAACTTTACATTACAATCTATTCAGGTTGTTTGTCCTATTTGACCCATCCCACGAGTGTCGCCATGCTCTGCTCAAATTCGAAGGCACGGCAAGGACATTACTAAGATCCTCTGAAATATGCTGATTCAATTAAATTTCTTTCTTCCAGAATTTACTTTTTATAAGGAAAAAGGAAATTGTACAAAGCATATAGCTGAATAACTAATCCCAGATGTCTGATTCCAGTGATTGATTTGATAACTACATGTTAATATGCAAAAGGCAGTGAAGCATATGAATGATTGCGTTCTGTCTGATCATACTTTGACACAGAAACGAGGAAGCGAGTTTGTCCTATTCTGTTAAAATCATGTCAAAGTCTTAATTTTATGACGTCAGTTTTAATACTAATGAGAAAAGAACAATAAATTGAAAACGACTTAATATAATCTCGATGAGCTATTTTTAGTTAGAAAAACTTTTGAAATAGATGAATAGAAAAGTGCACTGAATATGTTTAATCAAAAGATGAACGTTAGGTAATCAAGAAAATTTGATCTTTTCGCGTGGACACGATGTTTCTCGCATTTTCATCAAACTTACCTTCACTCTTCTCGGATTGAGTAAGCGACAATGTGGCAGAGCGATATTTATAAATCGATCAAAAGCAATGAACGACATAATAAATGACGAGATGATAATTAAATTCTTCGAAAACGAATAGAAACGACATATGGACGTCGGTACAAGAAAATCGCGGTACTCCATGATCGCAATTGTCGGCACAACAATCGAGCACGTCCATAGATCGACACATGCAAGAATAAGGATAAAGATAACCGATGTTGACTTTGATGAATTCCATCGGTTACCATACGCTAACAAGATCACTCCATTACCGAGTGTACCTATAATTGCCACAAGAATGAGATATATTAATAGAAAATGATTAATTGCCGAGCCCATGTTTAGTTGTTTGGTTGCAAAAGCATCTAAATCGAAAAACGGGAAAATACAGACAAGTATAGAGTTTATATTTCATTGAGGAATGCTGATTAAGTGACGAGTTTGTTGATGATAATCGAAATCAACAATTCGAATGTTGTTTTTCCTCAATATAAATAGAAAAGAGAAAATCGTAGAAATTTCATTATTGCTATTAACGTTAACGATTTCTCTTTTGGTATGATTCGATGTCTGCTTTCCAGACATAGTTTTTCTTCTCCTTCTCTCGATTTCTATTTTTCTTCTTCTTCTTTCTACGCTTCTCTTTTATGGTCTCATCTTTCTGAAAACATGCACTTCACTTAAAAGAATTCTCATCAATATTATTATTATGATGAAAAAGAATGAGTCGAAAAGACAAAATCGGGCTCATCAGACTAATTCGAAGGATACCAAAGAAAATGTTTTGCTTAGAAAAGATTCTCGTAGTTTCTCAACTAACAAGTATAGGGACGAGATTAATTATTAGGGAAAGAAATCAATTCAATACGGAACTTTTATACAAACAAAAACTATCCTTCGCAACAGAAAGTCGAGACAAAAGAACCGATTTTTGTTGTCTGAGAAGAAAGTTTAGTTGAATACATTCCGTTATGGTCTTATTCAGCAGTAAAACTTGCTATTTTAGTTGATTTCATCACGCTGTGATTCAGTTCAGTTCAGTGTCGAAGAAAATTAGTCACGAGACATCTTCTATTGTATCTGAACGTATCCATAGGTTATTTCCAAATAGGAAAATCTCTATTCATTAATTAGTTTCAATGCAGATGAGAAAAAAAAACTACTCATGAGTTCTCTGATGGAAGTGTTTTCACTTTTAATTATTCAGTGAAAAAAAAGTGTCAACGACAAATTTAATTATTCATCAAAAAATCATGATTCTTAAGTCATTTCTATTCCGTTAAAAACAGATGAACAAGTCTTACCTTCGATTTCAAATCACTTTCTGCAAATCTGTATCTGTCTTTTGTCAAGGCACATTCAAGACCGAACCCTAATTAAACTACAAGCAACTCGCGTCATTATATGGGTATTAGGATTTCTCAATTTTCTGTTCGAATAAATGGAAAACAATATACAAGTCTGTATTAGTCAACTATAATTAATTTAATATAATGCGACAAGAAACTTTTTCTTTTATTCAATTAGATTTACGATGATGATCGTTGCGTGAGACCTTCATACCTGGTGTATAGAGTCTAACTTTCTTCTATAGTAAGTGACTCTAATCAAAATGTCAATCATGTCGGTCTGGTTTATGTTGATAGAGATTTTTTTGTCATAGCTGAATTGATGTGATATTTAGTCGAATCTATATGTTATTAATACGTATAACTGTACCGAACTCGAGTTCGTATGTTAATCTCCAGATGATTAATCAAAATACAATATATATATCTATTGATGTTTTCTTGTTATCGAATAACTTGAAGTATGTACATGCTCTAATTTGATATCCACGATACTTTTCTAACATGGATTGACATGTCGAGTAAATTCTAATAGTTAAAGTGAGTAGATTTGAAGTCTACTAGATAATTCACTCTTTAATAGGTTCACCTGTTATTTTTCAAGTTCTAATGAACTATTTTCAAGTTGACCTAAAAAGCTACATCCCTTGAAGAAGGAAACCGCTGCCTGAGAGGAAACTATTTCCAGTGAATGAATTCACACTAGAGTTATGATTTTCCTTTCGATTATATTTCTAACATAAATTATACGAGAGCAAGTGCCACATACAATCTAAAACATTTAATGGGCTCTCAAACTCATTTCTGAAACGAGAATAACAGAACATTGTGTGAACATCCATTTAATGTGCACTCGAATAGAAAAAAAAATGGTACGCAATAAAAGGAAAGAGAGAAAACTAAACGAGTGTGAACTATTCTACTTAGTGTTTGTAAAAGTCGCACTGGGACGATTCGCTGTTCAGACAGAAATCTTTGAAATAAATTATGTTGATAAAATCATATTAACTTACTCGGATCAATTTCGATCTAGACAAACTAATTGTCTATCGGGGAATGATTTGCTTTGAAGTCAAAGAAGATGGATTGACAGGAGTTGTTTCTCAAGACAAAAGAAGTTGATATGACTCTCTATGTGTAATGCTTTTCGACGATAGGACAAAACAAGCAAAAATAAATGTGTAACTAAGCTAATTGTATATTTGACATGGCACGATGCTTTGCTACTTTCTTCTTCGTTCGTTATTTGTTTCTCTCATTCTCGTTCTCTCTTGCGCTTATCTTTCCAAACAGACAATCCACGCAATACGTTGATTGTTTTTCCCTATAAATAGTTCCAACCAAATTGTAACAAAAGAATAGTTGGTAATGTGTAACTTGAGTTGAAAAACTTACCGTCGAAATTTGTTTTCCTTTTTTTTCACAATGATTTGCAAATCAAACACAAGAAGAAGCAAAAAGTTGCAAAAACATTTTTTATTCTTAAAAAAACAACTAACCCACAGTTTCTAAAGAGCATTGAATCTCATATTGGTGTTTATAATGTGTAAAGTGTTTCATATAGCACATCTTTGAAGTGTATTTCAGCGACGCATTCATCTGATGGAAATTCTAAGTAGAACATCATCCTATTCATTTACTTTGCAAAAGATTGTTTTTAATATATATATATATAAATAGCACAGGAAATATTTCATCAATTACATTCGATCCAGAAAGAAGTTATAATTTTCCATCATCGCTGACTAAAGAGAAATATGAATTTGCTTCCAAGTACAATATGGAAATAAACTTGCTGATTGTCATGAATGACAAGCATTTGTGGCCTTTGTGAAAACAACAAAAGCAATCATTTCGAAATAATTAGAACCTGACATTCATATCGTTCTGTTATCGTCGGTTGTAGTTGATAATGTCCCTGTTGGAGAAATATTCTGCTTCTATGAACAAATCGCGGAACATTCAGTTCGGTGCGAAAGTTAAACGATGTTCTTTATTGCTTTCTTGAAAATATTGGATAAAAACATTTGCTTTGACAGGAAATTAAAGTATTAATATGCCGAAAGAGTGTTTTTGCTATCTCGCGGCTATTATGTGTGAAAGTAATTTTCTAGGAGACATGATTTTCTTTCGAGTCAAATAGTATTTGTACGAGTTAGACGCGCTAATCTGTAGTTTGTGCGAGATGAAATCTATTTCAAATCGATTGCACGTGCGAATACGTTCAGAACAGGCATTTCAGTTTTAAGCAGATTCTGAAAATAACCACAAAGCTGTTTTATTTCTATTTTACAACGGAAAAGAAAAGATTAATGTTCCGATAGCATAGTTAGATTCGCAGACGATGACATATATCATAATTCAATGGAAGTCCATCTGTCAGCACATTCTCCAGCACGTTCCTGTCTGCTTGATCATCTGCGACTCAAGGGAAATGACTCTAGAGAGAATTTCTCAAGAATATCCATGTTCAACGAAGGAGTATGAAGACAACTTGAATAGTAAATCTTATGAAAAGAGATTCAATTATTTCTTTGAATCACACACAACGACAGAAAGATTTGCTTTCGATCAGTCCTGAGTCCACAGGATCCTGATATACTTATCGTTAATATCATGAACTGATTCCATTCTTCTCGTAGTGTTATGCCGACATTGAATTACGGGTGGTTTTGTTAGAATTCTATTTTGATCAGTAAGCTTCTGCAAGGGGCGTTTTCCACTTTGAATGTTTGGTTTGAGATGTTATACTTGCGTGTTAGTGTCAACACAACTTTTGTCACAGAATTAAGAGGATTTATCGAAGCAGAACTACTCCTACTTGATACAATCGTACTTTGACAACACGAAGAATCGCCAGATAAGCTCAACCTTCATTACCTTAATTAATATGACAAGTCCGCTTAAAGTCAATCGTCAACGTATGTTGTGTACTTATCGAGGCCCTTGCTCTGAACTTAGACAATCGTAACATCAAGTTTTCATGACATTCATATTCTTAAGACGAGTACTTTATAAAATTTCTGATTCTCCCAAGGGTTCACTCTTCAAGGATCTGCGTAGTATGTTTACGTTTAGACTGTGACAAACAGTTTCATGAAAATTAGACAATCGCAAATGGTAATAAAAATGTTTTTATCAGAAAGAAATCGGAAATAGGATAGTATATCGATGAAAGGAAAAAAACCAATTACAGGACGAGTTTCTTCGATTTTGTTTATCATCATCCGATCAACATATCGTCGGATATGTTATTGTTTTATTAGAAACAAAGAGCAAAACAATAATAACAACGAAGTCTGAGGTCAATAGTTACTAAAATGTTTTAGACGATACAAAAGCACTTTGCCATTGTTGTTGCCTATCGTGAAAAAGGCACTGTTCGGCGAGAAATCCAATCCATTGACGATTTGTATCTTCTTATCATGAAATTCCGGGAAATTCTCATAGACTGTCAATGTTGGCATATGTACCTAATCAGAGACGCGAAAATCTTTCAAGGACATAGTTTTCATCTTAACTTACCAATCGGACTGCTCTTGGAAGATGATAAGAATTCATGGCCAATAATTCTGAACTTGCATTCATCTTGACGTTTTGTATCGAAGTTGTCAAGTTTTTCAGATATTTTATTGGTTTTGGTGCATTAGTCTTCATAACGTCATCGTACGAATAAACATTAACAATGCCACTCTTTTGACTAAATGACGGAGAATAACGATCATTATAAGAAGAGATTTTACTCAAATTGAGTACCCTGTAACAAAATATTGTTGATTGGATGAGACACACATGCTGGTTGTTGAATAACTTCCATCGTCAATGAAACGATGGATCGCTGCTCGACGACGCACATCGAATACTGTGACAATACCTTCATCTGATCAACAATCTTGGTAATGACACATTTATGGATAGAAAAAGAATGTTTACCTCCGCTGGCGAACATAACTTCACCATCCGGTCGAAATGTAACAGTGTTGATATTACCGGAAAGTTGTGTAGTATCAATCAATTCTTTTGACTAAAAGAAAAACAAACATTGGAGAATGCAATGTAGCGAATGTACTTGCATACCTTTGCAGAAACAAAATGTAATTGACCATTTCGGTTAATGAAAACAATTAATGATCCATCCGGACTCAATTCAAATTTTCCCAAACGTTCTTCAAATCCTAAAAAACAAATCTTTACAATCTATGGAAGAATTTTCTCACGAAATAAATAAACCTCTCATCATTGGAATCTGGCTAATTTTTCCTTCGATCATATCGTAGACTTTGAAGAAATTTCGATCACCGGTAACGATTATTTGATTGCCATCTTTGGTAAAATGTGTTGAATCGATGGAGTATCGTTCGAAGAACAGAGAATGGATCCGTTCGTTTTTCTTTCCATCAACCTATTCCACAAACAAGCTGTCTATTATAAATTCCTCACCGGATTGAAATTACCTGATATAAATTCAGATATTGACTACGACCCGCAGTGAGAAGAATTTTTGCAGTTGGATGAAATTCAACGGATCTTAACAATTTCTATGTGAAACAGAATATCGATATGAAGTCATAAAAAGTTTTCCAAGAAAATCATACAGAATGAGCAACATCATGTTTGAAATCAGAACAACGAAGGCAATCAATTGTCCCAGCTCGTAGTACATTGGATTTTGTTAGATAATTACCCGTACGGCGAAACAATTCTTCATCACTGTCATCTAAAAAAGAACATTTAAGTGAAGGTTTCGCTTTCTATTCGCGAGAATTACTCACCATCTTCTGCTTTCTTATTCAGTAATTTCTCTGCCCATGATGGTCGACCCATTACACGTTCATATCTGCAAAAAATCCATCCATACACGAATGAGTTTGGTCATTAACGAAACAAACTTACTCGACTTTCAGTTTAGTCTCATACTCTCCTGTTGTTATCTTTCGTCGTTTCTTCGGTTGAATCTGATTGAAATTTGGTTCACGAACACTACAAATATTCGTCTTGTTATTTCCAAACAGAAAGTCAAACTTTCCCATCACTCACATTTCTTCAGTTACTTCTTCGCTATCAATCCAAGCCGGTTTCTTCGATTCACCTGTCTTGTTCGTTTGCTCCGAATGCACCTGTTTTGTCTTTGTAGTACTAGAAGTGATTTCTTCGAGATAATCATCATCATCACCAAAAACCAAATGTGTCAAAGCGGATTCTTCATCAGCACGTTTGCTATGTGGTTTATCATCATCTTCCGTTGCTAGTGTGTATTTAATCCGACGTTTATTACTCTTTTTCTTTTTCTTCTTTTCAGTTTTCGATGTTTTCGTTGTGATTTCCAGCGGGGCGTCGGAATCATCATCATCGTAACTTTCCGTCTTGATATTCTCATCGATCGAAACCATGTTTTCCAATCTTAAATAAAACAAAACAATCATGAACATTGCGACTAATTGTCTTTTCTTTCTCGTGTCAATTAAATTGATTCTAACATTATTATTAATAGAAAACAATACAATCAATTCTAGAGAAAATGATTATATACACAAACAAAATAAGTGTAACGATAGAAAAACAAAACAAAACAATGAATGTATGTACAATAGATGAATAGGATATGTTTGGAATGAATGATTGAAGAATTGCAACAAAACGACCTGAGATTCAGAAAAACCATTCCCTCGCTTCGGTCACATCAGGATGGCGAGGATCACCGCGAATAATAGCTGTATCCGCATCAATAGCCTGATCAGCACCTTCGTCTTCTTTAGTTTTGTACTGACCACTTTGTTTAGTCTTGTGATAGCATAAACCAATTAGGAGAAGAACGAAAATAGCAAAGATTCCGATTGAACCACTGATGATGGCAACATTTCTTGCATAAATATTTTGCGCATACACAGGACGAGGTAAAGCTACATAGATGAATAGCGAATTCTCAGTTTAGAATTAAATTGCACAAGTCTGAACATACCAAGAATGCTGAAGCCACGATCGGGTGGAATTTCGACAGGCTCGGGAAGATATTTGACAGGTTCTGTACCACATGGCCATTCCCTAATTAAGCAAATAAAAATAGATGGCTAAGATCAATCGTGCTTCTATTTACCGAATATGTCCACCGGTCCAGGTTATGTTGGGATCACGTTCTTCCAAGAATGCGTATTTCAACGGAAATATACGATTGAATTGTAATCGGGCGATACAGCCACTGAAACCTTGTTCGGGAGGTGTGGTATCATTTCGTCCGATATACATTACACGTGGACTGTCAAATTGCATATCGATTTGTTGAGTTTGAGGAAATTCATCCTCGTATGGTTCATAATTATCGACTATGATCATGATACGTTTACCAAAATCACGACGCGTCACGATTATTTCATGATCCTGTCCATTGGTTAAATCGTATGGAACATTGTATTCAAATGTATCAAAACCATAGTTAAATTTGATGCGCACACCACCGTTATTGTTTAATTCCATGGTAAAATAATCCACCATTCCTTTTTCATCAGTCTTATCTGATTTTAATTGTAGCAGAATACCTTGTTTTTTATAAGTAGTAAATAATACACGAATTGTTTCCTCTTCTGTCGCTGTTATACCTAAATAGAAGATGAATTCATATTTTTAGTTTATCTGTTGAAATTACAATTCCATTAATGAAATCTACCTTCGGTGGGAAATATATACTTGATCATTGTATTTGCTTCGAGTCGTGTACCAATTTCAGTCGAACAGATCGGTCCACGAAATGGCGTAAACGTACAATCACAATCGTACGATGACCAACGTTCATTACATCGTCCACCGTTCAAACAAGGATTACTTTCACATTTACCAACACAACCTGGTGATATGCCATACATGCCTTGCATTGCGAAGTATTTCAGATCGACTAATTCTCCATTGACTTGAAATGCACGAATACATCCGACGAAACCGTTTCGATTTGTCACCGATGCGCCAATAGTTAGATTTGATGTTAAACGCATATGTCGGAATGTCGTTTGATCCTCTGGGTTGGCAGCTGACAAACTATCGACTGTTAAACGTGCTTCTTGTCGATTGATTTCGATTTGTATCGTATGCCAATCATTGTCATTGAAATCATATGGTGAACGAATGGTGATGATATTAGTACCACGACCAACGCTGTAGCGAAATGCTATTTCTCGTGGTGCTTGAAGACGAATCTGAAAAGAACACAAACAATCATTTATTTTTATCACACAGACATATTTGAAGTGGAAATGTTTACTTCAATGAGATCGCCATCTTCGTAGCCAATGTTTTGAACTATGATTGCCGAACCGAATGTTGCTGAATCAAAGCCGGTTTTGAATTGAAAACGTATGTCACCAGCCACTTTAGCTTCAAAGGGTGGTACAGTTATGATTGCATCCGCTTTACGAAAGGTGATGGTATTATCGTAGAGTAAGTCACCTTCACATTGAAGACGGCCCACTTGATACCGGCCGTATTGATCTGAACCAGGTGGTCCAGTATCACCGAACTCGACACGAAGGACTGGTAAGAATTCCTTTCGTGTTAGATAGCCCGCGTCTTTCAGTTCGGTGGCCATTTGCGAATCACAATTACAAAACAAATTCGGATTTGCACACGTCATATCCAAGCCACACGAGCATTTACCCGTACCAACCTCACTACCACCCCAGTAATCCATGGATTGATTTGTACGACCAACCCACCAACCGAACGGTGGATTCGGATAATTCAATAGCCGAGATTTAAAACATGTATACTCAATATGTTGTTTACAGACATACGAACGGTCGATTATAGCAAACACTTGAGGTAATGGTATGCGGTAATTTATCGTTTGTGAATATAATGAATCAGGTAGTTGATAGCCACTTGAAACGTAACTTTCTAGTTCGTGATAATGGCTAACTTCGGTTACATTGAGAATCTCGGATTTTGCACCAAATCGACATAAGATTGAAAATGGAGCTAGTGGACCGCTACCATCAATGTCAATAGTAGTCATACGTTCAGGAATAATTTCATCAGGTTTCATCCGATTAAGTTTATAATCAAGACACGATAATGGATTATCACTAATATGACATACAGCACCACTATAGCCAGTTTTTGAACAATCACAACGAAAACGTGTCCATGTCTAATATGAAACAAAACAAATGGAATCCTATTCGTTCTATACAATAGCTATTTTGATCTTACTTGAGAGCATATTCCACCATGACGGCATGGGTTTGGCGTGCATCGATCGAACATTTCGCAAGCATCCAGTAGAACATCATGATTAACAACCATACCTGTTCTCGGTCGACTACCGTCACTATCCGTCAGAGTTATGTTGCTAGTCAGATCTCTCGGTAATATTTGGATTCCACTCATCACTAATTGCCTTACACAACCAACAAAACCGGTCATCGCCGTATCACGATTGATCTGATCACCATTGGAACTGAAAGTAAATCGATCAGTTGTTGATAGATTATTTCGCGTGAACGAAAATTCCGGTTCATAGTCAACGGTAATGTTAAAACGAAATTGAGTCAACAGAAGACTGATCTCATGCCACTGCCCATCATTTAAATTATCTAAACAGGAAACATTTGTCTACATGAAAATATTTCACAAACGCATTCTTACTTCGACGATGACGAACCGTACGTTTGTTTCCATCCAATTGCACTGTACATGCCAGTTGTCCTTCATCAAGAAACAGCTAAACAAAAAGAATACAGTTACTCTCTTCTTTCGAATAAAATATCGTCACGATTTACTCGAAGAAAATCTTGGTCAGGAACATCGTTGATACCAATCATCAATTGTTTTGGGTCTGATAAATTTGTATAGAATAAAATGCCATTGGGTTCAAATGTACGCATTTGGAAGCTTAAATCAATGGACGTTGCACCTGGCTTACGAAAGATTTCTAGATAGGAATCAACCGTTTTGAATGTATACGGATGCATATTCATCGAATCATCCTGAAAATATCGCAAAAACAAAGGAATTATTCGTAGTTTGATATACATAAACATGCGATAAATAACAGAAAAGCGAGTGCATGGGTAAATATCATAGAGCAACAGAACTTATATGAATGAAAAACAAAAACAACCAGAGCAGCAAGATAGATAGCAATTCTTTTCGCTTACTTTTGGAACTAAATTATAAAGAATTCAGATGTGCTTTAGATTGCGAAAATGAAGAGAAAGATGTATTGATAGCTAAACTTACATCGCACATCGCTCCTGAACCGATCATTCCTTGTTCTAAACCGTAGAATGGAGCTTGTCGTTGTAGGTTCTGTAATACATCCAAGATTGCATTTGTCGATGGACTGATATAGAGGACATTTTCTAGACATCCTTGGAAATTCGGTCGAACTGATAGACCACGTTCCATGTGATTAGGTGCGCCGCCAATGTACAGCTAAAATCGAATCAATACATAACAGCAACGGTGCTTTCATATGTCAGTACCTTGCCATCGAGATCTAACCCATTAAATGCACTTCGCGATTGCTCATCTACAACAACTTGATCAAGTTTGACTGAAATATTTCTCATATAACGTGTAACAGCTAAATCATGCCATTGATAATCATCTAAGACGCTTCCAATTTGAATGTACGTCGCACCTGGCCGCCCTGGCATTGAACCTGAAAAGAAATTGTGCATATATCAATAATCTTCTTCCATATTTCATTCAAACCTAGATCAACTCCAACGAATATGCTTCCGTTTCGAAGTTCGACACTGATATAATCGTTATTCTGTGTTCCTTTAGCATATACAAGTACACCATGAGGATAATTGGTTTTGAAACGTAAACGTAGTTCGTCTTGTTTGTTATGCAATGGAATGTATGTTGCATCGTAGTACGCAATTGTTTGTCCATCGAAATTAAATGATGAAGATGCTAGAAACGAATAAATTAAAAAAAAACAAAGTTTTTCGATAGAATCTAGATCAGTCTATTTACTAAATGGACATCCATACACTTCCACACGCATAGAAATGAAATTATTCCATTGTCGAGGGTTGAAACGTATATAACGTGTGATAACCGGATCAGAAAGATTATTTCGAACAATACCATTATCATTTTTATTTCCAGCAAAATTCTAATCAAAATAAACTCATATTTTTTCTCGCTTTCGATATGCTTAACATACCACAATGATTTTGTCTCCGTTAGTGTAGTGGAACCAATTATGACCATTGTCGGAGTACATTAAATTGAAGACTGACACATATTCCTTGGCAGCTCGACGGCCCTGTGTTGCAACACCTGTGACATAGTATCGAGAACCGAGATCGACGTATAGATATTGATCAGCATCCATATAAGCTGGTCGCCAAGCTTTGAAAAAAAAAACAAAAGTAGATTATTTTTCGAGTAAAAAATCACTACAGACCATATCGTCCATTAAGTCGAGCAGTGTAAGGTTCACGACCTTGCACAAACGAGGATGCAAAAAACGCTCCATTAGGAATTCTACCCGATTCCACACCTAACGTTGGCGGTCGTTTGCAAGGACTATAAATATCCGCAGTTGTAAGACTATCAATGACTAAAATACATAATCATATCATTTAAAAGAAAAAAGTCTATTTGATTGCAAAACTACAAACATGATATTGATTGTAAAAGTATGAAAAATGAAATGAAATGCATCGATGAAAGAATCCACATAATTGTGACGATCAACTTTTTCTTTTCTTAAATTGCTCGAAATATCACCATGAGATCAGGACCAAATTGACACACAGTTTCAAATCAGATAAAAACAATTCTTTTTTCCTTTTCCTGACATGGACAAGGTCAAACGTATATATATATATATATATGCGCATACACCTTAACTGACCGTCATTCTGATTTTCGATTGGCTCTCATGGCCTTTCTTTACCGTCTGATGAATCATACAATTCAGTAAATTTAAACAGAACAATCTAGAGATGTCGTTAACATGCATCGTGCATCAATATTGTATATAGTTCAAAACTTTATTCATGAGTAAAATAAATGAAAAATAAAGAGAATATTTACACGGGGCAAAAACTAATAGAAACAAATATTCTGTGAATGAGACGGATCGTAACTTTGTATTGAATCTCTCTCAAACATGTAAGCGTACGGTTTTCGTATTGAAAAATAATTAATTAGTTACAGGACCGAGGTCAGATAAAAACGAATTTAATCATTTGATTTGTTTTGGTTGAGTATTGTTAACTTCAAGCAGATGCACCAACATCCGAAGGATGTATGTGCTCAGCACGAATGGATGCATCAATATAGCCGGTTGTCGATTTAAAACAAACTGGAATGTCCTGTCAATGCAATGAGTTCAAACACGAGTGAAAGTACAAGAAAATCATAATTACCATAGCTTGTCGTGGACAGCTCAACGTAAATCCTTTCAATGGTGGCGGTTCTGGAGGTTTATCAGGAGTCACATATTGGCTAAAATTCACCATTTGTTTTTCGACCCAATCCTTACTTATTTCATCGGTTGGACGGGCAAGTTTTTCTCCATTCTCGCTCGTCATGCCAGCTTGATCGTATGGTTGTATACTTTGAAGTAAAGAATAATATTGTTATACTATTTCTTAACTGGCGTAGTTGGATTTTTAGTCTGTGAAGGCAAACAATCGTCGTTCGTAAGTAAATGTGATGATGCGAAAATACGTGGTAATACAACACGCGTTTGAATACTGTCCCGCTCTGGGCGGCAAAAGCGCAAAATATTTTTTCTCTTTCTTTCTGTCTCCCTTCCTTTCTTCCCTTGTTCACTTTGCGCGCCGTGCATGAAAATAACGTCTTTTTTACGATTTTTCAACGGTTTTATTTCCGGTACTCAGACCGTAGTCTAGCGTATTTTGACCTTTCAGAGGTGTTGCGCGTTCCATATTGTCAGTAAAATCAATATGCTGATTTTTTTGTCGCGTTGAGTCATAAAATAGATGTTTTTTTTCTCTTGTCAAACATTTTATTATACAAAAACACTCATTCCGAATATTATACACTTTGTACAAAGAAAATCACAATAGATTATTCCGAGTATAATTGGCATAACACTGTGAAAAAGGTTTTTATACTGAATTTCATCCATACAAAGATAAAAGATTCGAGAATACATGACATTTAAGCACAGACGACACAACAAAAACATTTTATGATAAGAGAAAAAAAAATGATGGCCGTATCACAAAAAATTAGAATATAATAAATGGAAAGACAAGTAGACAGAACAAAAGAAGAAATTTTACATCGGTACTTGATGGCTATGCAATTAAATTGAGTCAACTATTGCTGTGAAGTATGACTACATGTACACATGTAATGATACTGATGACAGTTAAATGTGAGATACAGATTGAAATATAAAATCTGTATTCACTGATGAACCGGTTGCTATGGTGAATAGCAACTCGATTCTATAGAATCCCGAAATGGGGTATTTATTGTCCGAAGACATTAATAGTTAACGAACTTTAGAGTCGAAGCAAACCGTAAAGTTCGCTCGACGTAAGCTAGATATAATTTTTAGTAAATAACATTGAGAGTCAAAGAGAGGTGTCTGGATTTTAGAATGGCTCTAATTGATAGTATGGCGCTTCGAACATGATCAGCGTTTTGTTACACAATTATATACTTTAGAAGTATATGTTAGTCAATGTGTCACCGCCTGAGATTATCGTAGCATCACATACTAGAGTCCAGACGAAAGCAATGCTACTGAACAAAATAGTCAGCAAGTAGTAGATATTGACTCGAATATTATTTACTAAGAACATTGCCATAGTGGTTTAACTCAAAGTCAAACCCGATAAAAGCAAATTTTGGATTGCTGGCTCATCTCGTACCGATGGTCAATATTGCAAAGTCACACATTAAGAGGAGAAAAAGACATACATACAATCATGTAACCAATTAGAACATGCTTGTGGTCGGAAGCGCACGGAAACAAGTCTCACATTTAAAATGCTTATAATTTTTTGTGACGGCGTCGGTAATCGGGAAAGCTAATTAGTTGGGGGGACACTAAATACAAACATAACCAGTATCTAATAAGAATAAAACTTTTTATATATACGTACTATAGCCTTAAAATTTATTTCGTCCACATCTGATCCTCGAGGAAAGTCTAGTTCCTGATGATAAAGAACGATATATATGAATAAAGACCACTCTGATAAAACATACCTCAGCATGCACTGATAGATTTCCATCCATCATTGAGTGATGATTGATAGTGGGTGGCGCGTTATTAACCTATGAAGAAAAACAATCGGTCGTAAAACGAGATTAAGAATGAACAATCAAAGCATACACTGTTGTCTGCTTCCATCGATTCAGCTTCATCTCTAGTTGTAACGACAGCCTGCACAAATGAAAATAACAAATAGGTTTTGATCATTTATATTATATCATAATACTGCGTATGGTGGTGCGGGAAATATAGGTACATCGACTGGCTCTACTGTGGCCATATCGATTCGCGCTGGTTGCAGATGGAAAACCGGTTGAAGCAAATGATTTTGTGGCAGTATACGAAGTTGTTCGATTATTTCCATTTTGCCTGTTTCAACTTCACGACTCAATGATGGAATGATAAATTATTTCTGGAAAAAAATATCTAAAACTGAAAATCGATCCATTGCATATAAAATCCAATTATATTCATCGATCGTTATGCAAAAGCAGCATTGTGTGTGAACTGTTATCGTGTCACTGATAAGAAAATTTGGCCAAATCGTCTGTCTCACGATGCAAAATCTACCGCCGCAAGTTTGCTCTACAAACTTTGTGTGCTGTATAGTCGAGAAGCTTCTCGGCGCTTCTACACGCACCGTCTGTCTGCCTTTCCTTTCACGTCACTGAAAGTACTCAAAATAACCGCGTCTGACAGCATAGATTTTTTCCTCGCTTTTCCTTCCTTCTCTGTCTATGGGTTGCGACGAGAAAACAACAAAATACTTGTTCCTTCGTCTCATATCTCATTGGTTACAACTTTTCCCGTTGTCAAAGAAGTATTCTATTTTTAATTCTAAATCGAATTCGTAATGGTCTCACAGACTGATTGTGCGATATGCTAACTGACACTAATTCAAAAATTCCTACGTTCTTCCAATTACTGATAGGTATGAAAATATTCGAAAACAGAGAGAGAAATACGATTGTTGTTATGAACGAAAAACACCGTTCGTTCCTTTAGGAAAAAGCAACACAAATATTCAGTATTACTCATTCCCGAGCTGGAAACCATTGCTGCTAGCTTAAAATGATTTGTGCCAATTATAAACGAATTTCAAATCCTAGTACGTCATCTTTATTTCGGATCTGCATAGGAACTTTATTCGAAGCATTGGTGCATGCATTAACCACTCAGTCGAATTTATGACTCATTGTGGTAGTTGAGAAATGTAAAATAATAATTGTTCGGTTTTCTTTTCAATTCTCGGAATTTGAATGGCGGCTGAAAAACAAAGTAAATACTCCGAAGAAGACTTATGTCGAATAAAAGAATTTCAAATTGGAGATTTACCGAAAACTTCCGGCTTTCTCCGTCCATTTCGTGCTACATTCATTGACGAACGAAATAATGATCCTGTCAAACGTTTTTGGGATGCGGTCGAAGGACATGTGAGTGTATTTTGATTCCACTCTTTGTTTTTAATCATTAATTCAATTCGTTATAGAATTCTGTAGCCATTATTATATACAATCGTTCTACAGACGCGCTCGTCTTCGTTCGCCAATTCCGTCCGGCTGTGCATGTGATGATTAGTAAAGAAACACAGCATGCTTCATCAGTAACTGAAGTAGATTTTTCCAAACAAGATCCCAAATCTGCGATAACGTACGAATTTTGTGCTGGAATCATCGATAAAAAGCATTTATCCAGCAAAGAGCATGCCCATGCTGAAATCCTTGAAGAATGTGGCTTCGAAGTTGATATCGATTCGATTGAACTTGTGGCAAAGTATCGAATCGGTATCGGCATAGCTGGTCCATTTCAAGAACTTTTCTATGTTGAAGTTACCAACGATATGAAGAAGAATAACGGCGGTGGAAATGCATCCGAACAAGAGAGTAAGAAAGAATGGAATGACTGGAATTTATTTTTTCGTTTTCTTTATGTTTAGTGATTATGGTACAGGAGATACCAGTCAGCGAACTCTATTCACTTTTATTCGATGAAACAAAGGCGAAAGAAACTACTCTGATGTTCGGTGTTATGTGGTTCTTACATAAGAAAGCACGATTACCGTAATTGTGCACTTTTTCTCGTTTATCAACCATAATAAAATATCGAAATATTTTGATGTGCTACTGCTGGCGTCGGGTCAAATGTTCGACCTGCACTCTTTATAATCACAGATAAATGAGAAGGGTATATGTCTGACGAGGGGCCACCAGAGGTGATACCTCACGTTTGAGCTGATGTTTTACCGATAGACAAAAATCATAATCAAGATGAGAGTCCTAATAGGATTCCTCCGCATACTCTGTCATTGTTGAAATTTTTTATTTTGAAGATACGAAGAAATCTCATTCTTGTGGTCGTCCTAAGGACATCGGAAAATTTTATTTTCAAATTTCGATTTGGAATTGTGCATAGATGAAGGTCCTAACGAGAGTTGCTCTTCCTGGAAATCCCATATCTATTGCTCGTTCAAGTTCGCACATATGACTAGGAAATCTATAGTACCACCTGTGTCACTTACACAGAATAGTGCTGGTACTATTATTTGTAATTAGGAGCATTTAATCAAGCTGAGATTTTCCGAAAGGACTACTTTCATTTGGACCTCTATCTATACAGAATTCCAAATCGAAATTTAAAAATACCATTTTTCGATATCCCTTAGGACAACCACAAGAATGAAATTTCTTCGTATCTTCAAAATACAAAATTTCAGCAATGACAGAGTAAGTGGAGAAATCCTATTAGAACTTTCACATAGACTATGCTACATATTTATGGGTAAAACATAAGTTCAAATGTGAAATGTCACCTCGAGTGATTCTCTCGTGAAAGAAAAGATAATGATTTTAAACCCGAAATATAAGCGCTAAATACACATGAGAGAGTATAAAATTCAAATGGAATATAATTCAGCTAAATTATTTTGTTATTCGGATGCTATTTACCCATTTTATAGGAAGTAATTAGCAGCATTCATTACATATACAGATGTATTGATTTGAACAGTTGAAGTGAGTAATGAACGTTCGAATATACTCGCGATTTCAGTCTTTCAAATCCAAAGATCTGTTTTTCACGCTGATAGTTAAATTGCTCATCTAACAACCAAAATAACTTTCCACTTGTCTACAAAAATTACCTTAAAATATCATCGTCACTACTGAGATTGAGCAATCTAAGCCATTATCAATAATTAAAATGTTTTTTCCTTCAGTATCACATCATATAAAAGCATCATCACAACATTTATTCGTAATCATACGATGAACAACACAACGAGCCAAGTCACTGGAGCCTTGCCACAAGCATTAGAAACATTACGAATCTGTACCGCCGTTTTAGGTATCGTGGTGTACAGCACAGGATTAACTGGTAATACTCTGTCCTTGTTGCTTTTTATTCAAAAAGAATTACGTCAAGTATCAACCGGTCAAGTTTTCCTCCTATTAAACATATTCAGCACGATTCACTTGTTCTCATTGATCGTAGAATATGTTGATAGTATTTATCAAGTTCAAATAATCCCGAATGCAAAGTTTCGTTGTCAGTTTATACTATGGCTACAAAATGTGACACGTACGATATGTTCATTTTTAGCTGCCACTGTCTCACTCGATCGTTACATCCGTTCGGAATATCCGATGAAATCACGCACATGGTGCACAGTGGCAAACGTTATAAAACTATTTCTGTTCTACTGTTCATTTTCGATCATATTCTACACATTCTTTTTTCATCCGTTGAATATTTTCAACAATCTTTATCAATGTTCGTTTCCTGTGCCCAGTACTTTTCGTCTGTTCGTTTTAAACTATCTGCCACCCATACGCTTTGTGCTAATCTGTGTCATGCCAGTTGCTATCATGATTGGCTGCGGTAGAAAAATGCTATGGAATATTCATCAATCGAAAAGTCGCATTTCACAACGAACTACACCAGCACAGCCTGGTGTGACAACTATCGCTGCTCCAGCATCCCAAGGAAGCAATGTAACTGAAAATACGAGAAAACGACGAGCGGCTATTGATTCAATGTTATTGATGATGGTTCTATCGAATGTGGTAGCATATCGGCATAAGCGCGCGTAACGCGATGACGTTTTGGCCAGAGTGTACGCATCTTTTCTCCTAGACTAGTGCCTTTAAAAATTTTCTTTTTTTTGCCAGAATATGTACCTCATAGCCATCTATCAATCTTAAAAAAATCGATTCGTTTGAATGCATCGTTCGGAAGTTACAGCTGAAATACGTCGCGTAACACGATGACGAAAAAAAGACAAAAAACTGAGGGTGCCTCACTTGTAACTTGCTTTTCTCTGCCTATGTTTTACTCTTACAAAATTGTGTCCGTCGTGGATATTAGAAAACACTTTGATCTACCTGACGAGAGAAGAAAATTCTCCAAACATCATTCACTGTTAGTCGATATCTACATCTCATTAACGTAACGCGATGACGACTTCGTAACGCGATGATGCTGTTTTTTTCGCTGAGTTTGGACCTATTTTTTTCTCATCTTGGCGTATATATGTCAACCAATACTTATTACGTTTTAAACGTCTATGTGAGGGCTCTCGATATCATAGAACTGTTCGATGCTAGTCAAATCTATATGTGTCCGGAAGTCAGGTACAAATCCCAAAATTTGCATCTTTCGGATAGGGACACGATGCTTTTTGCTTTTAAAATTCTGATAATGTTCGATGGAAATACAGAAAATGTTTTGTTTTTAATCATACAACACAATTAGAGGTATGTGTGAACATAAATCAGTAAGATCCGATGCGAATTGATTTATAACTCACGCATTTCGAACTGTAAATTAGATGAAAAAGATGATATAAATACTACATTTTCTGAGGTGACGCGTTACGCGTTCAAGCCGATATATTATCACGCAAATTCCATTTAATGTTTATACATTATACTATGGATACGAAACATCGGATGATTATACGGTATATTCATAAATACGAGCATTTCTTCTGATGTGGAGTTCGATTTATTTTGGAGTTGGATTCTATTTATTTTGCATTACATCCTCACAGTTCCGAAAGCAATTCCTTGTGAAGATAAAAACTGTTTGCACCTGCCGTCGATCTGCACGGCGTCGTCATTGAAGCGCATCCACAATGTAGAAACTTAATTTGACACTAGTAGTTTTCACCATTGTTAGATGCATCACTGAAAAACGCTCATTGATGATTATTAACTCTTTTACATAGAGTTGATTGTTCATAGTGCTTGCCAAACAAACTAATTCGATTTATTTGAATGAGTTAATCAAGAAACATAAAAATCTTTGACTGACAAGACATCGTTATCAAATAGCATTTGTATCATTCCAAATCAAAACAAGACTATTGTTCTTCATTCTAACAGTTATATCTATAGATGATATCGACCTCCAGGAAGGACAATTGATATTGATTCGCGAGAAAAACAGAAACGTTTGTTCATGTTGTGTTTTCCCACCTAGAATTTCTTATGTCATATACAATTTCGTACAAGTGTGCATTGTGCTCATATGCACAGAAAACGTTCACGCAGCAACAAAAACCAAACAAACAAATGAAAAAAAGGAAAAACGAGAGTAAATCACCCATCAGATAGAGCAAACACACACAAATATATAGAGACACACGAAGATAAGATAAGTAGCATTCAATAAACATGAGCACAAGAGCACGATCATTTTGAAAACGAATGAGAGAAGAAAAACTTTTCGTTATTGTCCTTTTTTCCTAGTTTGTTTGCGTACAGCAATTTTATAAGATCAAAGATGTTGATCATCGGTGGGACTATCAAATGCCAGAAGAAAAAATATCGTTGAAGAAAAATGACACACACACTCACAAATATATATATGTATATAGTTCAGGTATAAAAATAAGGGGTAGAAAACAAACGAGCAAACCGAAAATACGTACCATACAGAGGAAATTTTCTAACTGTTACGTTCATTTATGGTTGAAGAGAAAGAAATCGCTTGAATCACAGTGCGGAAGAGAATCTTAATCAATTCATAAGTTAATCATAGTTATGTGGTATCAAGTCTAATCAAACGTAGCTTAGCGGCATCGACGAGTACTGTCGCAGCTTCGTTGGTTCCACCGCAATAATGAGATGAAGAAAACACTGTTAATAAACGCCCACTCAGTTGTACTTTGAATCCGACTTGTTGTACTTCATGAGCGCGTATGACGTGTGTAAAATTATTTTTTTCAAGAAAAGTCATTAATGCTTCACTTGTAAAGTAATTTCCGGTACTTCGTCGTGTATTATTGAAAAAGCCTCCATTCACCCCTATAGGTAACTGAGCAGCTGCATTCGTATCAATAGAAAATGGATCATTCCACATAATTTCCCAGGCTAATGGTGATTCATTTTCTGGGTCACTTAATGGTACAGCAATATCATTGACAGCAAATACGAAATCACCTGGACATGACACTGGGCTTGGAATACCACCATGTACGCAAAGAATCTATTCAATTATATAAGCAAACAATCATTCAAATTGACAAATCAATACTTTATCATCAATGACAGCAGCTAACGGTAGAACATCAAACACCGAATTGATTGCATCCCATACTTCTTTGCCGAGCGTGTCACCAAATTTGCTCATACATTCCCTAAATAAAAATATTCAACATTATCAATGCCAATCTGATAGACATCAGTAAATATTGTCATTAGATGTTCTACTTCTTCCTCGGATCTGATTACACACTAATGAATAAGTAAATTTATTTTGTACTTAGGAGATTAAATAGAAGGAAACGTGGAGCAAACATATCATTGAGCAGATAAAGTAATGAATATGCAACTTACTTATAGAAACTAAACATTTGTTGAACTTTCCTAATTTCATGATTTCCACGAAGTAATAAAACCTTCTTTGGACATTGATATTTCGCTGCTAGAAGGTAAATAATCACCTAAAGAGAATTATATAAAAATCAGTACAATGCATTTCGATTCAATGCTTACTTCAAGTCCATGTATTCCACGATCAACATAATCACCAAGAAAAAGAAAGGATGCCGGTGACAACAATGGAGTAGCACGCCAGAGGGATTTCTCGAAACACACTAAATCTTGATAATTTCCGTGGATATCACCAAGAACATAACATGGAGACGAGATTTTCAAACAACGTGGTTCACGTCGGAAAATGTCTCTCACTTCTTTGCATAGAGTCACAACGTTTTTAGCTAAATTAATAAAGATGCTCGGCGTCCAAACCAATGCGTCTTTTGATTGATCACGTTTCTCGAAAAATCTTAACAAATCTTGAATATCCGTTGCTACTGTTCTCTGAAAAAGAAGACCATGAATGGTTAACTTCAGAAAAATTCACATCGAGTTTCTTACTCGGTCAAAAATCTCTTCAGATGGTGAACGAGGAATATTTCGCAATGCGTATTCAGTTGTTGTACTCAATTGATCACTACGATTCATCGAACGTAGAGATTCTACTTGAGCAAGTGTCCCCGATTTCTTTAATGTAACACAATGATCGGCTATTTCATAATTGAAATTTGATTGAGCTGAAAATAGAATGATATGGATAAGTGATAAAATCTAGTGCTTTTCTCTTACCTCGATCATTTTGATTATCAGCTTTCACATCTTTGTATCGTCTGACATGAATATTTTTTAATTAGAAAACTGAAACATTCTATCTATGGTACTCACTTGCACATGCGGAGCAGATCTTGAACATTTGTCGCCAATCGAAAGAGAACTGATGTTCCGCGATACTTCAACTGACCAACAGAATTCAAAAAATCTGTTAATTGCAATTGATTATTCGTTTGGACATTAAACGAACTAAATGGAAGATTCGAATGATAGATTTCTTCGAAGACTGATTTACTTGAACGCCGATAGAATTTCACTGTAGGGTGGTACATCATTATTCGCTTTACCAGCTTTAAGATTTTGCACATCGCTATGGAGTTCTCTATTTATAGCAAAACGAAAGAAAAAATCGTTTCAGTTTGATTTAAACGAAAATAATCTACCGAAATTCATCAATGGACATGTTACCATTATTTTTGATATTATAAAACCGAAATATATAACGACATCGTTGTTCAGCCGGTGCTCCTAAGAGTGCAATTTGAAAAATGAAATCTAAACCCTTGTTTTCTCATACCTCCATGTGAAGTACTGGGATCCATTGCCGCTAATCCTAAGAATTACAAGCTTAAGTATAAAAAAACGACATTTTCTTTAATACTTACCTAGTAAATAATCTGAGTAAGTTAAGTAGGATTTTTGCTGAGCGTCAAATGCTCGAAAGTATGCTTGCATTTTCACTTTCTCTGCTGATGATAGTTTATTATCCATTGCTTCTATAAATGCTTGGTAACTCATATATTCACTTGGAAATGTATATGAATAAAATTCTTTGAAAACACGTTCTTGTACTGAAATTCAACAAAGATTTACACAGATAAACAACTTATTATAACGATGCTAATTACGTTTAATGTTAAATTTAGCAGAACCCATTAGTTGTTCTTGCGGAGAAGCAACTAATTGATTATTTGGATCGGGTTGTTTACAATCAATAAATTGAAGGATAGGTTCTTCAAAGATTTGTCCACCGGATATGAAATCATCTGAATGAAAGGCTTCTATTGGGAATTCTGACGTAGATGAGCAACTTCTTACCCCAACCATTGGTTTGTTGTCGTTCGAGAACAGTTTTTAATAAATAAAATGGTTCAAGTCCAAGTAATTCTCGATTTTTGACAGCTGTCTTCATTCGTTCAAGGTTCATCCAAATTGAATTGACTAAATTTGATGCATTACCACGCATCTAAACATATTCAACAAACAACATATGAATGCGAGTCTTTGACAACTGTTTACCAATCGTCCTTTTGTTAATAGGTAATAAGTTTGTGTACTGGGCAAACATGGTAATAGATCACTGCAACGAACTTTGATGACATTGACCAGTTCAAAATCGTACGGACATATCTTAGAGAACAAAAAAGAAACGAAAATTGATCGAAAGTGTGTGTTGGAAATTTCACTAACTTTGCTGGCAATGCGTTTAGCAGTAATTGCTCGAGTTTCGCCTGGTTTGATTTCATCGAATGGAAACCAGTAGCCACGTCCAAGACTTTGTTCGACGAGAAGTAAAGCATCGACTTCCTTGTCGATAATTACACAAACGACTAACTTCATTTCATATCCGCTTGAATATCCAAACAAGTTCGAATTGTGATGAAAAAGAAAAAGAAATGATCACAAATCAAATGTTTATTTTCCTTCCAAACATTTGTTGTAGTAGAGTGCACATTAACAACGGACTTGTTCTTTCTTCAATCCAATAAGAAACGGACTAAGCATCTTCAACATAAAGAAAGATGTCTCTCATTCACGCATATTACTTCTTTAGTTTACCGTCGAGAAATAATCGCAACATTGATTTAGATTTATATTACACATTTGTATCAAGAAGAAAACACGAGATGATTATCCGTATCGCTGAATTTCTTTACGGCTTGACTTTTTAATGAAAAATGAGAATAATTGTTAGAATACAATGAAGCGTAATCAAATGAATAGTTAGCCGATTTCTCAGAGATATAGTATCAGTGGTTTGGAATATTTTCTACTCCGTTTGCATAGTCCTATCAGAACAATTTCTCTGAAGCAAGTACATCGGCACCACCAAGAGAACACGATCTGTATAGTTCAAAAAATAGAACAATAATCATTTTTGACGTTTTGTCTTATTGTTGGATACTTCAGTCTTGATATCCGCAACTATATAGAAAAAATATTAGATTTAAACAGACGCCTGTTGTCAGTTCGTCGATGTCACAACATCATACCAGCACATGACTTGACTTTCGGCGCGTTGAAGATGAAAGCAAAGCATGTCAACTAAATATTTCTATTTTAATCCTTTACTTTGTTGTTTCCTCTACCATCGTTGCATGTTTCCGCTAATTGCCATTCGAAGACCCCGACAAAAGGAAAACATCTACTCTGACACATTCATTGCTCTATTTTATCCATTATAGCTTGAATTAACGATGTCAAAGAAGACATGAGATCTAATTTCAGAATGTTCTGATGTTTCCGATAGTTTTATGGAATCAATCAATATAAATCTTCTTTTTCATGAACGGATGTCTAGTTGAGGAAATGTCTATCGGTATTAACTGGTTAAACTAGTGTTTATTTACTGTTAGATGAGTATTTAAAAAAGATTTCATTACTGTTCTTCGTCGTTGTTCGTATACATCAAAGAACAAAAAGAAAACAGTCAAACCAAAAACGATAACCGGGGGCGCAAACAATAGGTTATATACAAATACAAAAAGAAAAGAGAAGACGCGCGCGCGAGGGACACAGGCATGATGAGTTGGTATTATGATTGAACAACTAACATTGTCTTTTCTTATTTCTTCATTCCTTTTGGTGTTGATGTGTTGGACTTTTTAAAACAAAGACCGAATGTAATATTCCAAAAAGCCATGCGAAATTGTTTTGAACAATACGCATAAATGAATGGATTAATTACGGAATTGAAATACCCAAGCCAGGTTATTAGCGTAACTGTTAAATTATTGAATGAGTACGTGTCTGGCGGGATGATATACATAATAAAAAACGGTAACCAAAACAGAATGAAACCACCAACGACAACGGCCAGTGTTTTCGCTGTTTTTTGTTCTTTCATGAAACGAATACGTTCACGACGATGGACATCGTGAGTAGGATGAATGGGATGATGTATGGAAGATGTTGATGCGACGACAATGTTTTGATTGGAACTACTTGTGGCACGTAAGTTGGGATGTGATCTTAACATTGGTGTTCGAGTGTGCATTTCATTCGAAGATAGTTCTTCTTTTTCGTCTTCATCATTGGTTAAAGATTGATTTGGTGTGTACTGCTTATGACTTTTGGTTTTTCTTTCACACCAATTCTCCATCGGTTGGAAACAGCAGTAGCACGGTACGTTCGATTTCTGGTGACCGATTTCGTTTAGACGGCGTGTACTTGCGGATGATGATCCAGGATTCGAGGAAAATTTATGCTGCTGTTTCAGATTTTCGATTAGCATCTCCGATGGAGTTAATTTTGTTGCACGTGATGGTTTCATTCGACGATTGATACGCGTTTGCTCCGGTAGAGATTTCGAGTCATCGTTCGAATTAGTTTGATTACACAGTGACGAAGGTTTTAGAGCAGACATGGAATATTTCATTTCATAGATTTTCGTTTGATCAATCATGGACAAATGTGCAATATCTTCTGTTAGTTCGTTCAAAGATTTCGCGATTTGTTTGTCTTGATTGATTAGTAGATTGCCGTTCAATACATTCTAAAATAGAACACGGTGGTAGAGATCAACGTACATTTTTTTTTTGCATAATTCATTATTGAGGAAAACAACACTGTGTTCCCAACAGTGCACGTCGTCTCATCAGATTTGCGTGTGTACGGACGAGACATATTTGATTACCCTCCAGAAAAGGAAGAAGAGCAAATTTCGATTACAAGCACAATTCTTGATTGAATTTTCTCTGTTTAGGATCAATAAGAGATTTGATTAAAGTAACGAGTTACTACACTTAACATCGTCTACGACTATTTGACAAGAGAACTTAATTGATCTAATAGAAGTATCGAATAGGAACGTTTCAAATTTACCACAAGCATCTAATTGGCACGAAAATCTTGTTGATTACTATGACAAAAAAGGTCGCCCTGGATCCTCTTGAATAACCTAGTTTTTCTGTACATCGAACTTCATGAAAGTCAAAAGCTGTGTGTCATATGTTTAAACAAGAAGTTCTTCGTGACACTTGACCTAAGCCTGTAGAATTCTGCTCCGTCTTCATAGATGCATAAGTATAGAGACAAATAGTATAGATGCAAGGTAACAGTACTTCACTAATAGGTACACTCTTAATCATTTCATAATTGATTACTAGACATGCGACTACTTTCTCTAATAACATGATCCTCATAGATAATGAATGTGCACGTTTCTGTTTTTGTTCTCCATGATGAGAAGCTTGAGAATGAAAAGAAACGCAAACTTACTGCTTGTTGTTGGCTTGTTTTCAAGTGTTGATTATGACTCGATTTCGTAGTTGGGTCACGTTTCGTGTCAGTTGATAGTTGTTCAAATGAATTTGATCGACATTTAGTTAATGTTGGCAATGAGTCTTGAAAAGTTTTCAACTCATAACATGGAGAATCACCCGAACGAAATTGATATTCAGCACCAATACCCGACAAATAATTACGACGATAATTATAAATTTCATCGGATAAATTAGGCATTCTCTTCGTTGATATTGTACATGGACGACAGAAGATAGTTGTAGGCTTTTTTGCGAATGACGGCGGTGTATTTGGCATAGAGCTCGATGCACTACTGTAATTCGTTTTACTGGGAAAACGATAAATAAACGAACTGTTTCCTTTGCGATCGAAATTTGATGCAATAGAATTCGTTCCCGATTGTACGAGCATTTGCGGCTGGAGATACGAAGATGTCGGTGGGGAAGTCTTTCGAAAACATAAATAATAGCAGCAACAAGATGACTTTTTCGGTGTTTTTATTGAATTATAATGTGTACCATCGGAAGTGGGTTTTGGATGAGGTAAACCATTTGGATGGGCTTTTTGTGGATGATTATCATTGTCATGAAATTTATTGATTAAATTATCGCGATCGTAAACAACCATAAATATGCGGATGTAAACAAATATCATTACTACAGCAGGAATATAGAATGAACCCAACGCCGAGTAGACAACATAGCCTCGAGCGGTGTTTAAATCACATCGATGTTCTTTTTCAACCTAAATAAAACTCACAATGATAAGAAGTTACGAGAATCCTTGGTGTTTTTCTGCTCTGCTAAATAACTAAACTTTAATCTTTTCGTTTGCATAAAAGAAAGACATTTAATCTGCAAAGATTCTATTATTACTATTTTATGAACGTTACATCCGGTGGGTAAAGAACGGAAGCATTTCTCTCCTGCTTTTTAAATAGTCATTCAAATCTTCTTTTGATTTATCCACTTCCCTTTGTTAGAAGAAATGAAATCCCTGCTCGAGGTCAGATTTTCCCTCAAATAACCCGATTGATAAACAACGACACAAATCAAAGACGTTGATTTGCCCTTTCGCTTTTATTTCATTTGCCGAATTTTTCTCAGCAAAGGACGATACGTACTGTAAAGCGTCGATTTGGATCTCGCCAACCAAATATCGGCGGACATGTGATAACAACCGAGACAATCCAAACAAGTAAGATCATAATACGAGCAAGAAATTTTGATCGATAGGCTGTGTATGTCAACGGTCGGGTTATCGCCATGTATCGATCGACGGAGATACAAGTTAAATTTAAAATACTCGACGTACATAAAAGTACGTCCGATGATACCCATAGATCACATAAGATTAAACCTAATTTCCAGGAACGATCTCGATGATAATGTAAAATACTTAATGGAAGAACAAATATTGCAACTAAAGCATCGGCAAAAGCCAACGAAGCGATGAAATAGTTGGTCACTGTTTGTAAACGACGTGTGCGATAAAACGCACATATAACAAGTAAATTACCCAGAAATGCAACAACATCGATTAAGATCATAAATATAAGTAACACAATTCGTATCCACACAGGCACTGATGATTCCATATCTATCGTTATTGTTGTTGTTGGTATTATAGTTTGGTTGTCGGCCATGGTAACAGTGGCCAACTCGACGAATGTCGTTGATGTAAGTGCACTCATTGTAATCATGCATGATGCATATCTTAAAAAAGAGGTCTAATCAAGTTTGAAAAACAAATAACAGATTATGTAAAGAGATACTTTTTTTATAGGAGAATAATAAAAATTTGTCATTAGTCTTTCTTTTCTCTTATATATCTCCCTTCCCATGCCCGTTTTCGTTCGATTTTCTTCTTCCCCGATTACCTCTGGGGTACACGTTTGCTTTAATTACAAAGAAAAAAACGAGGCAAAAAGAGAGAGAGAATACAGAACAACAAAGAGAAGAATGATAACTATGAAATGGTTTCTTAATACGTGTCTCGATACCATTGAAATAACCTTCGTTCTTATAGCTCGTTTTGTTTCTTGAGAAAGAAAAGTAACCAAGGATAATTAAAACGAGTACCTCGATGGAGATGAAGTTAATCACCTCATATTCACTACACACGGACTACGTTCGATCTTTTTCTGCTAGAAAAGAAATAACAGCTAAACGATAGTTCCAGAGAGAGAAAGAGAAAGTGCAGAATAATAAGATTGACGGTTCTGTCATCGTCCTACACAGAGACTCTCTAATCAAAGACAGTTCTAAATATGACGACGGGTGTGCGAATGTGCCATCCACACCGATGATTTATAACTGTGATGTGTCAGCTATTCGAATTCTTACTAAAGATCATCGTATCAAGTAATGTTGCCTATGAAAAAGAAGCTCATCGTGTTCTGACTGTTTGTCTTTTAAACAATTAGCATTCTAGAATATCTTTTGTAAGAAACGCAGGAAGAAGAAAAAGAAACAAAGGAAGATAGATACATTGTCAATTATTATCTACCGAAAGCATCGATGAGCAACAGAGAGCAAATGAAATAACTTCATCAGCAATCACGAAAGTTTTCAAATATTCCTAATTGTCAAGTATAATAAAAAAGAATGTCTATTCTTCTGATCTTTATTACTTCATGGACATGCAAACATTATCCCTATTGACTTGATTATTTTCTTCGAAGAAAAATGTATCTGTCTGTACATCATAAATGTCTGAATAATTATTGTTTGACATCGATAATCAATCCAGTATCTTGACAAATAATATTATTGTCATCAGTTGTTGGACAATGTTGCTCTTTCTCCGACAACATTCTTTCTCGTATAAAACAGACGACTAATAATTCTAGCGTTTAGTTCCGACATAGAAATGTTCGAAAAAATGCCTTCGAACGACGCTTTCATTTACAAACAGGAACTCCTAGGAAAACAAAAATAAAATCAGCTTTCCACGGTACGAACAGATTTGTATGGAAACGATCGTGACAGACTTTTCCTCAAGCGCAAAAATAAACATCCTATTACAATTAACTGCTTTGTATGACATAATGAATTCGTTGTAAATACGTACTAATGACAAAGGAGATCTGATTGAGTTCATCATCGTGTCACTCTCTTGTTGACTTTGTTCGCTCGCAATCATCGAAAATCGAAAAGTAAATGTCCGAATAGAACATTTATTACATGTGACATGAGTGAAAACGAGCTTTTCGTTCTCTAGTCATACTCGGATATTAATCGGGTGTCGTGCGTCTAAACGATAAAAGATGAATAAGGGAAAAACGGAGATGAAAGATATCTTTTTAGTAGCTTCTATTTATTAGAAAGGAAAACATAGTCTCATGTTGCTCAAATCTAATCAAACTGTTATTTATATATATATATATATCTCCATGTCTATATAAGAACAAATTTGTCATCTACTCTTCTTTTTCGGATACTTTTCGCAAATACTGTCGTTCTTAGGATAATATTGTTAATATTCTATTATCTATTTATTATGGTTAACAAAGATATCTCCGAGAATCGAAAGAGATAGAATGATTTATTTATTCCGAGATGTTTTCTCTTTATTATCTGAAAGAAATCAAAGAAATAATTAGCGACGTATCGAGTCGTTTTTTTTATTTGAAAAATGAAGAAAACGAAGATGAAGAATAAATATCGTAAAATGAACATTTCTGTATGTTACTCAGTGCAGTCAGATGTAAAATGTCTAGCAAAAAAAGGGAAGAAAAAAAGAAATTGTTATCAGAGCATGTCTGGCGATTATGATTACGCCTGAGAAGTCTTTGACAGGAAATTAGAGACAGACGATCGATCCTTTTAACAAAAATTAAAAAAAAAAAGAAAATCATTGAAATATGACTTTCTAAAACACAGATGCACCAAGAATGGTTCGGTGCAAAGTTTGCGCAACCGATTTCCATCAGCGCACTCGATAACAAAGATAGTAAATCGGACGCATCTACTACGGCTTTTTTCGCAATGTCAGTCAATGCAATATTCAAGCATTCAAATCTTCAACATGATAGGATATGTAGGCTAATATGTTACACTCTCGTTCTTTTTCCAACACGAATAGCGATACTAGTAATAGAAGAAAACTTCACAGAGATGACATGTCGAATTTGTTACAACGGAAATAAAAACATTGACATATTACATTAACATTATTCTCTATGATTGATTTAAATTTACAATGAAATAATCATTGACATTTTCTATTAGCATTACAATCACTAGAAAAACAGTGACACTGAATAACCAAATATTACCAAGCTCTCCTCTCAATAAAATATCAGGTCTCGTCGAACTACACTGACTTATGGGCAATGTCAAACGTGAACGCAAATGAAATCGAGCAAGACTGTAAAGAGAAAAAAAGCAACTAAAGTGTAGTTGAAATGGAAGTAAAATGCGCTTTCCATCTCGGCCAAACTTTTCTTTTTCTCGCTCACTCGTGAAAAATACTTGAAAAAATCTCAAAACATGAGTACAGTGGAGACATATTACAGAAGTTCTATGCGAGCAGGCGTTTTGACAAAAAACACTCAACTTTATGTATCCGAAAAACGTAATATAAATTGAAAAGGAAAGCGCAACTTAAACTCAATTTCTAAATGGCGCATGTCATTTTTTTACGCTTATTAAAGACACGGGATAAACTATGTAATTAGCTCCATAGAACATTTGACATATCTTAGACTTTGATTAGATTAGATTAAAAGAGGAAGTCAAGTTAGACTCTTTTCAAAGACAACGACCTCAAATAAACAAACAAGTATATATGCCATTTGAAATGAAGACGATTGTGTGGGTTTAGTACCACCTGCATTCCGTCCGATATGAAATAAATCGATAAAATATGCTTTTCAAGTGAATGTCACCCGAAGCGCCGTATGTATAGATATATTGCTGTGAATGATAAGAGAATACGAGGGTGACAGAGAAGAACGAGAGAAAAATCAATATGATAGGGAGAGAGAGAGAGAGAGAGAGAGAGACAGACCCGAGCTAATCTGATTGATAACGACATTGACTGAGGTTAGAGCGAATCTGCTGCTGTTTGCTGTATGTTGTCATACGGATCGATCATATTTAGTGAAGTACAAAGCAGAAACAACTGGTGCTTCTGTGATCGTTCATCTCTAGTGCAACACTTTGTAAATGGAACAATCAGAGGGCGTGGCTTGAGTAGATCGTCTCCAGTTTCTAATATATTGTTGCAAAGTTGAATTAGAAAAAAAGAAGAACGAATGAGGAAAAAGGAGATGAAAAAAGAAAGACACAGAGAGAGGAAAAAAAATAAGCGAAGCCTTTGATTATCATCAAGCAAATAAGATTGCATTGTCGCTCCGAAACAAGTATATGATACTATCGATTTATTGGAGCGATTGGATGGTTGATGATCGTTCTTGAAATTGATCTTCTTCCAAGTCTTAATACTGATTTACCAATCGAATGCAAGAATAATCATTGCTCTATTTTCCCCCCTTATTTTCTTTTCTCTTCCCCTTTTTCTATTTCACAATCTCTTCTATTTAATATTGCCAGTTAATCATCATCATACGTACTTTTTTTTGCCCTGAAGCGTTAATATACAAGAAGTTATATGAAGGCAACAATCCAAAAGAGAGTACTAAGGAACAAAAAATCTTCTTCTCAATCCATCACATATCAAATTTACTCTTCTCTCAATCCATTAATATTTTGTCAACACGTACCAGTCATGCACATAATAGTTAATTCTGTCAGCTGGATATGAATCAGAGAGGACTGAGTGTGTTTTTTCCTCGTTTACGAGAATTGTTGCTCTCGGCTTTTGCACTCGATTTAAGTAGGATGACTAGAAAACGAAAGGACCAGATCAGACCACCATTCACAGTGTGTATACAAACATAAATGAACGTTCCTTCTGACTTTCTGAATTGATTTATTTGCAATATTGAAAGAAAGACATTGAAATTGAGAAGAGAAAGATAAACCGAAACAAAACAAATATCTGACATCGAAGGATTTCCATCTCTTCTTCTTCTTCTTACATATGTTTTTATAAAGGAAGAAAGAGTAGACGTGGTATATTTTGAGATTAAATATCACAAAATATTGAACTAATACGGGAAGGGAGTGAACAAGGGAAGGTAATTCAAATATTTAAATATGTGTTTTTTGTCGTTTTGAAACCGGAGATTCATCAATCGCAGGCACTTCAATACCACTGTCATATTCTGACGTCATGGACTAAAATAAATTAATTCAAACAAGAATGACTGATGATCATCGATGAGAGAAGTTCGCACTTACGTTAAAAACGTTAGTCAAATATACACAATGTTCACTTTTGGCTCGTAAATGGTCGTTTTCTTTGGATAATTCATCCAATAATTCATGCAGCTAGAACAGGACAACACTTCTGTTTGATTCGATTTCGTTGAATACATACTTGTCGATTTTCTCGTAATTCTTCATCGAGTTTCGTCCGTGCACGTTCTGCCGAGATTTTCCAATAACAATCCGATGCTCGTTCTACATAATCATTCAAATTTAGTCATTTTGCGCTTCTATTTTTAATCATTGACGAAAGTACGCAGAGAAAACCAAACTACTCTCGGCATCATCGATGTAAATAAATAACAATCAAACAGCATCCTTTGCTTTGATTACATTCGATTTATTTGTCCCGCCCAACATTGACAGAAGTTATTAGTGTATTTATTCCGTTTTCTAAACTAAGTTTCATGTCTTCAGATCAAAAGAACAGCTTGCTAGTTATTTCTTTCTTACCTTTGATAAATTTCTGAAAATCTTCATCGTTCATATTCTTTCCTTGAATTAACATGTCATCGAGATAGTTAGGCGTGTTTGTAGATGTCGACGATTTTTCCATGCGATCAGTTTGTATCGCGACTGATTTCACTCGTTTCAGGGGTGCATGATTTTCAACTGAATTCAGTCGGAATAGTTTCTTTTTCATCGCCGGAGGTGAAGTGGGTTTGAGCAACATTAGAAATCTAAAAAATTTTCTATTTATGGCATATATATATATTTTTTTTTTTGCAAAAAAGTGGAACGACATGTTTTTTTAATAATGAAATTTACATGAGCGCAAAGCGAAATTACATATGCATGATAGATGAAAGAAAAGATAAATCTTCTTAAGAGAAAAAAAATCAAAGACGAATGAACACACTTATTAAATCCATTCTCTTATCCGAATAAAATGAAAATCTCTAAAGACTCGCGCGCGCGCACACACACACACACATACACCTGTTCTTTAATTTGTTTGATAAATAGAAAAAAGAAAAGTTCACGGAAATCCGATTTGCGAATGTTTCTATTCCACTGGTCGCGTACGATTCAGTGCAGATTGCAATTCACCCGTAAAATTCGCTTGTTGTAAACGGACACGACCTTGAAAGTTCTCTGAATTACGTAAACTATTCAAGATATCTTTCGTTTTGCCGAAGTAGATCGAATTCAGCGTCTGTCGAATCTTATTTTCCATATCTTCAACCATTCGACCGATGTTAATGATATGCTGAGTGAAATCTGTTATTTGGTGATCAGCTTCTAATTGTCGGGTTAAACTTCCACCTAGATTCATCATGCCAGACATTGTCTTATGGGTTTGTAACCAAAGCATGACGGTCGAAGTCAGTTTATAGTGTGCCGATCGACCACTTTGTTTCTCCTGAACTTCGACGACGTGTATCGAGTCCCAACAACCTTTGATTTTTTTGCTACCATCACCAACTTTTTTGATTAGGATAACACCAGCGAACCCATTTTCAAGATCCCAGAAGTAAACCGAGGACACTCCGCCTTCGTAGTACATTTCCCGGTATTGTTCGAATGCTTGATTGGCTTCGATTTCAAGTTGACGAAGACGGTCTGATGGAAGGTTACCTACGAAAGAAAAATGCAGGGAGACCTCTCATTGAAGAAAAACAAACCGTCGAATGGTGGTGTGTACGTGTTCGTCCAAGGAGATCGGTATGAATCGCCATCTCGATTGTAATCACATAATAAATAATCTTTGCCTACAGTTCGATCACGAACAACTTTGAGTGGCTGGTCAACAGCAGCTAGAAGTTCTTCAGTTAAATCGGGTACGAGATCGATGAGATCCGAAAGATTCTTTTCCACTTGTTGCGGTGGTAAGCGTCTCATTAAATCGAGTGCACAATCTAATTGCGACTCGATCGAGGCATTGCCTGTTGGATTACTCGTCATCTGGAAAAGAATGAAGAATGAAACGACTAAAGTCAAGTAGACAACATCAGCATTGGCAGCCAAAAGAGCAATATCTTAAATAAACAATATTTTTCACGCAACAAAAAAAAAAGGAATAGATTTATAAATAAAAGTGGACAAAAAAACAGACGAGTATTTTCAAATGGAATCATTCATTGGTTTACATTTGCTTTCCCTTTCTTGCCGCCGAGCGTAAAACTCGATTTACCTAAAAATGAAAAGTATCAGTAAATACACATATGAAAACAGCCATGGATCGATTTTGCATGCAAAGAAATACACTTCGTCAAATCAATCAGTCAGTTATAAAGCATCAGTATGAAAAACAAGAGATGTATGTCAATCTCAATTGAGCTTAGAAGGACAAAATCGGTGCATTTTCAACGAGTGTCGAGTAAAACATCTCAGACGCGTACATAGTTAAACGATGTAGATGAACTATTCGTTGAAGAAATTGAGTTAACTAAAGAGCATAATGATGGCTAATCATGCTTGAAAATTAATAGCATCACTATTAGAATCAAATTATAATCTGAACTGTTTTAGAAGTTATTTATAGTCCACCACCGAGTCGCGAGAGAAAATAAGAACGAAAAGGTCCTCTCAACCACTTACAGTGTCGCCTATGCCTAGACGAGGTAATAGACTACGGTCAGCAGCTTCTTTGTTTGCTGCTATAGCATGTGGAAAATTAAGGTGGGTTTAGGAGGGTGTCGACGAAAGAAACTTACTTTGTGGTTTATATAATTCTTTCATGAGTGCAGTAAATGCATCTACTGTTCGTGTACGATCACGAAGATTAACAAACCAGACACGATTGCCCACTAGAAAGAAGTCGAAACGCAAGAGATTAGAAAAATCTTTGAAAAAAATAAACTTACCAAAACATCTATCTTTCGCGGTCCATTGTTCAAAATCTGTCGAAGTTAATACCGTTGATCGTCGTTCATCAGGTACAATCTCATTACACAGAACGAGTATAGGAACAATCTTTCAAAGCAAACGCAATATCTCCTATCAAATTTCATCATGTATAACCGTACCTCTTTTCTATTTTTATCTGTAGTTTTGACTTCAATCATATCTTTAATTGCTTTACAATATTCAAAAGATTCATTGGAACGATTATCAAATACGAGAATGATAGCCTACAACTAAAGATTTCGATGAACGAAGAAGAAGTCGACCATTTCCAAATTACTCACATCAACTAACGTCAACAAGTGACGAATATTGCCGAATTCTTCACTAGGTGAATTTTTCTAAAGAAATCCAGCAAAACATTCACAAAAGAAAACATTACATATCTCACTTACGACACCGCCGATGTCGTGTACACGAAGAACAATATCTTTCTCATTCAAACTATTGTCATATTGAATACAATACGTATCTTCAATAGTTTCTCGATATGGCTACAAAGAAAATGAGTCATACAATGGAAAAAAAGTCATGTGTTTACTCAACCTTTTCGTCCGCACGTCCATAAGCTAATTGTTCGATTAACGAGCTTTTACCTACAGCATTCTTTCCCCAAACTAATACTCTAAATAATTTTCCCATGACAAGATGCTTTCATTACAAAATCAATCTAGAAAACAAAGGAAATAAAGTTATGTATGGACCATTTATATTAACGTGCTGAGTTTTTATTACAAAGTCATAAACAAATCCGAGTGCTCTTCTGTTTGTTTTCATATTTACACGCATGTGCAGAACAAAAAGAAAATGAAACGAATAGAACGAAGAAGAGAACTTTAGATGAGATAGAATGATATCTTTTTTCTTCTCTCTCTCTCGAATATTTCTATCGATGTTAGACAACGAAATGAAGAGAATGAAAAGTAAACCTAAGAGAAACGATGTTCTTCAAACAAAACATGTATGTATATGTAAGACATAAAACAACAACGGAGACGAGAAGAGAATTGTAATGAATGAGTAGAATCACGAGAAAATAGACAACAACTTTTTTGTTCATATGCGTGTAAATTGAAAAGAAGAAAAAGCAGCAAAATAGATCGGGCGCTTATTTATGGTTTTTTCGACATTTTACGTAAGACTTGAGATGGAACAAATTGAAGTGTAGAACCACCTGACATACGAGGTGAATTCGTTTGTTGAGGCGTTGTTTGAGTTTGAGTTGTTGGCGAACTATGAGATGCGAGAGGACTAGACATAGTTTGAGGCAAGCCAAAATGTATATTGTTCGTTTGCAAAGGTGATTGTTGTTGTTGCTGTTGTTGTTGTGGAGATGTTATTTGAGAGGGTACTGGTCCTGGTTGAAAATCAGAGTAGAAATGTGTAGCGTTCAAGTCGAATGGTTGAAATGGTGCTGAAGCATCGAATGATCCATTTATTATGGATGAAGGTGTGGGATTTGTATTGAATTGAAGGTCGGATTGTTGAATTGCACGTTGAAGCATAGAGAGTATTGGTTCTGATTGAGATGATTGCTGTTGTGTTTGTTCCGATTGAGCTGTTGCTAATGTTGGTGGAGGTGCACGCGACATGCTTTCTATTGCTTGCGCCAAGACTAGAGAAAATGAAAAAGAGGAGCAATGTTTCACTGATTAGATTTTCTTATCTATTTCTACTACAACTGCGATAAGAAAAACATGAGTTACGTACATAAACTTCGTTGCTGTGGTGGACTTTCCAATTTCTGCTGATGAGACATGGGCGAGTCTTGAGGATGCTGCTGTTGCATGGATGCTAGAATGATATTCTGTGACTGTGGAGCAAATGCAGATGTGTCCAGCTGTTTCTTTTGAGTGATTGGTATTGCTGGTGGTGGAACAAGTTCCCATGGTTGTTGTTGAACTGGATTGAAAACTTGTTTCGATTCATTAATGGCACGGAAGAGTAGAGACGATGGCCCTGAATGTGTTGGAAAAGTTGCTAATGGTACTATAGGTTCAGGGGCGATTTTCGTTGCTGTTGGATTTACTGAAAGGGATGGCGGTTCCTGAGTGTGAACTTTTCCACTTATCGGTACGGGTGCAGACGGAGACAGAACAGAGATTTGCTGATTCGGTGCCGTCTTAGTTGTTGTTGATTGAGATAATTGCGATTTCTCCGTTGAAGTGGATGGATTTGCCGGCAAGAGTTGTTCTTTCAGAGCTGAATTGACTATTTCAGTGAAATTCGGTTTGACTTGTGTTGCTGCAGATGCAGGTGTAGATTTCACTACAGTGCTGGAATTATTCTCGTTCGATGTTCGTTTTAGTATTTTCGTTGGTTGCGGCGGCTGCTGCTGCTGCTGCGGTTGCTGACTTTGGGTTTGTCGAAGTGGTCCAGATTGATCTGCTAATCGTTTTTCCCAGACATTTTCATTAGGCATCGACCTTGATTGGGAATAATTACTCGTTGAACGAACACGAAGCGAATGTGAATAATTCAACAGATGATACGAACGAACTTTGATTCGACGTTGTTGACTACTTCCAGAAAGAAGAATCGCGTCAAGACTAGTTTTCGGTAGTTGATCAAAAAGAACTTCATAGAATGTATCCAAATGTGTTTGACCATGCATCATGCCAATAACCGTTCCTCGTGTGCCTAATGGAACACCAGTACCGAGACGAACAGTAACCACTCGATCGTAGAGCTCATAATGTGTCTCCATATCTGAATCACACATACCAAATGATTCATTCGGTTTGAATAAGCGATTGGCTTCAATAGAAACTAGTTTTGTCTTTTCATTGGGATTTTTCGCTGGATGTTTCTAAAAAAATGGAAATAGAAACAAATCCTATCAGAAATGAAGAGACGAATATCTTACAGCATAGAATGCTTTTGTTATACGTTCGATTTCTTTGATAACTGGCGCATCTAGCACTTGCCACGCACCATCCATTAACGTCATCGAATGTGTTGGCTGATTCTTAATCCATGTACGCACTTCTTGTAGTCGAGATCTTCTACAGAAGACAACAAACAGTGAAATTTGTCAGTCCAGTACGGTTGCCTACTAACCCTTTTCGCGTTGGCCAAATATTTGGTTCTGGATAAGTATCATCTTTAGGTTTTCTCACTAATTCAGCAATAATTTCTGGAAATCTAAATTCAAACAGATACAATGATTACTTTGACATCATCAATCCTACGCACTGTAACATATAATCAGAAATGATTAATACAGCAGAATCAGAGTAATACCAAACTTGATCTTGTTTTTTCGTATAGCCATACAGCTAGAATAGCACGGTTCGAAAATATAGAATTCTATTTATTGTCGATAATATTATCTACCTGTTTGAGAGGTTTATTTGCTTTCCATGAGAATCCAACATTGATACGATTCGTATTTTCTCGTCCTCCTCCTGCTCCAGTGGTGACAATGATCGTACCAGTCAGTTTCGAGATGACACTGGGCATTGTTTGTAAATATTCTGCTACTTGTTGCGCTGTCCAGTAGTTCAATTGGAATCGGTCAAGTCGATTCGACAATGAATGTAAATCCGGTTGATTCGAAACATCCGATGGTTCCATTCGGCATTCGACCATATATTTTCCATTCGAATCTTTATTCACTTGTTGAATATAACCCATACAAGAATAGTAAGGTGGTTGTAATGCAAAAACTGGATCATTTGATTTGAAATTCTCGTGAACTGTTTGAGGAAATTGAAATAAATCATGTTTGTAATTTTTTATATTAAACAATGATGTTTGTAAAGGATAAGCCAATGCTTGGTTTGAGAAACACATGGTTGTTTGGCATTTTTCCGATGTTGACGATGATAATTTCGTTTGGTAACCAATCAATGGTGCCACGTAGAGTAAAACAGGAATGGCTCCAATCATCACACCTTGTCGGTTTTCATATCGACGATTCATATTAATTGCTTTTGTATATTCCATTTGAGATTGCGTGGCGTCTAATGGATAAGTTCTTATTGTAACAGCTTTTGAACTTGTTTCATCAGACATTTCGAATGGATAGCGGGAAACGTAGATTGGAGTTTGAGAGATATTTCTGGCATCTTGACCCTCTTCACTTAATAACGATCGAATGTTGAAATGGGAACCACCAGGTATGTTTGACCAAATGTACAAATGGCGAAAATCACTCATCGCACAAACAATTCCATAATCAAAATGTGGCCAGTTGACAAAGATGCGCTTGCCAAGGTAACGTTCAATCAAAGCTTGTCGATTCGTGATTTCAAACGGCTGACTAGTTTCGCTCTCTTTCGAATCCCATTGATCGTTATATGTAATACAATCAGAATCGGGATGATGTGCCAAATCCAGAACCAGTGTCGTCGATTTCGAACGTGAATCAAACAGATCAACGACTCCTTTTTTAAAATCAAATTTATATGGAATTACGTTTAAAACCGGAAACTTTGGAAAATGTATCATATTCGCCTCGTCGAATCTTCCTGTTTGAAATTTCAATCCTTCTGGCCGATAGTAATCAACTGGAAACTCCGTACATATGGCGCGTGTTTGTTTCAACGGAGGAAAGTGAGGATTATTAGCAATGATACCACTTGTAGGATGTAATGTCGACGTAGCTCTGAAACATAACGACGACGAATGCTGATTGCGCATTTTTTCATTTGTATCAAGATTGTTATAGTATTTCTTGATCGAAGTTAACAAGAGTTGTTCATCGATGAATGGTAAAAGTACAATCGCTTCCCAATCTTGTTTTTTCTCGTTCTGGTCCAATTGAAAATCTTCCGGATAGAAATGTAGTAAAGGACTTTCGACATCTATCATTAATGGCTGTAAAGCAGTTGGTAGAAGATAACGACTCGTTGGAGGAAGAACACCTTAAATACGACAGATCGAAAGAATGAGATGGAGAATGAATGTGTAAAATTATTTCGAAGCACAACTGAGCTTTCGAGCATATAAAAGCATGCTGTGCAATGAACGACTTACAATTGTATAACTCAGAAAAACTTCAAAATAAGAAATTTCATCGTATTCTATGGTATTCGATCTCTTGAGTATAAGAAATATGTACTCGATAAGCAAGAAAAAAAAAGAAGGTCAATCTAGAATTAATTACCTAGGAGTTGTTCGAATGGTTTGAAAGGTGTTCCTCGTTGAAATGTTAGCTGCAAATGCTTGAAATTCGTCAGATCGGAGAGATACGGCGCATAATGATGTGGGTAAAACCATGACCACGACGGGCACCCTTGATAGTAATATTTCAAGATCCATTGTAATGCTTCGATGTATTGATAAACATAAGTTTGGATTTGTTCTTTTGAAACTGCTTGACATCTCATCTTTTCTCGATAGTATTGGTTTTTATGTTGTCGGAATTCACTGTCAATCACCGAAATATATTCTTGTTTCTCATTTGATGTCATTCGCAATATATTCTTGCGATTACTATCTTGGTCACTGGTTGGATCAGACTCTGACGATTGTCGTTCATCGTCATCGGCATCGAGATAGACAGGACCATGATTATCATTGGGCGACGATGAGAGAGGTGATGCATTCAGTGATTTGCGTTCCTGTGCAATGAAATTATCGATCCATTGACTATTAGAATCTGCCTCGGCCGTCCCATTGGCTTCTTTCACAAGAACGGTTGGTGCTGAGATCATTAGTTTTTTCAGAATCTCAGCACTAAAGCCTGAATTCGGTAGTTGATCTTTGTCGAGTTCTGATTTGACTGGCTTGATTTTATGTAGTTGTTTCGTAGACTCCGTTTCTTTTTCAAACCGATTGTAATCGTATTTCGCTAGCTCCGAAAGATAAATCTCAAACCGAGAGAGATTTAATTCACCCGCATCGTTCATATAACCTGAAAGAGAGAGTAAAAATGATCAATGGCAAACGTTGTCTTAGCAAATGAACAGACCATCGAGTTTCGGTAAAATCTTTTTGTACGTTTCCCAAAGGAGCGGCAGGGCTTCTTGATTGATATGAACATGTGGTAAGTGCGGAATGAAATCATTACCAACTAAATAGCCCATGAGAATCCAATCGTCAACAATACGCTCCAAATCATATGGAAATTTCAGTTTATCCTAATGAATATAAGAGTATTACACAGGAAATTCGTTGTCTGTCTTACTTTTATTGAACTGAATTCCAAATTAATATAATCTCTAAGCAAACATAGTTGTAATAAGTGCCAGTTGATTTCTTCTGGTGTAAGACTAAATCAACGCGAATATAATCTATCGAAATTTGCTGTAAAACTTACATCTTCGTCACTTTTTTCGGTCCGTATTTGACTTCCTCACGGAGAAGTGCAAAATGCATCTCATGCGTTACTAAACCTAACATGATCTAAAATCAAATCTTGCGCAATCTTCTCACCCAAATCTTTCGCTTTTTTAACATACTAAATCAGCATCTAGCCCGTACAAACAATGTCTCGTGTTGATATTGTAGCCCGGCTGTGAACGTGTATAGCGAATATACTCCATAATTTTATGTTCGCCTTCTCCTGGTGTCTACATAGCAGAAAAACAAGAGAATTGAGATTTCGAAAGAGATAAATCATGCCTACCAAATGGCCAGATAAATGAATATCAACACCATGCCATAATGGATCAGTTGTTAGTTTAACATTGATGAAATATCTCAATTGTTCATCCAGATTGGCCATGAACTTGGTTCCTAAAACGAAAAAATTGTTTTTATGTGATCATGATAGTGTTGGTGCTTAGTACCAGGTGTGATGGCATTGGTATCAAAATGATGAGCTATGGTTTCCTTTAATGATTGACCAGTTTTGTCAGCTAATGTTTGTAACTTTTTCATTCGGTCGCGTCCAGCTCGAAAACGTCGCGATCGTTGTTGATTCATCTTAGCTCGCGGAGCCACACCGTCCACGGCCATGAAAAAGACTTTCTTCGGCTTAATCATTCGAAAGAGAAACTGAAACAAACAGATGATTTCGTCGATTAGATCGAAACAACCATGATCACTTACATCGATATAATGAAAAATATTTCGGAAAATTTCTTCTTCACTAACGCTCGTTTCGCAATTATCTTCATTAACATGCGAACAAGCATGAATAATGCCATTCATATCCAAATAGAAATTGTCAAAATCCGGTATCTGTTCGAGAAAACATCGTTGCTTCATTTGAAACAATTAAATTCATTCAGTACCTGATTATCATTGATAACTCGGCTGATATTCGGGTAACGTTCAGATACCCATCGATAGAATTTTGGTACACCCATGATGTTCGATATTTAAATAAAACGCTTCTTGGAAGCAGAATTGAATTGTAATTTAAATATTCATATCTAAAAGAAAGAGAAATATTCCATGTGAGAAAATCGTTATCCTACGCGAATTCCTTTCGTGTTATTTCTCTTGATATTCGATGAAGGAGGAGATTTAAATTACAAACATTTGGTCACTTTTTAGTTATTTTATTTATTTTTGTTTTGTTTTGTTTTCATTCGTTGACCTGATTAAGTAAATGATAATGATGCTCTTTGTTTAATCAAGAAATCAAACCAATCAGATATTACTCTCACTTTTGATGATATTCTAAGAAATAATTCGAAAAAAATTATACGAAGATTTTCCTTTCGAGCGTATTTTCATCCAGAAAGTAAATCTACAGAGCGATATCTATCATTTCAACAATATCGACCAATCAGAATGAATCCATATTGGTGCAGTTTCCTCAAAAGAAATATCAACGAAATCCATTTACTGTCACATTGTTTATAACTGCTTGATAATCTTTCAATCTCATACATTCGATCCGTCTAGGCAAACCCTTGACGAAAGAAACCCACTCGTTCAAGTCGTGACTTCGTTTTGCTTATTTTTATCAACGTGACAGATGGTTGATTACCATTTTAAACGTTATCAACATATATCCTTGTGCTCTCCGAGGGCAATCATGATTAATACAGTATCATAACAATGGTTTGTTTTCATAGACCTCGGACTTTTGCATTCGCCGTGTACCCGGCTGCACCCTGTGTGATATTGAATTAGCATAGACAAAATTTTTATGAACTTTTTTTGATAACATGAATGTTATTTAAGCGAGTTTATTCATAAAAATCGAGCAACAATGTTTAAAGATTAAATACTATGTTCATGTCACATCTATCCAGATCATATCCAGCCGATATTGAATCCTGGTACAGTGCTTCTTCAATCTTTGTCGGATTTCGTTGCGGGATTTTGTTCTTCGATAGGACCCAGAGCAGGATTGCATGTTACACCTGCGAGAAATTCGTCAAAAGGTCTGGCCTTGATGGCCAAACTAGATAAACTTGTCGTTTTAGATTTGCTTGAAAACATGGATGTCTTGTCGGAAAAATCACTAGTAGAAACATTTTTAATTGAGAAGAGACGTTCAGAGAATTGGTCGCCATTGGTACAAGTTGTCGGTGATACAATAGAACTCGTATTGTTATTATTATCATCGACGAGGAGGACGTTGAATTTTTCTGAAAAAGAAAAGTTAAATGAATTTAAGAAAGATCTCTTTGAGAGTATACATACGAGTTGGACATGTTCGATCAGGCATTGTGCCGTTGAACAGTAAAGAGACGGAAGTATCGTCTTCGACTACATTCGATGAGGCGACCAGAATACGATCGTCATGAATAATATCTGAATAAGGAATCGATAATGGTGAATGATATATAACACTGGTGCCACTTGTCAACAAAAGCTTTCTCTCGTCGCTCTGCCTACGAAAAAAAAGAGAAGTGCTGAGAACGAAACAAAACACCAACATCTGTTACAAAAAAAAAGCGTCAAAACTAGCCCACTATCGAACATTAACATAATCGATTAGTTTCACCTATTTTATATTGGCAACGTCCGATCGTTAGCTTACTTCTTAGTGATTGATGATGTTTTAAAAAATTGAAGACAGCAAAACATTATTTACAGGATACGATTTTTCGATGGACAATGATATCATCTTTGTTCGTTCCTTCATACTTTTTATCTTCTGTATTTGCTTTAGTTGAGGCGTCTCGTCTATTTACACGCTGACACATCTATCCGTCACTGATTGCGATCATCCGACTCAGTCGATTATCATTTCGATTCTCTCACATGTAAAATAACAAGTTTTGACTAAAATGCAAATTTATAGTCGATACAATTGCTAAACAGAACAAATCGGTTGAAATCTAAAAGCACACTTGCTTATCTCATTCAATTTTGTAGGAAAACATTCATATTCGTCTACTGAATTCTATATGTACAGAATGGACAAAACGTCTTTTTCATTCTCTTTGTCTGTCCAATGGTATTATCTAGTATAGAACGAATGCATTCGAGATCGACAATACAAATGTGTACATACATGCCTATTTTTCTTTGAAAACAAAGGATCTTCACTCTTTCGTTCTTTTGTTTGCTCGTATAAATAAACGTATGTAGCCATTTTCCAGTCCATTTCAACGACGTAATCCTCCAGTGTACATCTTCATTTGTACTTTGAAATATTCACTTAGAACAAGAACAAGCTAACATGACTTACGAACCACTTAACCGCCGATTGGCTATATTAGCTGCAGTTTTTGCCTTCTTAGGTGTTGCGCTCGGTGTTATTGCACTTGCAACTAATTACTGGACAATCAGTGCTAGATTAGATGAATTTCGAAATGAAACGACTGTTATGAATTTACAACCAACTGCTACTATTTGGAACGTATGTACTTATCGAACAAGTAATCTATCATATTTAACTTTTGTTCCCGTTATCATAGGGCCTTTTCAATCGATGCGAAAGTAACATGCCATGCGTAGCTGACTTCTGGTCCATCACATTCGTTATCTGTCTTTTGGGTCTTTTGTTCTTATTGGCTGGTGGCATCTTCTCAGTCCTTGACATTCCCAAAGCCAGTGATCGTCGATTTATTACACCTTTGTTACTATTTGTTGCCTGTGTTTTAATGACAGCTGGCTTAGTTGATTATGCATCGAAAAATTTTCTTAATTATCATTCTTCACGTACAATGATTGCTTCAATTGTTTTTGCTTATACAGCTTTACCTATTGCAGCATTTGTCGCTGGACGATATTCAGCTTTAGAACGAAGCGTTTTAATCAACAATGAAGTTCACACAACGCAAAAATATTCTACTACCAATGGTAATGGTCTTTAAGTATGAAGACGATCGAGATAGCCATGACTACGAACATTAGTTTTTCTTTTTTTTTTGTGTGTATCATTAACTTAGTCTAGCTTTTTTTGTTGTTGCTCATGTCATTTGTGTGTTAATTGAAGTAACACATCTCTATGAAAAATTGAATATTCTTTTTCTATCAAATTTGGCTGATATTCAGATCGCTGATGAACGTAGGCCGATCAGTTGGTACTTGTTCCTATCTATGATCTCTCCATGCATATAAGGATGTTGACGATTAATTGAAACAGCACGGGCTTTTATCAAGCAATCATAAATGAGATCGATTTTCAATTTTTTAATTCGAATGGATTAGTAAAATGTAATTGAAGGGAGTATATCGCAAGTGTCACCTATATTACGTACTTACACTTCGTATTTCTATCAGATCAATCAGTTTGGTGTGGAATACAATTCATTGAAAAAATGGGCGCTATGGTACTTGTGCGTTTAGGTCTTCTGCTGTGTTTGTCGGGCCAGATTCACGCAATCAAGCGAGCTACTACCAAAGGTAATAAGAAAGTTATTGATAAATGAACGCATGTACGTGTTCCTTAGCTTTCACGCATCCTGGCGGAATGCATCCTCAGCAGCAAATTGATTTTGTAAGAACGAAAGTTGCTCAAAGAGAGCAGCCGTATTATGATGCATATACTCAATTGATCAAGAGTGCGGATGCAGCCTTTAATCATAGTACACACGAGTTAGCTGACTTTTCTGTGCCTGGTTATTATGTCAACGCAACTATGCATCAAAAAAATTCTGCCGGACTGCAATCGGATTCCTTTGATGCTTATGCCTGTGCGTTGGCTTATCATCTGAGCGGTTTTCAGGCCAAGTATGCTGATCAATCATTGAGATTTTTGAGAGCATGGGCTCATGTAAATAATAAATATTCGGACTATGATGGCACTCTTGTTATGGCTTATTCTGGGCCGGGTATGGTCATCGCTGGTGAATTGCTTTACCATTATCATGGATGGAATCCTGTCGATCAACAAAAATACTTACAATGGGTAAAAAATGTTTATTTGAAAGCATCGAATGAAATTCGAACTCGTACAAATAACTGGGCAGACTGGGGTCGATTCGGTTCGATTCTATCAGGTTACTTGTTGGAAAATTCGACGGAAATTGCTGAAAATATTCGTTTGATCAAAAAGGATCTCTTTCACAAGATTGCTCAAGATGGCCACATGCCTGAAGAAACGAAACGTGAAGCAAATGGAATTTGGTATACATACTTTTCTCTAGCGCCTATTACAGCAGCATGTTGGGTTGCTTATCGAGCAACGAATGAAAATCTTTTCACAAATTTTACACAAGGTACCGCATCGATTAAATTAGCACTTGATTACCTTCATTATTACAATATGAATTCTAATTTTTGGCCGTGGTATCCAAATCCAAATAAAGGATCGCCATCGTCTTGGCCAGGCAATCTGTTAGAAGCTATGGCGCCTATCTATGGATCGGATAGTTTTGTCGACTATGTCAAAGCTGCACGACCATTAATTTACCGAAACCATCACTTTGCTTGGACATTTCCTACGTTGATGAGAACTCAATTGGGTGATTATCCGAAAAAATAAGATGCTATTCTTATTGTTCGATTCCATTGAAATTCTTTGTCTTATCATCGAATATCTGAATAAATCGTACTGAAAACACATTTAAATAATGTTCTTTTTGTTCGATAAGTTTGTTTACAGTCTAAACTTTCACCCTGGGTGTTATATAAATAAATAATGAAAACCATCGAAGCGTATCATCAATAGGTGTAAAACAAATACGTTATCGTTCTGTTACTTGCCTTCCGTAGCGTGTTGAATACATCAATAAGTTAATACAAAAGCATATATCTACTCAAAGGCGTTCTGCGTAACTGTATTTCAAATGACTTTCACAAGAATCTTGGAAAGATGTTGTCATTTTTATTTCAATTATCATCAGTACGATACATTCCCTATGTGTGCAACATCTACCTTCATTCGTCGTTTGCAATACACCCTTCGCATCACGCTTTCTTTCCTTATCGGTGGCTTTATTACTTACGGTACACCGTTAAATGACCAATTAACAACACAATATCTTATTCCCGTTATGTGTATCCTTGCTATTCAGGAAACATTTGGAATGACTTTACTCGCTAGTTATCAAATGATAACAGCACTGATACCATTATCAATATTTCTTTATATAATTCAAAAACTCGGCGTTGGATATGGAGATTATCTCGCTGCTGAACTTTTACTACTCGTTTCATCATTCGCTCTGTCATATAAATGTACACAGGTAAGCATGAACTTGTGAAATTACCAGTAAGACGTCTAGTTTTAGATTCAACCACGAAAAATTGCGCTACTGATCTCTTCGATCTTCTTCGCCACGATTGTCAATCAGCAAAATCTTCCATCGACGTTTATTTTCACTTTACTCGAAGAATTCGTCATTGGCATTTCCGTTTCTTTACTTGTTTCTTTGTTGGTCTTTCCGCTATTCGCAACAATAGATATCGAAAACCGGATGAATTATTGTTTAAAAAACCTTCAACGAATGGAATCGATTGTTATTCAAGCTTTTCTCTGCGAAGATCAAATGAGTGCACAAGTGTCATTGGCACGTTCTTCAACCTTGGAACAAATGATACGTGTAGCAATGAATCTAATTCATACGAGATTGAACGAAACGCAAATGGAACCGTCACGATTATTACAACGAATTTTTAATCGACGACGAAGGCATTTGATGGATTTAACATTACAAGGTTATCATCTGTTCTTTTATCTCTGAAAAACGGCTTTCTTTCTTCTTTGTTTTTAGAACAGGAGCATTTCGTCAGCTCGTGGATGTTTCATGTATGTTCACTTCAATTAATGGTCAAACAATGTCGATTCAATGAATATCACAATCATTTCAAACAAGAGCTTCAAGTAGATCTTGCACATCTTGATTCATGTCAATGTAGCATGGTTTCCGATCTAACTTCATCGACGGTACCAACTCGAGAGCAATTTGATGACCATCTTGGTCAATTACAGCAGGCTCTGAAGACTCTTCGACAAACATCGATTGAAGCTCGTCTTAGTCAAGTTGAACATAGTTTACAATCTGCGACGAAGATTCATTCGGATGATCATCTATCTCATGCATTCTTTCTCTTCCAATTAGCGACAATCATTCGACTTTTGACGCAAGTAACTAACTACCGTGAAAAGCAAAGTTTTCTCCAAACCATGCAGGATGTACGAAAGAAGAAACAAAAAACAAAGCATCGAAGTATTCTTCAAGTTTTGAAACCTCAATGGCCACGCATAGCGTCTGCGCTCAAAAGTACGATTATTATTGGGGTTGGATCAATTTTTGTCATGGTGCCTCGTTTGGCAGATATTTTCGAAAACGGACAATGGATTTTGATTGCTCTCTGCATGACACAAGGTGATACAGTTGGTGGAGCGTTAACAACAATGAAAAGACGATTGATCGGAACATTACTCGGTATTCGCTTCGATTTAGCCAGAAACTTCATAACATCTTTGTTCTTATAGGTGCAATGTGGGCGTACATCACTTATCTGTCTGTTGGAGATCATATTTACAACACATTTGGAATGCTAGTGCCGTGGATACTGGTTTTTGGATATTTAAAATCAGCACCGGAATGGAATTATGCCGCTGTTGTCGCCAGTTTTACTCCTGTTTTAATTAATCTTGGACGAATACCATACGGTCCCTCATTACCAGCCGGCAATTATGCACTGCTTCGAATAGAAGAAAATCTTGTTGGTATTGCTATTGCAACTGTCTTAACGATACTCATCTTTCCAGTTTTCGCCATCGATGTATTGAAAAAAAATATTGAAAGTGAAGTCTATTCACATTCCATTACTCATCATTTGTTAACTGTTGACTTCTTCTCTTTAGGTACACTTCAACTTTGTCGTCAAAGTATTAATGGCATGCAGGCCATCTACGATCAACTGTTTCAAAATGAACAATTCGATGTGACTGTTGTGGATATGGAAAAGACAGCTGACCAAGAAATCAAATCGTTTGTTGATGCTCAACGAAGTCGTTTTCATCAGTTGATTAGTAGTCAACGTATGTTACTCGAATTTTCTGCTCTCGAACCGACTCTATGGTGGTTTCAAAATGCATTCCCTACGGTACGATATGAAATGCTTGCTTCCCAACAAACAGATATATTTCGAATGTTACATAACGTCGATGCTATCGTAAGTGAAATTCATTCGTTTGAATTAACCATTTCTAACCTACGATTTCTAGCTTATGCGTATTCACGAGTGTTCCAAAGACGAGACAAACCCCATAAAAGATCTTCAAATGTATGGAAATGGTGGTGTGCTACCAAGTGCTCTTCACAATGAACTGACCACTCTAAGTCGACAACTGAGCGAATGTGTCAATCTCTGGGCTTCGTATTTCACTCTTACGCAAACGCGCTGCTATCGTTTAGCGCGGGAGTGCAGTTTTTCGCGAACTTCACTGTTGGAAAGCGATTTACTTAAACATGAACAATGTCTCATCGAACTTCACCAAACCATTCATCGTCTTCAAACTGAACACCAAGGAACAGTGGATCGATTATTAAATTATTGTCTCGATCGTATAACTCAAGGTGACACCATCGGACGCATTGTACCATACGTTGATAATGAACGAGCCTATGTCATTTTCCTTGGAATAGCAGCAATGCACTATTCAACTACAGAACTTGCTCGAGCTGCATTAGCTCTTGGCACCAATATTCACACTATCTTCGAACTGGAAACAACGAAACTTTATCGATCTTTTTAAAAACTGTATATACATATTATATCGAATAAAACTATTTATTTTGAACATGAAGCTCGGTTTAATATATGCTAAAATTACACGTGGTTCGGTGCGACATCTGACTACGCAATCATCTATTAGACAAAATTTCCTTCCTTACTATTTTCGGGCTCTTTGATTGATTGACTGTTGTTGATAGTAAAACAAAAATACTAGTCTGCCTTGATTGGATCTATGTGATCGATATAAATCTATTCTTTTCTTTGCTTTTCCTTCACTAATATCATCGATCATATGATATTCTATGTATGCTTTTCACTCAATTTCGATTACATTCTTTCTGTCAAATAAACAATTTCTACCTTGAATTTCTTCCAAGTATGTACATCAAACATGTATAACATTTCAATGTTGTTCTTTGAATTGTATCTTCTAGTTCATTTCCTATCATGCATATTCAAAAGCGTCACGTTCAAAAAACGATTTGTGATGATTGTGTTCAAAAACCAAGCGTACCTAATGAACAAAGAAATCATAAATGTTGGCGTCGATTTATGAATGCACGAGGAATTGAACGAGCTTATGTACCTACAGATTACGGTAATTCTCTTTTGAATATTTGGATTATCTATTAATTTATAATGTCTGAATTTACAGAACATGCGGCGAATTGTCTAACACACGGGTGTCTTATTATTCCAGCGTGCATTGCTGCACAACGATTGATATCTCGTGCAGAAACCGTTGAGCAATACTGGAGTAGTTTCATCTATGGAAATGCTCTTATTTTACTCTTTTCATTCTCTACTATCTTCCACTGTTCATGTTTTCATCCAACCTACAGGTAAATGAATAGAATGTTACCTCGCTGCAAAGAAATCCTTTGTTGTATTCTTCTCTAGAGAATCTCAAATAAGACATCTATTACATCGAGTAGATCGAGCAGTGATTTACATATTCATCAGTTCAAGTTATACACCCTGGTAAGAAAAAAAACGTTTATCATGAAACAAGAGAACAACTTGCGTGTTATGCATACTCTGCTAGGCTTCTTCTACGTCCAGCACAATCCGTATCTTCATCGACAACGATAACTGTCGTATGGGCGATGTCATTTTTAGGCATCACTTACCAACTGCTGTACCATGAAAGGTATAAATTAGTTGAAATTTGTTGCTATATCGTTGTCGGTCTTTTTCCTGCGATTGTAATCATCGACATGGTATGTTAACGATTTGACGTGAGAGCAAATATATCAGATTTATTTTTCAAGGCTGATCATGCCGGTGTTTTCGAAATGGGTCTTGGTGGACTCATGTTTCTAGTCGGCGTCTTCTTTTTCAAATCTGATGGTATCATCCCTTTTGCACACGCAATCTGGCATTGTTTTGTCTTCTTCGGCGCTAGTATTCATTACTATGCAGTTTATAATTATTTAATAGTTCCATCATCTTCCAAGACGAAGCACCATTAATACAATCATACGTTCGAATGTCTGATACGACAAATGTATCTACGAATTCGTTTTGCTCCCTGATCGAATGATCAAAAGGACACTTTTTGATGAAACAGTGAGTTCGATAATCATAATGATCATGTTGTATGCATACTTTTCTCGTCGAATGAGACGTTCTTCTTTTACCATTGTTTCTTTGATGTAACTGTTTTCATAATCGCAATGTATTTTCTTCTATCTCATTCGGTTTGATAGACTATTCGATAAGGAAATGACGCATTTGGAAAGTTTATAAATCAACCTGTGTGATGTGAAGAATATCTTTTTTTTACTTCTTTAATTCAAATACACAAGAAAAACATAAAATAGACATATGTTTAAGAACAAACGATGGTCTCTACGATCTTGAATGGATGTTTTGTGAGATTATTTCTTCTTCTTCTTTTTCTTCTTCTTTTTTGCACCTTCCCATGCAAAACCTCGTGCTGTTAAACAATCGGTCACATCATGGCAGATATAGTAAGCATTGATAACAGCAGCTGGTGATAAAATATCGATTTCGGGTCGTGGTTCAGCGGCTTTCTTCTTCGATTTCGATTTTCGCTTAGGCGAGCCACTCGATGAACGTGCAGCTTTCTTTTTACCTGTTTTGCCCGCTTTGCCTTTGCCTTTCTTCGGCTAATTAACGAAAACGAGAATGAGAAGATCAATTTTGAAAACGCCGATGTCTTACCATAATTGTAATGCGAAGTAAATTTTTTAAAACTGCATTTGTTTTAACGTTTTGTTGGAACACATCAAAGCTTTTTATATTTCTCTTTCTTTTCTCATAACAAAAGTTGTCAGGGCTTCCGAAACAAAAAATTTTGTAAAGACGGTGAAAGGTTTCCATTACATTTCATTTGAAACATTAATACCATAACTGTTTATGTTGTTAAGGAGGACACTCATATCGATGAAATCGATGTTAAAACGACTCGTTTCTTTCATTGTTTGAACAACTCCACCAATCAATGCAATGTTTGTGTCATCAAATTCTATTTATTTATCTATTCGAAAATCTTCCGAACAACAAATTTCATGTTGACTTCAGAAGGTAACGTATGACCACTTATCATACTACATTCGTGATATAATTTTTATCGTCATTTGTTTGCCAATTGCAACACTACGCGTAGAGGATTTCAACTTTTTTGCAAGTACATCAAATTATGCCGTTTTTTTCTTCGAAAAAGAAATCACAAAAGAAGAGTGGGATTAGCGGAATTATTCCATCTACAACAACAGCAGCTGCTACTGGTGTCAGTTCAGTGACTCCAAAAAGCACTAAAGATACTCACAATTCGAATAATTCTCGTGGAAATAGTACAAAATCTACCAAAGTGGAGAAAAGTCAAGAAGCGACTAAACTTGTTTTCCATTGTCAATTAGCACATGGCAGTCCAACTGGTCTCGTCTCAGGTTTTAGCAATATTAAAGAGTTATATCAAAAGATAGCTGATTGTTTTGAGATACCTGCATCGACAGTAAGTCTAATTGAACGTTTAGATGCGGAGAAATTGATCTTTTGTATTGGTTTAGATTCTGTTTTGTACATTGAACACTCACAAGATTGATATGACTAAATTATTAGGTGGACAGATCAACTTAGAAGATTTTATCTTTGCACATGTGAAAGGACAAGCGAAGGAAATTGATGTTGTCAAATCTCAAGCAGCAATTGGTTTAACAATTACGGACAATGGCGCCGGTGAGTTAAGAGACGAGTTTTGTTAGAAAATATTTCCTTTTTTGTAATAGGTTATCCTTTCATCAAACGAATTGTAGAAGGAAGTACGGCTGATAGAATGAAAGCTCTTATTAAAATTGGCGATCATATCGAAAGAATCAATGATAAGTCTGTTGTTGGCATTCGACATTTCGAAGTGGCCCAAGTTTTGAAGAGCATTCCTATTGGTTCAACATTTAAGCTGCGTTTAGTCGAACCGAATTCATTCGGATTTCGTAAGATTTCTTTGTCTAATGAAATTCGATGTCGTAAATGATTTATTTTTTAGAAATTGAACCAGCAAAACGTGGCCGGAAGTCGGATAATGTCAAAAGCGGCACTAAAACACTTCGTTTCAAAGCAGACGGTCAAGCAAGTGTGGAAGAGGTTGACGATGTCATGCTCAAAGCGATCGATCGAATTAACACTCTCTTAGAAAAGTACATGAACATCAACGATTCCGATCTTGGTGAGATTTACTTTGGAAAAAGAGTAAATTCTATCGATTATTTATCATTTTAGCACAACAAATTTGGGAATTATCTGAAAATAAGAAGAATCCTAGTGATTTCGCCACAGCAATTGACGAATCAGAAATAGGTTCATTTAATTTTACTGATGAGTTCATTTTCGATCTTTGGGCAGCTATTGATGATATTAAAGTTGGACGCCTTCGAGGAGTTCCCGAACTAAAAGAAGAAGACGAGGAACAAGAAGCAGATGTTCAAAATGAACGATTATAAAGAGCATCTCAACGATGTTTCTTTTTTTATTATTAAACTACAACAACAACCAATGAATGAATAATAATGGAATGAAAAGCATCTATCTGTACATAAACGTTCACGCCTAGTCTGTCTATATAAGAGTTCGCAATTCCAAGGAGAAAGTTTGTTATTTAATTTGCTTTTTTTCTCTTTTCCGCATATCTATTTATTCATGACAATATTTTCTTTTTCGTTCGATTATTTTTCGTGTGTTGTTTTCATTATTCTGATTGAATAATCAGTGAAGATTTCAAGTATAATTATCTGAAAAAGTTCGTTGAGGAGAAAAAATTGATACCGTCCGGAAATTTCATTTTCTCGTCTAATTACATTGAAAACTCAAGAGAATTGAAGTTTATTGTTATCAGTTAACATCTCAGTGATAGTATACGATGTTTGCATGTCAACTATTATCTTTCGACAGATGGAAGCGACGATCAAGAAGACTACCATCGGTAAAAACGAACTAAAACAGCAAATATTTTAGCGAATAGTTGGAGAAAACTGATTCAGACCAACGAAGAAGTTTCTAGTCGTGTCTGCTAGTGAAATATGAAAGAATATTTAGGTCTTCTCAATTGAAAGATGTATGTGCGTGCGTGTGCACTTTGATTACCGCTGGGAGGCGGAATGCGAATGATACAATTTAGTGAATAAGTGAGTGAACGAGAAAATCAGCGCGCGCACACACACACAAAATCACTTTGAATGAATTTCGATACCCTAACCATCTGTGCATATGCATAATTAGACGAGGGGGAAACACTTCAAGTTCTTTTAGCCGGAAAACACAACAGTCACGGCCGAAGCATATTACCATCAGCAAACTAATTGCCTTTTACAACATACGTACATACACAATCTCATGAGAGAATGAAAAAGATGACCCTACCGGCAGCACAAGGACACCGTAGATCACGGTTCAACACACAGTTAATCATATGGTAGAAACTCATTAGTTAGATCGAGTCAGCATCATCAGTGAGCAAAGAAAAGAGCACGTTCAACGAGATAGAGCACAACAGAAAGCATTTCTTTTTTAACTTTTCATTTGTTTCTCAAGTGGATAGTTGCAATCAAATTGAAAACAGATATATCAACAATAGCAAATGAAAAAGTCGTTTTATCGTCTATCTGACATCGCAATGAACCTTAGACAAACACGAAACAATGTATGTACATGTCATGACAATGATCGATGGTTCAATCAAAAGCATATCATAGTTTTCTCAAACATTCTTCTTTCGATTCGGTAATTCAGCTGATCAACTGTAAAGAAAACATCTGGTCACCGAATAGACACACTGACAAAATTTGTTCGATCTTCTAATTGTTCAATTCTTTGATCTTTCACGTTCACTGACGAATGTTTGCGTGACAAAAAGATACTTGACGCCGGTCAATGTGCATCATGCAATGATATAATTGGTGGTCATACCTATTCCCCAGCTTTCTTTTTCTCTCACTTATACTTTCGCTGCTTCTCTCTCTCTGTCTTATGTCCTGAAATTCAGACCATCAAACGTATAGATCGTTTGGCTTCCAAATGAGATGTGTTATCAATTAGACTGAGTGCTTGCGGTCGGAACTCTTGAACGCTGCAAGGTAAATAAACGATCAGTTTAAGCATGTTTAGACTGAAAAGTAAATTTTAAATGTTTTGTTTTATTTTTCGTCGACTACATTTCGCTCACTCTCCTTCACTTCTGATGGTCAAGCCGCAGTACCTCAATGTTTTCGACTCATCTCATCGTTGTCAGTGCCGGCGGCTACTGGTAATAGTTGTAGTCATTTAC